CGGAAGATTTCTCGGTAATAGATATCGGCGACACCTTCGGCTGTAATGGAGCTGGTGCAAGGAATAGCATGGATTTGTTTTCCATACAGGTCTGTACAGACCAAGACTGCGTCGTATCCCTGGGAGTTAGGCAATTGTGTTATCAGGTCGACCCCTACCTCTTCCCATAGGCCGGATGGTACATCCAGTGGTTGAGTCACAGCTCGTGGGTGCCGTTGGATCTTCTTGCGGGCGCAAATCTCGCATCCCTCAACGTATTTCTCCACAAAAGAACGCAGTGTCGGCCACCAGAAGTGGGTGCTGACCAGGTCAAGTGTCCCATGTAATCCGGGATGTCCAGCAGTTGGATGATCATGGCATTGACGGAGTACCTCGGTGCGTAGATTGTTGTCTGCTGGTACATATACCCGGCCTCGGTAATAGACCAACCCGTTGTCCTCCTCCCATTCAGCTATCCCATTGGCCAAGCGTTGTAACCCGTGCTTCTTGACTGTTTCCAGACCTTCCAGTACTTGTGCTTCCCGTTCTGAGGCTTTCCGAATACGATCCTCTAGGGGGTTCCGTAGGATTGAAGCGGCGATTTTGGTGAAGTGGCCAGGTTTAAGGACGGTCTGTTGCTGATTGTCATCGCTATCTGATACATGATGTACTGCCATACGAGAAAGAGCATCAGCTTGGGTGTTTACTCGGCCAGGACGGTGGATCATATGAAAATCAAACTGTGATAGATATAGGGCCCATCGGGCTTGTCGACGGGTAAGGTCTTGTGCTGTGCGCCAGAATTCGAGGTTGGAGTGATCGGTGATAATGTCGAATGGTTGTGGAAGTCCCTCCAGGAAATTCCTCCAGTCCTTCAATGCTTCAATGATGGCAAGCATCTCCCGATCATATATTTCATAGTTCCGTTCCGCTGGCTGCATGGATGCCGATCTGAAGGCTACCGGGTGCCACTGACCATCGTCTTGCTTCTGCATGAGGGCGCCTCCCGTAGCAAAGCCTGATGCGTCTACCTCAATTCGAGTGGGCCGATCTGGCGCCCATAGAGCAAGGATTGGTGCGGAGATGAAGGCCTCTCGAAGGGTGTCAAATGCCTCCTGTTGTGTACCAGTCCAGTTAAAGCTGGTATCCTTCTTGGTTAGGTCGTTCAAAGGTCGAGCTATTCTTGCAAAATTTCGGATAAAGCGCCGGTAGAAGTTTGCAAACCCCAAAAATCCTCGCAGTTCCCGGAGGTTGGTAGGGACTGGCCAGTCACGAACAGCCGCTACTTTGACCGGATCCATTCTCACCTCCCCTTCTGAAATGATAAGTCCCAGGTATTCGATCTGTTGCTGTTCAAATTCACACTTCTCTGGGCGCAAATAGAGGTCGTGCTTTTCTAGTCGCATTAATACTTCCCGTACCACTTGTCGGTGTTCCTTGAGGTCGTTACTGAATATGAGGATGTCGTCTAGGTAGACTGCCACCTTGCCAGCTGCAATGAGATCAGCAAATATCGCATTCATAAGTGCTTGGAATGTGGCAGGGGAATTCGTGAGACCGAAGAACATAACCTTAGGCTCGAACAAGCCCCGAGTTGTTGCAAATGCGCCTTTCCATTCATGCCCCTTCTTAATCCGCACATTATTGTAGCCCCAGCGAACGTCAAACTTGGTGAAATATCGCGCTCCCTGAAGCCGGCTAATGATATCAGCAACTAATGGGAGAGGGTATCGGTTCTTCACAGTATACTCATTCAGTTTCCGGTAGTCCTGTACGAAACGGAGTTTCCCATCCTTCTTCTTCACGAAGAAGACTGGAGATGAGATGGGTGACTTTGAGGGAATGATGTAGCCTTTCCGTAGGTTTTCTTCTAGAAAGCGGTCGAGTTCCTCCTGCTCGTTCAAGGACATTGGGTAGATCTTTGTCCGCATGGTTGCTGGTGCTCCGGGTACAAGATCGATAGCGTGATCCCAGGGCTGATGGGCAGGTAATCGCTCAGAAGCAGATTCGGAGAAAACCTTCTTGAAGTCTCGGTACTGCTCAGGGACCATCTCCTCAAAGGTTTTAATGGGTTTATCGCGGTTAGCCTCCTCTGCTAGTTGTTGAGAATAAGTGAACCCTGCTGAGCACCATACTTCCTCTGTTTGTTCTTCCAATATCCCCGCTTTCACCCATGCCCGACGCGTTTTGTGATTGGCTCGTATTCGGTGTATTGGGGATTCCTCCGTTGCTGTTATGACTTCATTCTCCTCTAGGTCTGCCTCAGTGTGATTGGGTTCACGTTGGGATCCTTCGTTCAGGAGTTCCTGGATTGGACTATCGGTAGTAGACGCCACTAGGTGAGGGTGTGAAGTCTGCTCATCTTCTACTTCCTCTATATGTACCCGGGGTGGCTTTACTGAAAGTCGTCCCTTCTCCCAGTCAATCTCTGGATTTACCTTCCGTAACCAGGGGAGTCCGAGAATAATATCCTCTCCTCCTAAGTTTGTGATCAGGAAATCCATCCATCGCTCCTGGTTATCCACTGTGAGTGCTAAGCGTGCAAAGTGGGTGATTCGCCCGGCTCGGTTAGGTGTACCATCGATATTGAATACATCGATTGGTTTATGGAGGGGTGCGCAGGTTACGTGATTTCTGGTGGCAAAGTCTTGGTTTAAAAACAGGGCGGTAGCTCCACAGTCTACCATGGCTGCGGTTGTTATACTATGGTTCCTTCCTCTCAGTTTCGCATGAATTCGGAAATGTGGGGAGCTGGAATTTAATTCCCAAATAGATGATATTGTACATGATGGGAGCGAGTCATACGAAGAGGTAGCGAACATAGTAAACTGATTATGGGGTACTTTCGGTGCAGCCGGAGCGGGTACCCTCTTTAAAAACCCTGCTGAAAACCAGAGGACGGAGGAGACATGGCATTAGCACGGTCCAACAATTCCCTTATTTGTCCAATTTGGGTGGAGAAGTCCTGATTAGCGGGGCTCGGTGTAGCAGGTCCAGCGACAGGTGTTGGGATTGAGGCGGCAATCTGAACTGATTCGTTTGGGAATAAGGTAAATGGTGCCGCCGTGGCTGAGATCTGCTGACGGCGAGGCTGTTGGCGTCGGCCACGGTCGCGACTAAGTCCCATGAACTTGTCCTGACAGACGGATTCTAGGTGTCCCCGGCGTCCACAGTATCGGCAGGTAGTCTCCTTGTGTGGGCAATTCTGCTTAACATGGCCTTGAGCTCCACAACCAAAACATCGTCCGCGCATACGGGCAAGGAAGGCCTCCCTGCTATTCCCAGTGCTGGTATGAGTAGCATCAATGTCCATGGCGTGAGGGTCGGCAGGGGTAATGTGAGCGGTGTGTGCGGGAGCGTGTCCGGTTTTTCGGCCGGTCATGGTGGGATCATGCAGGTAGACATCCACCGATATGGCTCGTTTGATTGCCTCTTTCAAAGTTGGAGCGATTCCTTGGGCGATGTTTACGATGATAAGGTGTTGTCGGATCTCCGGAAGTAAGGCGGTGAAGAAGCGTTCCCGTAAATCAATATCAGACATTTCAGTCCGATCTCCGATATCCTTGAACTTCTGGGCAAATTCTGCAACTGTCTGCCCTTTACTTTGTCTGAGGTTCTTGATCTCGCTACGGGCTTCCATACCTGGGTCCATTGGTTCAAACCGCTGGCTAAATTCCTTCAAGAACGTATCCCAGTTTCCTCCGAAAGGGGGATTCTCTGCACTGAAGTGTAACAGATGGGGAGTTGCCCAATCTCCAGCACTTTCTGTGAAGAAGCCCAGGGCGGACTTGATAAGTTTAACTTGGCTCTTGGCGAGATCCGGTTGTTCTGACGCCCAATTTTGGAACTGAGCCATGAAGCGACGAGCTTCAGCACCATCTTTACCCTTGAAGACCTCGGGTTTGTTCATGCTTGACTTGGATGATGAGCGTTCCTCCATCGCTGTAGCAAGGCTGGCTACTTGTCTGATGAGCTGAGCCATGAGATCCTCAGCAGAGGTATTTGGGGCAGGCGGGACAGGAGTCGACATGATGGGAGTAGGCAATCGGGGTTGGGGAATTGGCAGGAAGGTTATATTGCTCACAGTGAGTGGCTCTCGGATCGAGTTCGAAAGGGCGTTGGGGCAAGGTTGAGACTGGCAATCGCGCCAAGTATCGTTGTTGTTGTGGGCGTGAGCTTGGTCTCTGGGGTCAAGTGCGTGCGGGAGTGCGGAGCAGTCTATACTGGCAGCAGGTGTTTCAGAATCGGGCGAGACTGGGGAAGACGTGGTGTCTACGGATCCTGCAAGGACAACCTTATCGGTAGGCTGTCAGTGCAGTAATGTATCTTGACCTAATGTCACGAAGCGGCAGAGGCGGAGTGACTAGCGGAGCAGGAAGCGGGGTGACTAAGCCAGGCAGAGAGGCGGAGCGACTAAGCAGGTGAGTGAGGCGGAGCGACTAAGCGGAGCGGAGGCGAACTGGTCCCAGATAATGACAGAGATATATTGAGTATCGTAGTCATAGGTAATAATAAGTAAGCACATACCTGGTCCCAGATAATGACAGAGAGGTCAAGATAAGGGACCAGGCTGTGGAGGGTTGGCTATATATACATAATCTAGTCTGCGAGAAACAACGATGTAATACTGTACAGTTCAGGGGCAAGGAAGGAGGCGGAAGCCGATAGAAAGAGAAGGTGGGTCAGGTGGATCAGTAATAGATAGATCAGTAATCGATGGAGATTGACAGCGATGGGATGATGTATTGTACAAGTAAAGGCGTCGAGACGGTGAGAAAGGGAAAATGATAGGGGCTGCGTACTTTATGACACACTGGACAAGATTTAATTTAGGCACTGGAGTATCAATGGATGGGTCTAGTCCACTCTATTGTGCAGCATTCCATGGTTTGATACAAAGCACTGCAAGTTTGATTGTTGGTACAAACCAGGTTCAAATTGATGAGCCCTCAGGTGAATTAGGAACTGCACTATCTGCAGCAGCATATTCTGGGAAGAAATCTATTGTGGAGCTTCTTCTAATGAATGGTGCTAATCCTAATATTCAGCATGGTCTATATGGCACAGCTCTCCAAGCTGCAGCATATAGGGGTAATGAGAATATTGTACAGCTTCTTCTTGACAATGGTGCAGAAGTAGATAGCCACAGTGGTAAATATGGAAATGCACTCCAAGCTGCATGTATGGGCAAACAAAATATTGTCAAATATCTTCTCAAGAGAGGAGCTGACATTAATGCCAATGGTGGAGAATATGGAAATGCACTCCAAACTGCCGCATTTTGGGGCAATAAGGCTATTGTTCAGCTGCTGCTTGAAAATGGAGTGAATGTAAATGCTCAGAGTGGTTATCCCCTCCAAGCTGCTGTATTGTGGGGAAATAAGACTATTGTAAAACTACTGCTGAACAATGGAACCAATGTAAATATTCAAGGTGGTAAATATGGAAATGCACTTCAAGCTGCTGCATTAAGGGGTGATAAAAGTATTTTCAAATTTCTCCATGAAAAAGGGGCTGATGTCAATGCTGATTGTGGTCAATATGAAAATGCTCTTCAAGGGGCTGCATATATTGGGGATGCAGATATTGTTAAGCTTCTCCTTGAGAAAGGAGCAAATGTCAATCTTAAAGGTGGCCAGTATGGAAATGCTCTTCAAGCAACTGCATTTCGAGGCAATCAACATGTCTTTGAACTTCTAATTTCTCATGGAGCTGATGTTAATGCCCAGGGTGGTGAATATGGGAATGCCCTCCAAGCTGCTGCGCTAAATGCCACTGAAAATATGGTGAAAGATTTGCTCAAATGGGGCTGATGTTAGCTCAAAAGGTGGTCAATATGGGAATGCACTTCAAGCTGCTTCCTTCCGGGGAAACAAAAATAATGCTCGGGAATGACACTATGATCTTTCAAATTACATGGGTTATACAAATGTGGGGAGATCTGAAATTTCAGTTTTCAACATAAAGACACCCTTGTTCCATATTGTAGTTACTGTTCATCTGTCTGCATATCCATTCATTGATCAGCTCATGTGTACATAACTATACTGGTTGTTTAGGGAGACCAAGTAAAAGCAATAGGAAGGAGTTGAAGAGGAAGAGGAGGGGGTGGACTTGAGTGCAGCATAAGGGAAAAGGGGGGGAGCAAAGCAAAAAAAGGGGGGGTCTAAGGGTGGGGAAGACTTGGAGAAATTAAGTTCAGCATAAGGAAAAAGTAAGGAGAGCAAAGGGGAAGGTTGGGGGAGAATGAATTGAGTGCAGCATAAAGGATAACAAAGGGACAAGCAAGAGAGAGAGCAAGGGATAGGGGAGGTTATTGAAAGTGGAAGGAGAGGAGGAGGGGCCAATGAGGGAACAAGGGGAAGGCATAGTAGGATTGATATTGGGAGGATGAAATTTCACCAACTTGTTCCAAGCATGGTGATTGTGACCCAACTACCACTATGAATTTGCAAGCTATTGTGAATCATACCCCACCAATGAGTGTAATAAATTATGTACTTGAAGAGTTATATGATAGATGGACATGTATCTGATAGGTCAGAAGCAGTTGTCTTATTGGATTAAAAGGCAGCTTGTAGAGCAATGCCATATTACACCCTCAATACTTGTTAGCTCCATGGGCCAGAAGAAACTCCACAATATCATTATTTCCCTTATACAGCAGCCTGAAGGGCACTTCCAAAAAATCCACCATGGATATTGACATCTGCTCCATGAACAAGGAGGTAAGGTAAGGTAAGCTGTGAGTTTCATTACCGGCTCAGGATCGAGTACTGATACATCGATAGATCCAAGAACGCTATAGAATGTGCCTACTGAGAGTTGAAAACGTTCTGAATAAACGTGTACATGTTTTCCATCTGAGATTTTGGCTCTCGATCAAAAAGGTGATCTAGACCCGGAAGTTCCTCATACTCATACTCGACGTCAACATGAGTCTTTTGCAGGTCCTTCAACGCCTCCACAATGTTTCGGGACTGCTCTACAGGAACTTTGAGGTCCTTATCTCCATGTACTATGTACGTCGGAGGAACAGACATTTTGTTGGGAGAAGAAAGGGCTTTCAGGTATCTGGCAACAGAAAATGTGGTTGGAGGAATATTGGTGCTGGACAGTAAGAGGTCCGCCAGGAGAGCCCTGACAAAAAGTTCAACAATCATTGCCGTAGCATACACCATTACCGTTACTCACTCTTGCACCATATAGCTATAGAAGATAGCTCTTGGACTGTCCAACGCAGAAGAAGCAATTCGACTCTCTGGGTCATTGGGATCGAGAAAAGGCTGAACTTCCTCGTATGCGACTACCCTGTTCATGTATTTCACAGGCCTTTGCGTTGTATTCCAGAACGGATCCTCCAAATCTGTGATAGGGTAGATCGGGACCACGCCCTGTACACTCGGCGGTTTGGGTACTCCCGCTTCATCGAACCCGATGACATATCCACACAGGAGGGACAGCCATCCCCCCGCAGAAGATCCAGATAATATCACCCGAGTCGGATCTGCACGACCCTCAGTCGCTTTCTTGAACTGATCACTGTGGAGGAATTTGATTGCGTCGGCGCAGTCAGAGAGGATAGTTGGAAGGCGGAATTGTGGTGCAAGGCGATAATCCGCAGAGACAAAGGTTATATTGTGATTCGCCGGAGCACGAAGATGGTGAGGAGAGACACCTACACCTCGCATCAGAGTTCTGTGAATTCGGCTTGAATCATAGTCTTTACCTTTCCTAGTACCCTGTGAAATATGAGTGAAAAGACAACACATCGGCGCGGATAATCCGTACCTGGAGCAAACCCCCGCCGTGCCACCAAAGAAGAATTGGAGCTGGACTTTGAGAAGAGGCCGAAGGAGACAGATAGACATCCATACTAATGTCGATACCATCCGCATGTTTGAAGAGAATCTCGATCGGTTTGTACTGGGACGCCATGGAGGTTAGCAGAAGGCCAGTTCTCAAGCGAATGAATGTTAAAAGGAGATAAGAAATGAATGAGTCAGCAGGTAAGGGGTAGTTGGGAAAATCATCACATCCGCAAAGACTCATCCGCTCAGATAATAGAAACATGCTCAAGCGCACATACATGATCCCAGAAGGAGATGTAGCTGCAGCTGCACCCTCGCATTCAGAGAAGAAATGCTTGACTCTCAGCAAAACGACTGCAAAATGTGACACTACTACTAGTAAGACGTGGTCCAAACTTGGCAGGTGAGAGGAGACGCACCAAACTTATCGAGCTTCTCTCAGGCTCGTCAGACCCATATAGTTTTAACTTCGCTGAAAGCAGTATATTATAAGGATGAAGGCCATATGGTTTAGGGGGAAAAATACAAGCCTTGTCCAGAAAGTGAAGGAGTCAGGCAACCCAGATCTAAAGAAAACTGAAGAAAGTGAACAATGAACGTGGGGGGGAGTTGGAGTTGGTTGGTATTTCATTGACGTTAGTAAATAGAAAAACGGAAAACAGACGAGATGAGATATGGCAGCGAGTGAGTGAGTGAGCAAGAGGACGGACGAAGATTATGCAACAAAACAGGAAAACGACGAGGAAAGGGAGATGCAACATTTGGGCCAAATTTGTGTACGATGTTAATTAAAGAGAGTTTTAGAAAGGAATATGTATGACACAGTGAGGAATAGATATGTGTTACACCGAACAAGAAATGGAGACAGGAATCGTCCACTAAAGGCTGATCCATGTCAGATTTTGTTTGACCGGGATCCTCCTTTGATAGATTAGACTCGATAAACGAGATTCTAAAAAAAAGGGTGATATCACCCCTTCATCCGGTAGTGGTCCAAGATTCGCAAGCCTACAAGAAGTGATACAACAGCGAAGCCCTATGTTGAGCCGCCATTCCCACGGAAGGCGAGCGATCTACAGGCCGCGTGTATCAACACGATGTCGGGTCAACACATGATGCAGATGGTCGGTCGGCACACCTTGAAATTTTTTTTTCATCCCGCCTCATTCCTTGCTCGTACCATCCGAAAATAAAAAATCCAATACACCTCCCACCCCGCCCCTACAACGGATCTACAACCCCCCCACCAAGAAAGAGTAGTCATTCCATCCCAGCACGCTACTACTTAAACATCTACATAGATCAGCACCGGTTCTCCGACGCCTTCGATCTCGGGAATGACACATTTCAGATCAAAGGCTTTGGCAAGCACAATCTTGAATATCTTCTGTACGTTTATCGATGCTGATGTCGAACAGAATATTAATGATGCGTGCATGGCTCGTGCAAATCGTTTGGCCTGGGGCAATGCGGTTTTACGTTGGTGTCAGGGTTACAGGACGGAAGAAACAGAGGGGTTCATCCCTCACCTGTTTGGTGATTTCCTCCTGTTCATCTCCAGGGAAGGTGGCGAATTGGTCAAATTTTGTGCCTATGAGAAACGGTATGGCGGTCTGCGGATGGTTTGAGATGGGATTGCACCAGCACTGAGTAGATTTAGCGTACCTTGTTGAACCCCCGAGCTTGTCGATACCATTCCTTGACGGAATTGAGCGTCGATTTCCGCGAAAGGTCAAACATGAATAGGATGGCCACCGCGTCATTGCAGACCAATGGAAGCATATTGACGAACTCTCTCTGTCCTCCAAGATCCCATATCGAAAATGTAATCGTCGTCCGCCGCACTGAGATGGTCTTTTCCATAAAGTTGACGCCTGAGTGCGATATATGAGCGCAACAGGGCAATAGAATCATATCACCGAACTCACCCAGCGTCTGAATATAATCCTCATCGAAGCTGCCTTCCACATATTTGACCATAAGACTCGTTTTCCCAATCTGGGAGTCACCAACCATGCCGACTTTGATAACGACGCTGAACACAATAGTCAGATTAGTCACTTATCAGAACTTCCGTTGCTTGACTACGACAATTCACCTGTTCTTCTCGTCGTTGTTTTCCAGGTGCGGATGCAAGTTCTGGCTGCTCCCACTTCCTGAAGCTGCGGGCGTCGAAATAGACGATGAAGCTGAGTGTGACATGATCCTCGATAATCAATAACAGACAGGTACGATGGGGGTATATCCAGGATAACCAACGCCGAGACTGAGGATATAACAGCGAAGAGATGGTCGAGTTGGTCGGGCTGTACGATGACAGTGAAGAGGAAAAAGGAGAAAATAAATGAATGACGCGTCCTAAGATTCGCAAGGTAATAAACGGCTTATCGCTCCCTACACCTTGAAGGGTGTCGAGGTATGGATGGACGCTGCCGTCGTAACGCGAGCTGCAAAAGGCGAGTGTGTCAAATGCGTAAAGCTGTTTTCTGATCAAATTATTCACACGACATCTTTTCGTCGGCAACCCAATCCCGGTCCCCTTCGCCCTCAATTGAACACTGGATTTACTGATTGTACAACAAATTTCATTTGAACGACACTAGAAATAGTACACTGTGATCATACAACATGCTGATTTTACGGAGACAACGATTTCAAATCAAAAGTACATCTGGTCCTTAGAGCTTCAGGTTGGGAGCGATACCAATGTTTGCCCTGAACTTCACGGACTCGCTGGCAGGCTTGAATGCCAATGGCTTCACAGTGGGAGCGCCGACAGCCTTGGCAATACGGTCGGATAAACCTTGATCGACGGCAGCCCAGACAGACACTGAAACAACAACTTCTTAGAACGTTTCTTGGAACGGTAAAAAAAATATGACATACATTGCCTAGCTCGGACCTCTGCGCTCTTGACACCGCCAAAGTGCGCCGCAACATTTTGAACGTACGCCTCACGCTGCTCGTCATTCCAAACCTTTGCCCACAATGCCCGGGGTTGCTCAAAGTCAACTATACCGCAAGTCAATCATTGACAAAGAAAATTGTGCTGCTGCAAACATCCACTCACGCTCGTTGATCACACTCAGATCCCTAAAAGCAGCACCGACAAAGTTCTCGTGTTTCAGCTCCCGCTCAAAGTCTCGAGCACCACCCTCGAGGGTTCCCTGCGCGCCCTTGTAGGCCAGAGGTTGAATTGAGCTCTGGTAGTTGGGCCGTGCGCCTTGCGACACAAAGGTGGCCGGACCATCTCGTTGGAAATTGGCGATTGGTACGATGGGTGCATTCACAGGAAGCTGCTGGTAGTTTGTGCCCAGACGATGTCTTGGGAGACCATGGTTAATTTCACTACTCAACTTCATCGAGCCGGCTTACCTGTGAGTATCGGGGTACGAGAACAGACGCGATTGAAGAACGGGGTCGGCGGATGGCTCGATGTATGGCACAAGGTGAGAAGGCGAGAAAGCAGCCTAAGATTTGCATAGCTGTCAGTGTTTGAAAGATTTCTAAAAAATTCATTCACCGACCTGTTCAATCTCAGCAAAGTAATTTTGAGGGTTCTCATCAAGAACAAATTTTCCGACTGGGCGCAAGGGGAATTCGCCATGAGGCCAGACCTTGGTCAAATCGAGGATGTTGTATCGGAATTTTTCCGCTTGCTCTGGGGTCATGGTTTGCTATGAGACGGTGAGTGCGAATTCAGAAGAATAAGAACTGTTGAACTCACAACGTAGACAGTCCAGCTCGGGAAGTTTCCACTTTCGATCGCTTCGAACAGTGTTTGAGTACCATAGTCGGGGTTCGAGCCTGCTAGTTCGCCTGCTTTAGCGTTGTTCAGAGTCTGAATGGATGATTAGATTGCAGCGAAATTTCAAAGTTAGTTGATTACCTTGAATCCACCGTCAGCTCTAACGTGGAGTTGGGTGTAGACGAAAGACCCATCGGCCTTGAACCACTTGTGGGTGTGGCCAGAATATCCGTGCATATTGTGGAAACCGTCTGGAGTTCCACGGTCAGAGAATAGAATCATGATCTGATGAATAGATTCAGGGTTCTGGCCGAGATAGTCCTGCAAGAGAGATGTGAGTAGCGATATTTTGGGACGCATAGTCATGACACACATACCCAGAACATGTCTGCATCTTTCAAGTGAGTCTGAGGATCTCTCTTCTGGGTGTGAATGAAGTGCGGGAATTTGGAAGGATCTCTAATGAAGAAAACGGGAGTGTTGTTCATTACCCAGTCCCAGTTGCCCTCCTCGGTTCTGAGCTTGATGGCGAAACCACGGGGGTCACGAGCAGTGTCCGCGGAGCCCGACTCGCCTCCGACCGTGGAAAACCTGGCAGTCGTTCTAACCCTCTTGCCAACAGACTTGAGCAGAGCATTGTCGGTGATGTCACTCAAATCGTGCGTGACCTCAAAGTATCCATGAGCGCCTGCACCTTTAGCGTGGACCTTGGGAGAGCAAGTTGAGTATGATATCATTTCAAAATACAATGATGTCACTTACAACACGCTCTGGGATACGCTCTCGGTCAAAGTGGGCAATGAGATCGATGTGGTGAAAGTCTATTTGATTGATTAGCTTATCGTTGTTTACAGTATATGCTTCGCTCGCTACCGACCTTGGATAAGTAGTGGTCCGTTGAGCCCTAGTCTTTGCGCTGCATAAGGCTCCGAAACAGGTGCACCGTTGGAAGTGGTGTATGTTGCACCGTCTTTAGATTCAAAAACTTGTTTGGATGGCATGGTCAGTGTGAGATGATCGTTAGAAAGAGAGTGTTCTTTAAAATTTACACCCTTTTATACTTGCTCATTTGTCCCAGATCATTGGCTTAATGCGGCTTCAGATCTACTATATCCTCATGTGATGTGGGGTATATGCTTAATAACTCATCTCCTATTGGCTACGCTCCGCTGTTGCGCGATCCAAGAAAGACTAGGTCCGTATTCTTTCAAGACTTATGAGGTGAGAGAGAATCATCTGATGTTCGCACTCAATTCGCTCTCAGGTCATCTGAAGGTTAAGAATCTCGTCCAGCTTTTGCCAATTCACTTTCCTTGATGCTGTGAATCGGACAAGGCCGGGTATCCTAGTCTTGCTGCAAGTTTCTGCCATTGTTTTTGGATAACTTCGTAACCGGTAGGCGTATATCCCCACGGTTTCAGGAGAATCACGGAAGTTCCCCTTGCAGGATCGCACTTTGCACTTTCTTCACTCATTGGTAGAGCTTCGCTAGTTCGAAAAGCAACACTTTGTTCAAGCACCGTTTCTCTCTTCGTGGATCCGTTGCCAAAAGAGCCGAGAACACGGAGAAAATGTCGATGCATGACAAGACTTCGACGCAATCTGATGTCTTTCCGAGTGGAAATAACTGGGACGCAACGATTGCATTCTTTTCAATCTACGTGCGGCTGGCCATCTGTCACTAACCAGTGGGCAAGTGACTGCCAATCCACACTCTTCGCAAACCGTTGATATTTTCGCGGCGGGCAACAGATTCTATTTGAAGCTCCCGTTGGAGCATGACCTACAAAAGAGTAGAGCATAGTCCTGGAGCACGCGTCTGTAACCCTGGTCCTTGACGCACTTGAAACTGAGCCTCCCGTTATTCACTGCAAGGAAGGAAGGAAGGAGGCATGAATGAATGACCACGCTCACCTGAACTACTCAACTCTTTGTTTGAGTTTGGACGATGCCAGTTTGCCTGCAGATTCGGAATATGTTCGATATTGATTGATTGAAATAGTGTTTGTTCTTGAGATCCGCACGAAGGTCATCGGAATATGCACTCTTTAAAGGAGAAGCCTCACTTTAACGTACGACCATAAGTTTCTCTGATTCTTTCTCATCGGAATTCCGACAAGCCGTACAACGGAACTTGGTTTTCGAGATTTTACCTTTGAGCTATGTTGACAATTTGGTTCACTGGCCATTGTTATCAAGCTTGAGCACCATCTTGGTGCTGACGAGATGAAATGCCACTGGAACTTGAAGACATATTTCAGCGCTATGAAGATTTAGTCGGCGCCTAATTCTCTTCTCAAGCCATCATCTTCTCCAGATCGCGAACATGGCATAGTTCCTACAATACACCACACAATCAACAATGACTCCGCCGCCCGATGAAGGCCACAGACTTTTCACTCCAAACACCATGTCTTCCCACACGATTGTCGATAGGCTCTACCTCTGCCAAACAGTGATCATGGAACTGCGTTAGGCCGGGAAAACCATATCGAAAATCGCATGATCATCTGTATAAACTGTACTACACCTTCACTGTCACTTTGACTTAACAGGCTTTCGAGGCCTTTCAACTTTCCAGACTCACTGATCTATCTACCGATCCCAATAGCCTTCAAATTCTTACTTCCGACATGCACGAAATAGTCATCGACAAAAGGTCCGAATGAATTATTTACTTCATACATTCATTTAATATTCAGACGAAGATCAGCAAGGCTCTTACATGTAATCGACGCTCTGCTAAGCGCTCATGATGATATCTATACGGTACCTTGTTCATCATCTCTGTGCCTTCTGGCGGGACCGATGCGACTACATCGGTTCTGGTGTGCTCGAGAAGCCCTTCAGCGCTTTACTTGTGTGCCAGAGCGTTTGCTATGCTCATAGAGGACCTTATACGACTCGAGGTGGGTCCTTCATTCCGCTTTCCATGGTACCCACCCATAATCACCGACCACGTATTACATAGACAGATTCACTTATCGCCACAAAATTAAAACCCAATAAAATTCTACACGACTCCCCAGCGCTGAATTGGGCTTTTCGGAGCTGCAAAAAAAAGCTGTTGAACGAGCGGCTCCTTCACGATTTTATGAAGCCGCGTTTATCCCATCGATATCCCTGACATATAGGATGTTAAACGGTACACGAGTCAAAAAACTTATTTACTACTTAGAACTCAGAATGGGGTGTGGGCGCCTTTGCGCCTACATATATTGGGTCACTTCCAATCGATGTAATCCGACTTACTTACTTCTCCTTCTCCTTTCCCAATCCAAATGGCCTCGTATCTCCAGGAAGTCCTGAGTATGATCATGATGACCCCCAACGCCAGCAGTACCGCAGAACCCCACATCAATCCGGTGGCATCACCCTCAACGACTTCACCTTCCCAAACGACTATTTCCAATATCATCGCCTTTCTTTTCTCATTATCGGCTTTGAGAGATTGGGTGAAGCTCATCGTGCTTGGAGGGTTTTTCGAAACATGCAGACGAATCGTCTTGGGAATGTACTCCAAACTGATCTCTTCGTTCTGGATGAACGCATATTTTGAAGATCAAGATCCTTGTTATAGTATGTCCCCTCATAATCTTATGTATATCACGCCACTGATATTAGTACTAACTTTCGCATTTTTCGTCATATGTAGATTGGTTGATGGTCTGGCTTTCGAAGCAACCCTCTTGGAGTAAGGATTGATTATGTTACTTTGTTCAGCCTTTTTCCCTCCTTCTGATTCTTTGAATTTCACAATAGAAAAATCGCGCGACGTTCAAATAAGCACTCAAACCTACGGCGCTAAGAGTAGTTCCATCACGTTGGATGGGGAAGACAACTACAGTAGCCAGTTCAAATCATATCGCAAGCTCTCTTACCTCCCTTCGCTATCTGTCACGTACAGCCTTTGGTACAAGGGCTGCTACATGAACATCATTCGTACTCAACAGGAAACTCGCTGGTATGGGGATAAAGAAAACACTTTACAGATAAGGTAAGGGACTCTCTGACCTGATCCCAGAAAGGAGTTATCATGATTCCATTTTTCCGTCAGTCTGTTAACTCGAGATCGAGATATTCTCGTACACCTCCTTCAAGAAGCCAGACAAGAATACATGGCTGCCCAAGAACACCATATGTGTATATTTGTCAATGATAGGTTCGTGCACTACCATTCCAGAGCTACGATCCTAGAGTGATATATACGCTCTTTCAGCATGGGCAACTGCTGGAGCCACGTAGCTTCCCGGGCTAAACGCAGTATGACCTCTATTATCTTGGATCCCGGAGTCAAGGAGCTGTTATTGAAGGACGCTCGTGACTTTCTGGAAAGTAAAGCTTGGTACTCCGAACGAGGTATCCCCTACCGTCGTGGTTATCTCCTTGTAAGTCCGCCAAGTGCCGCGTTTCTACCGGTCTTCTGAAGACCGACTCATGATTTCAAAAAAATAGTGGGGTGCACCAGGATCCGGCAAGTCATCGCTGATCCACGCACTTGCCGGGGAACTTGGTCTTGATGTCTACGTGCTCTCCCTCGGGAAAGCAGGCTTGGACGATAGCTCGTTGAATGGCTTGATAAACCAGTTGCCAGAACGATGTATTGCGCTCATGGAGGATGTTGACGCTGTTTTCACGCATGGACTCAGCCGCGACTCCGACGCCGTGGGTGCTCTCGCAAATCTCCCTAACCCCTCAAGATCTCCAACGGCATCGACCCCTGCCCCTTCGAATAACAGAGTTACACTGAGTGGACTCTTAAACGCTCTAGATGGTCAGTTTGACTTTTTGAATGTGTCAGTTGCGATGAATTTATAACTCCGAAATGAATCTAGGTGTCTCTGCTCAGGAAGGTGAATACTAATGAGCATTACGCTTCCAAGTTGGATAAGCTAAGTGACTATTCGTACTTAGGTCGTATTTTATTCGCCACGACCAACAAATATTCTTCTCTCGATTCGGCTTTGCGCCGCCCCGGGCGAATGGATGTCCATATTGAATTCAAGCTTGCAAGCAAATACCAAGCACGAGAGTTATTTCTGCGATTCTTCAATCCCAGGAATACTCCAAAGATCGTCGAAGACAACGAAACTGATTCGGGCGATTCTATTGGGAGTGCTGATTCTGGATATACCTCCACTCATGACACTCAACTCACGGTTCATTCCTCCTTCCGTGAAAACAAATTCCCGATTGAAAAACTCAAATTGTTGGCTGACGACTTTGCGGAGGCGATACCAGAATATGGATTTTCTATGGCAGCCTTGCAAGGGTATCTGATGATGTACAAGACACAGCCATTGGAAGCAGTCGAGCAGATCGGTGCATGGTTGCAGAAGGAAAAGGAGGAACACGCCACTAAAAATCAGGAGGCGCAGACGAAAAAGGTAGGGTCATTGGAAGAAGAGAAAGAGACATTAGAGCAGGAGGTGACAAAGAGAGTGGAGAAAGCAGTACGAGAACGATTGGAACGAGAGAAACTAGAGAAGGAGCTCATGGAGAAAAAGGTGGAAAGCTGGTTAATCGAACGACCTTTATGAGGACATAGGCGTTTCGCATATGTTTCTGCCTACGATGAGGCGAAAGACTAATCAACGACCAATCACGAAATTACTCCATACTATATGTATTCTTTTCCAACTTGGAAACAATGAGAACGAAGCACATAAATCAAGTGCACTACGCGCGTACCTCAGTCTCGAGTTGCCGCCGAACACGAAATTCTTCATCTGCTTTTATAACAAGATGATTGTCGTCCAAATCTTCGATGATGAAACTCTGCTGTTCATTCATAGTGAGCAAGATCTGCTTCACGGCAGCGTCACTGAGAAGCAGGGGTAAATTCAGAAGTATGGAATGCTCTCTATACTGACCATGTGAAAAGTACACCTGTAGGAAGAATGACTGTTAAATTGCATTCATTTGAAACAACTGCAGTATAACAAAAGTGACCTTTGATTGCTCTCATCTCTCGGCCGCGCTCAAGCTGAAGTTCACTCGATTACCCGGAGAACCTTTTTCTCAGCTAGTGGCGGTAACCGGTCAAGAGCGGTCAGCGTGATGTTTGCCAGTGCCTGTCGACGTTTCAAATTCGGCCAGCTCCCTTCCCGCTTCCATTTCATCGCCCGATTCCACCAAATTCGGCCTCAGAACAGGAGTATGCCGCTTCCAACGCAAGTGTCAGTAAAAGGAATCGAAATCCAGTTGCGTGACAAGTTCAAATTCTTACTTTGTTTGTAATCTAATCTCTCATCGGTGATTCAATCGCTCTTTCTCTTATAATCCTCCGACGCCATGGAAAATGATGATAAACGAACGCCCACTCTTCGCGAAATTAACAACATGTTGAATGAACGACTACATATGATTACTAGCGCAGTACCACTACCTCCTATGGCACCCCCTGCAACCGGCGCTCAAGGACCGACCCCACATCATGGTTGGTGTAACCCACTCGAGTCATCCATCCTCTGCTCTGTTCTTTTCTCATCGAATTATACTCAGGTTCGACCAGGTTAAAACCCCTCAAATCTCCAATCCAAGAAGGCAAACTCTCTGTGATTGAAAGATCAAAGCAGCTTGCAGCATGGACTGCTGTAGATGAGCATGTCCTTCCGGAATACCGGGTAAGTCAACCTTCCTTGTATACAATGTCGTCCAACTCAGTTAATCTAGGTTATTGGGATTGGATCTGGTTGGTGCTGTTGATCTGATACCCCCAATGTCAAGCTAATAGTAACAAGGCTCCACCGTTCCATATGTCGTCGAAAGAATTGTCAGTCAAGGTGCAGAAGCCAACAAGGATCGAGTATTCATACCCACTGGTGCGTCGAAATAGTCCCTCATTTCTTGGACTATACCAAATTAACATCAATGTAGGTTTCCAATCCAAAGAATTAATTGTATCGTCGGGCCTAAGCTTAGGAGACGTTGATCAGTACCCAACCATTGATGTGACTCTGGATGGTGCAGACGAGTCAGTGACATCCACTTGAAATCAATATATATCTTGCTCATAGTACTTAGAGTTGACACTCAACTCAACTGCATAAAAGGAGGAGGTGCCTGTCATCTCAGAGAAAAAGTGCTGGCCGAGGCCGCTACAACGCGAGTATATTTTTGCGCCCTGTGAAGCCGATACACTATAATTATCATACAGGTTCATCCTTGTTGCTGATTATCGCAAGAATGTTGAATACCTGGGAACGAACGTAGGCATCTATCTGTTCTCAGATAATTCATTATCATATACATATCCTTCCATAGTTCAAAGCAGGTGTACCCATTGAAGTTGTACCCTTTGCCTATGCAAAAGTACTGCAAAACTTGCATCAAGTCTTGAACTCTCCGAAGGCCACATTACGAATGGCAGTTGCTAAAGGTAGCGTTGGCATTTTCCCATGAGCGATCTTCACGTTAATGATATCCTTCTAGCTGGGCCGGTCGTATCCGACAACGGAAACTTCATTATCGATGCACCTTTCGATGTGGAGAGAATGAAAGAGCCCTATAAGGTGATTGAATCTCACATTATCTTGCGGCTCAGGCATTCTGACGCTCAGGCCAGATCATGGCCCAAATCAAAATGCTTACTGGTGTTGTTGAGGTCGGGCTATTCTGTCATATGGCTCGAGCTGCGTACTTTGGAAATCAGGTTCGTTTCTTCCCATCGAGATGATAGTCATTCATTCATAACACCTTATAACAGGACGGTAGTGTAACCGCCAAGTGGAATGACGGAAAGATCCAAGAAATTCCAGCAACCAACTCTTGATTTTCAGATCTGTGCCAGGTAGCGCTATAATGTAATTAGAAGCAGACGCGATTTAGACGGCATGTACTACACATGGAGTAATTAGAGACACAGTTGTATACTAAATTGTACTGCAATACTTCAGGTAGTGAGATGAACTTCGTACAATTTTGTCCTCGGCCCACGATTTCCGCGTACGAAGTTCATCCTGTACTCGGCCGTGGACATCGGTTCGAAATCTATCTTTCCACCGTTGAAGATCAACAGGTTGGAATAGGATTATCGCTGCTCAGCGCGTTCAGAGCGGGAAGAATGAGGTGAGATCGTTTCCACGTGGCTCGAGCAACTCAATCATGAATTTCTTCGAGTCACTGATAAAATCTCCTTACCTTGGTTCAAACTCGGTCCACTACACCTTGTATGCTGTCAACGATGACTGCTACGACAGACGTTCAAAAAATCAGCATTTTGGGCAAGGAATCCATACATTGTGGATTCCATCTCGTTCCCTACATCGTCAACACCGTGCTGACGGAGTTGCCTGCATCGACTTACATTCTAATCACTGATTCAAATATAGCAAAATTCTACCTTCCTGCTTTCGAAAAAGAGTTTAGATCTACTCTATCGGGTCTCTTGAATGGAACCCACGCTCGTCCTCGTTTTCTCAGCTATATCATACCTCCAGGCGAAACGTCGAAGAGTCGCGAGGGCAAGGCCGCCGTAGAAGACTTTCTTTTACTTAATAAATGTACTCGAGACACTGTGATACTTGCTCTCGGAGGGGGAGTTGTAGGCGATCTAGTTGGATTCGTTGCTGCAACTTTGTGAGTTCGCTCTCTCTTAGATTTGCATCGTTAAACCTGATTGGATTTCCAAGCATGCGTGGTGTTCGTTTCTGTCAGATTCCCACTTCCTTGCTGGCGATGGTCGACTCTAGTGTTGGCGGTAAGACCGCCATCGATACTCCACACGGCAAGAATTTGATTGGGGCTTTCTGGCAACCCGAATTTATCTTCATTGATGCTGCTTTGTTGGAAACTCTCCCTTCGCGTGAATTCTCAAATGGAATGGCGGAGGTGGTCAAGGTACGTACACCGTCCGTAGTCTGTTGCTTTACTCAGTATACTGTTAGACCGCCGCCATATGGGACGATTCAGAGTTCAATTCCTTAGAATCGCGTTCGGCCGAGATCTTTGCCGCTATCCAAACTCCGTCAACTAACTACGCAGGTCGCTCAGAAAAGACCCGATCCGATGCCCAGAAGTTACTTCTCTCAGTAATCATAGGGTCGATATCTGTCAAGGCTCACATTGTTACTATCGATCCTACAGAGAAAGGCCTTCGAAACCTTGTAAACTTTGGGCATTCTATCGGACATGCTATCGAAGCTATTCTTACCCCTACGATTCTTCATGGAGAATGTGTTAGTATCGGGATGATTCTGGAGGCTGAGCTCTCCAGGCAAATGGGCATTCTTAGCCAAGTGTCAGTCGGACGCTTGACTCGTTGTCTGAAAGCCTACAATCTTCCCGTGTCACTCGCTGACCCTCGTATTGCCAATTTGCCTTCCGCCAAACTCATCACAACCGAGCGTCTTTTGGATATCATGAAGGTCGATAAGAAGAATCAGGGGAACGACAAGAAGATTGTCCTTCTTTCTAGGATCGGTGCTACATACGAGCAGAAAGCATCTGTGGTCCCTGATGGCCTCATTTCCAAAACCCTTTCCGAATCTGTGACTGTCGTACCCGGGATTCCTTCGTTTAACCCCGTCAAAATGACCACACCAGGATCCAAGAGTATTTCTAACCGAGCTTTGGTTCTTGCTGCACTCGGGACTGGAATCTGCAGGCTCAAAAATCTGCTTCACTCTGACGATACGCAAGTAATGATGGCGGCTCTCAGTGAACTCAAAGTGGGTGTCCAATCAGTTTGCATTCTCCAACGCTATAACCTGTTTTCACTATAGGGTGCCAAGTTTGAGTGGGAAGACGGCGGAGAGACCTTGGTCGTCCACGGCGGCAATGGTTCCCTCTCGGTTCCTCCGAAAGGAAAGGAAATTTACCTCGGGAACGCAGGTACTGCAGCGCGATTTCTGACTACTGTTTGTACGTTGGTGCAAAAGCCGCCCACGGGTGAATCGGAGACGACCGTCATTACAGGCAATGCGCGCATGAAGCAACGACCTATCGGTCCATTGGTTGCAGCTCTACGAGCTAATGGAAGCGAGATCAGTTATCTCGAGTCTGATGGCTGTCTTCCACTGTCTATTCGTCCAAATGGGCTCAGTGGAGGCATCATTCAACTGGCAGCCAGTGTATCCAGCCAATATGTTTCATCCGTCCTTCTTTGCGCACCTTACGCCAATGAGCCTGTCACCCTTGAGCTTATCGGTGGACAAGTCATTTCTCAACCCTACATCGATATGACGGTCGCAATGATGAAAACTTTTGGCATTGAAGTTATCCGTCGTGTTGAAAAGGATACGGGCAAACTCCTGGATATTTATGATATCCCCAAGGGGAGTTACCAAAACCCTTCCGACTATTCCATCGAATCCGATGCTAGTAGCGCGACCTATCCACTTGCTATCGCGGCTATTACTGGTACATCATGCACCATTCAGAACATCGGTTCATCGTCCCTACAAGGAGATGCAAAATTTGCGCGGGAGGTTCTCGAGCGTATGGGCTGCGAGGTCAATCAGACAGCTACGGAGACTACTGTCCAGGGTCCGCCCATTGGACAATTAAAAGCAGTCGAGGAAATTGATATGGAGGTCATGACGGATGCTTTCCTGACGGCCACCGTTCTTGCTGCTGTAGCAAACGGCAAGACTAGGATCATTGGAATTGCCAACCAACGTGTGAAAGAGTGCAATAGAATTCGTGCAATGATAGATGAGCTTGGTACGTGAGCTGAAACTAGAAGTAATTATGAAACTAATCATTGACCCAGCCAAGTTTGGCGTGAGCACAAACGAGCTCGATGATGGTCTGGAAGTTTTTGGCAAGCCAGTAGAACAGCTCAGAAAGGGAGTTAGTGTACACTGCTACGATGATCACAGAGTGGCCATGGCTTTTAGTGTTCTGGCTTCCTTAGTTCCCGGAACCATCCTTGAGGAAAAGCGATGCGTAGAGAAGACTTGGCCCAACTGGTGGGACGATCTACAAAACAAGGTTTGCTTCCTACGTCGATGGTAAATTCATTCCTGACATTCGAATTTTTCAAAGATTGGACTGGAAGTCAAGGGTGTCGAGCTATCTACTCCTTCTGTTTCCCTTTCCTCCACTCCCCTTTCCCCCAAGTCTGTGATACTCATTGGAATGCGTGGGTCTGGCAAGACTTTCATCGGCGATCTTGCTGCGTCAGCCCTTCGTTGGACTTTTATCGATGCTGACAACTACTTTGAAACTGTTCACCAGGTCGGTGTGCGCCAGTTTGTTCATGAGAACGGCTGGCCTGCTTTCCGTGAAGCTGAGACCAAGCTCCTGAAAGATTTACTTACCGAGAAAGGTCACGACCATGTCCTCAGCTTGGGCGGAGGAATTGTCGAAACTCCTGCCGCTAGAGATCTCTTGAAAGACTGGGTTTCCAGTGGAGGGCTTGTTGTGCATGTTTCACGGAATATTGGCGAAATTATTGAATATCTCGGTACTGAGGGCTCGAGACCTGCATACGGAGAGCCTGTCAGTGAGGTTTTCGAGCGTCGTGCTACTTGGTTTGCGGAATGCTCCAACCATCGTTTCATCAATCACGTCGAGGCCTTCGCAGATGGAAAAATTGTAGTCGACCCCACCGACACTAAGCGTGGTGTTCGTGAAGAGGTCTCTCGTTTCTTCCATCATATCAGTGGTGTATCTACCAATCTAGCTCAAAATCTGATGCCTGGACACCGCTCATACTTCCTTTCGCTCACATACCCTGATATTATGCTCGCTCTTCCCAAATTGGAAGAACTATCTGCTGGTGTGGATGCGCTCGAAGTCCGTGTTGATCTTTTACGCTCAAAGGAAGATATCGAGCCCTTGGGAAAACATATTCCCTCGGAAACATACGTTGCTGACCAAATTGCTGCTCTCCGTCGTGTCACTTCACTTCCTATAATCTTCACAGTCCGTACAGTTTCTGAGGGAGGGGCATTCCCAGATCATGCACAAAAAGAGGCCTTTAGCTTGTTGAAACTCGCTCTTAGTCTCGGTGTGGAGTACCTTGATGTGGAAATGCAACTTCCAGAGCAAACGATTAAGCAGCTCGTTGCTCGTAAAGGAGCTACGCAGTTCATTGCTTCCTGGCACGACTGGAGCGGGAGACTGAAGTGGAATAGCCCTGAAGCGCAGGCCATGTACAATATTGCTGCACAGAACGGTGATATCGTCAAAATGGTTTTCACCGCATCTACAATGCAAGATAATTTCGATTGTCAGGCATTCGCACTGAAAATGAACGGTCGACCAGGCGCGAAACCTTTCATTGCCATCAACATGGGGGCTGTGGGACAGTTATCTAGGATCCTGAATACTACATTCTCGCCTGTCTCCCACCCACTGCAGCCAAGCCGAGCTGCGCCAGGTCAAATCTCCTTCGCCCAAGTACAAAAGGCCCTTCATTTAATAGGAGAACTTCCTGCCAAAAAATTCTATCTCTTTGGCAATCCGATAGATCACTCTCTATCGCCCACACTTCATAATAACGCATTCGAAACGCTGGGTCTTCCACATACCTATGAGTTGTTGGAGACTGCTGAGGTCGGTGAGGATATCAAAAATACCATCGCCTCTCCCGACTTTGGCGGAGCTTCCGTTACAATACCTCACAAACTGAATATTATTCCTTTGCTCGACCAACTGACACCGGCAGCGAAAGTCATGGGCGCGGTAAATACCATCATACCCACAAACGATGGTGCCACTCGCATACTTGTTGGAGACAACACAGACTGGCTAGGTATTCGAGGATCCATCGCGGCTCGTGTTGCAGTGGGACAAATACATGCTGCGTTGGTAATTGGTGCGGGGGGTACTTCTCGTGCAGCTATCTATGCACTCAATGATTTGGGCGCCAAGGTGATATATGTGTGGAACAGAACGCGCAGTCGCGCAGAGGAATTACGAACTTCCAACCTGGACATGAATATCCAAGTCATCGATGAGTTAGGTCAATGGCCTAGTGGAGCTACTGCTCCCAATGTCATTGTTTCGACTATTCCCGCGTCTGAAACCTCATTTGAAGATGAACCAGATCGGCTGTTCTATCCAGCGTCACTTTATTCTTACCGGGATGGACCAGCTATCGTTCTTGACTTGGCCTACAAACCCGTGGAGACGCCACTGTTGAAACTCGCAAAGATGACTGCCTCAAACTGGGACACTGCACAGGGAGTTGAGGTTCTACTCCAGCAAGGGTATGCTCAGTTCGAGAAATGGACTAGTAGAAAGTGCCCCCAAGGCATCGTGTCGAGGAAGGTATGGGAAGTTTACTACAACCGTGTCTGAAATACCTACGCACTTATCACTATGCTCGTGTACCACAAATGTTAACATGCTCTCTTCATTATACTGTCGTTATACTGTAAGAAATACAAGTCCAAGGATAAGAAGGAGCCTCAACGCGTCGACGGAAATCCGACGCGATCGAATCAGTGACGGTATAATTCGCACGCAATATCCGGACGCCGATATTCCCCGAAAATTTTAACCAACTTACTCGTTATCCGAGTCAGGTTTCCATTGGGTTTTCACTTCAAAAAGCTGAAGAGAGCTCAGAATCTGCTCATTCAACATGCAATTCACTCGGGGATCAGGTATGCCCACGGTCACCTTGCTCACGCACTTTATTTAAATCTTCCACCAGCTGTGGTTTCTAGATCACTGGCGACGCGGTCCAGATTCCCAGCTGCCGCAAGGAAGCATCTCTTTAACCGTTCTCTGTCAACGACCTCCATTTTACGAGAAGAACACAACGCTGGTCAAGTATGCGAATCAAACTCAATGTTTTCTGTTGCCAATGCACTGATACTGGCATTCAGGATGTACCTCCGCCAAAACCCAAACGATTCAACTTCAAGACTTTTGCGAAAGTGCTTGGTGGCGCAACCTTGCTTTCTATAGCTGGTAGTCTTGGCATGTTCATCTACGTTACGCAAAAGGATCGCCATCCTGGAACACAACTTCCGTACGACCCCGAAAAGAAGACTATCGTGATTTTGGGTAGTGGATGGGGTGCAACTAGTCTGCTCAAGACTCTTGATACCTCAGAATATAATGTGGTGAGTATGGAAGCTTACTCCCCAAGGTTGACGCAATTCATCCAATCATCCAGGTCATAATCAGTCCCAAAAACTACTTTCTTTTTACTCCTCTCCTACCCAGTGTCGCCGTAGGCACTTTGAGCGCCAAAGCAATTCTTCAACCCACGCGTTATTTAGCTCGTCATAAGGCTCGCGCGGTCACCGTCATTGAGGCTGAGGCTAAGGAGATTGATGTGAGTAATATTTTAGTTACTCCCCTTCACCTTCTGTCCGCTCAATATTCCTCATTACAGCCTTTCAACAAGACCGTCACTTTTGAAGGTAGATAGCATTTCCTTATTGTCAGAAACATTAAGACTGATTAGAGTATCTCAGATGATACCGAAATTAAAGGCGAAGTTTCTCATACCACCATCCCATACGACTATCTCGTACACGCTGTTGGCGCTGAAGTTCAGACATTTGGTATTCCTGGTGTACAAGAGAAGGCATGTTTCATGAAGGAACTCAATGACGCCGAAATTGTGCGTATAGGCCGTACACCTGACCAGTTTTTTCACCCAGCTGACAGTAAATAACGATGTAGATGCAAAGACGGTTCAAGGATTGTAAGACTTTTGATGTGACATTCTGACGTCATCTCATATATCACGAAAGGCATCGAATCTGCTGCATTTCCTGGGCAAGATGACGCAGAAATTGACCGACTGCTTCACATAGTGATTGTAAGCCTTTGCCTGCATTTGCTGTGAAGGATACTTAACTATGTTTTATCTAGGTTGGTGGAGGCCCAACAGGCATTGAAGTTAGGTGTGGTCACATTCCCACCCTTGATGTATTTTCTACTGAAATTCATAATCACAGCGGAGAAATTCACGATTTCCTGGAGGTAATCCTTGTCTTCTTCTTTGACAGCAGTCCCCTGATATACTCATGACTTATCGTAGGATGATCTGAAAGCATGGTACCCGGAACTTGCTGGGCGAATCCGTATATCTCTGGTCGAAGCATTACCGTCGGTTTTGCCCATGTTCAGCAAGCAGCTCATTGAATACACGGAGTCCACTTTCAAAGAAAGTAAGATCGACATTCTGACGAAGACTATGGTCAAGGAGGTAAGGTTCAACTAAATCTTATGATTCGAGATACTTACATCCGGTTTGTTTAGGTCAAGGACAGATCGGTCGTACTACAGATGCCAGACAAGTCAATTCAAGATGTACCCTGCGGGATGGTTGTCTGGGCTGGTGTACGTCAGCTTTCATTCTTGAAGCGTTTTTCAATAAAATTATCTTCGCATGTAGGGTAATAAGGGACGAAAAATCACCCAAGACCTGATGGCCAAATATCCCAGCGCACAGACTAATAGGCGTGGACTGGTAGTCGATGGTGCGCTCTGTCTTGACTTGTCTAACTTTGCACCTTGTTCAACTCATTCCAGATCACCTTCGTCTGGCTGGAGCCAACGGGTCGATTTTCGCCATCGGTGATTGCACCTCAACCTCGTATGCTCCTACCGCTCAGGTTGCATCCCAACAGGGTGCATATCTTGCCCGAGTGTTCGCGCAGATGGCAAAGAAGGAGACCTTGACAGCAAAGTTAACGCAGCTGGAGCAGGCTTCGGTCACAGTGACAGATCCGGAAGAAAAGGCCAAATTCGACTCAGATATTGGAACAACCAAGAAGCTTATTTCCAATGTGAAAGTCAGACCATTCAACTACTCACATCAGGGTAGTCTTGCGTGAGTTTCGTCTGCCTTCTTTTCTTATGCTCGTTCTCAACAGACACATCATTATCTCAGTTACATCGGTTCCGACAAAGCAATTGCAGATTTACCGTTCGCTAACGGTAATGTAAGTGTTACCTTCATGTTTCAGAAGGTGTTCGGTCTTAACATCTGCACAGATCGCCAGCGCCGGTGTTGCGACGTTTCTTTTCTGGCGCAGTGCCTATCTCAGCACCCTGTTTTCTCTCCGTAACCGGACGTTAGTCGCCAATGACTGGATCATCACAAAGATCTTTGGCCGGTAAGTCGCTGTCGCTGATTCTCTGTTCGCCCTTGTTCATCCTTTTACTTGCAGGGACTTGAGTCGTGATTAAACAAAAATAATCATGCATCCCCAATTTCGTGGATTTGTTTTTCAGCTTTTAGATGGGCCATAGACTGTTATTTATTTTCTGGGGCTCTTCATAGACCAGGCGATATCATTCCTACACGCCTACCTTAGATTCTACCGATATCCCGCTTATAATGTCAGATTATATATACGGCTACTTACATGAAGGAAAACGATCAAGTATCTCACTTGTTTCAATCGTTTGTCTAGAGACTGAGAACCCTAAACCAAACACTCAATCCTCTTCGAAGTTTGAACTATACAGAAAGAGCACTTCAGTGGAACTTGGATGATTGGAATTATCGCCGAAATTTTGACCGAAGAGCGTACAGGATTTAAGTGTGACCGGCATAGTTCACCACACTCCGCATCCACTAAAACGTTAATGGTGATATCCTACTTGCGTTTTAGTTTCACAAAAGTTCGTTGAAATCGAACCTTGGCCTTGGCCAAGGATCTCCTGTTCTTGCCCATTCTTTGGGAACAGGTACCGTCAAATCTTGATGGAAAATCAGTCAAAAAGTACCCCAATTTCTGGGTTGCTGATGGACTCTGATGGAGCCTCGGGCAGCCGAGCAATTTCTCAAACGACGCGACAGTATCCAGGATAATGGTACTGCGGCAATTATCACGATCGCCTCAGATCGCCTCCTTGTTGATAAAGGTTTTGCAAAGGTCTTCGTGGGCAAGTAACTTATAAACCTATACACTGTGGGGAAGAACACGTTTTGGCACCTCCAAAATCCATCCATTATCCGTAGATTTTTACCAAAAATTGACTGATTTTGGGATGTCGAAAAGTTTGTATATTTCTCATATAGCTGGATATAGAATATGAAGTTCATATTGTGCAGTTATTCTGAATTATCTACCAATAATATTGAGGATATAATAATGACTTTGTGCCTCACAATTTGTTAATATTTTTGGCTGCTCGAAATTTGAAATAATTGTAACATAACCTACCAGTGAACATGAGGAACATAGTCCGAGCTTATTTGAAATAATCATACAATATTCTCCCATAGATAATTTAAAATTTTTGCGAGATATTCACCTAACAAAAAACATGAGGTTTTTCAAAATAACCTCGCCGAGGTTATGCATACCCGATGTTGGGACATCGAGACGTCAAGACGTCGTTGATATCGGGACATCGAGACACTGGAATGTCGTTGATATTGAGACATCCAAACATAGAAATGTCGCTGGTGTCGGGATATTGAGATGCGTGACATTCAGGAAATTCGGGACATGTTGGAACATGCCAGTTTTCACCTAGTATTAGGTTAGTATTGACCACCACGACCTATGTAGGAATGACATAACTTCTGGCCCCATCCATAGATACACAGAAGGCCCTGAGGAAGGCTTTTCTTATCATTTCACAGAACATAGTGGCTGCCTGTGGCTGCACTGGCACATCCTGAATGTCCTGGATGTCACGCGTCTTGATATCCCGACCACCAGTGACGTTTCTATGTTTGGACGTCTCGACATCGACGACGTTCCGGTGTCTCAATGTCCCGATATCAACGACGTCTTGATGTCTCGATGTCCCAACATCGGGTATGCATAACCTCGGCGAGGTTATTTTGAAAAACCTCATGTTTTTTGTTAGGTGAATATCTCGCAAAAATTTTAAATTATCTATGGGAGAATATTGTATGATTATTTCAAATAAGCTCGGACTATGTTCCTCATGTTCACTGGTAGGTTATGTTACAATTATTTCAAATTTCGAGCAGCCAAAAATATTAACAAATTGTGAGGCACAAAGTCATTATTATATCCTCAATATTATTGGTAGATAATTCAGAATAACTGCACAATATGAACTTCATATTCTATAGCCAGCTATCTGAGAAATATTACGGTGCCCGACTGGGCTCAGGCCGGATTTGAATAAAAATTATAAAACCCATCAAAACTATTGAATGATTATGTTATTTTGTGACCAAGTGACTGATTCGATATCATAATATCGGCCCGGCAATGCCTCCGGCGCAATTGCTGCCTCTCTTTGGGGTACTGCTTTCACGGTCTACATTCAAGAATCACTGTATGATATAGACCTGAGACAAGATTAAAATAGGAAGTGTATACTAGGTCAAGGATGTTCTGCAGGTGGTTGGAAGGCAAATTAGAGGCCAGAGTGCAGTCCAGCTACACTGGGATTACTGCTGGACTAATACTCCATATACTCAGCTTTGTTCTATGTGATCTTCCTATATCTTGCTTTCTGGCCACTGTGTTCCTCAACTCCTATACTTTTCAATCACCTTATAAAGCTCATGTCAACCATGCATTTCACTCACTTCCCACTGCAATGTAATTAGCATCTAATATTTTGGCAAAAGATATACTTATCACATATATATTTCAATTCCCTCAGTTGTTCTTTCATTCAACTGAGGTGAGACTATTGATACTATTCCTTCCTTCTCATATTTACTGAAGTATTGTAGTTATCATTCAATAGGTATATAGACATTAATTTAGTTGTTCTTTCATTCAACTGAGTTAGCATTCAACAATTACAACTAGTTACACATGAGCATCAAGTATACATAGCTCTGTATTTGGTAGCATGTATGTGTCCCAAGAGTGCACTTCCCCAATTCATAAACATTCAATCTAAATCTGGATCATTTCAAGTTTTCTGATTCTTTCACATCTATCAACAAAAATATCCAGAATAAATCAGAGTGTTGAAAGAAAATATAAAAGCTAATTCACAGGTGTTTCTATCTGCTACTCAGTACTGGATATGATTCCAGACAAGAACATGCACAAAGCTCATTGTTGCTGTAATTTGAAATGTAAGACAATGGTGTAGTAACTCTATTCAGCACCACTACTTTAAAACCAAATTTCTGTTGATTATGCATTGATAAGTGAATCTTTTTTTGCAGAGTTTGATTAGTAAATAAGGTCTCAAGAATAATGGTGCAAGTGCTGTATCAGAATAATCCCTGGAACTGGACCCTAGTGTTCCGCTCTTGGCCTGAGCTATCTAATCAACTTTCATGTCCTTTCCCTTACCATAAGGATGAATTCTTCATTTCATTTTTGACTCTTTTACTTACACACTATGTCTCTGAGCATAACATGTTGAGATAGATTAAGCTATTGGAATCAGTATAATATTATGTATATGTGCGTGATTGGGCTCACCTCAGTTGAGGTACTCAGAGCAGCCCGACATGTGATCTACTCTAAACTGTACAGTATTCAGTAATAACACTGTTATAACTAGGTGTGTCAAGACATTCTGTATTGTATGTAAGTATAGTATGTATGGGTGTTAACATTTGATGACTCACATACCATCTATGGAACATCGTTCTCATATTACGAACCACTATCTCACTACTGTGTTATCAATCTCACCATCGTGTACTATTACTACAGGACTACCAGTAGGATACATTGTATTGTACTTCCTTTCTCTCTCGCTATGTTTAGCTGTAACATGACATCATCTACCTTGGACTTGTATATAAAACTGTAGTATTCACCTCATTGAACAAGCAGTCCTCTCTACTCCTTTATCGTCTAATCTGTGTGATCAGCTACAGTGCTGTGTGCACTCTATCTCTTACTGCCATTGCTGCTGAATATAACGTGACTATATTCTAACAACAGGGCATATGGGGTATTCACTCTATGGAGTATTTGTCACGACAAGGCAGGAAGCGGGAGGCGGGAAGTCCGAATATGCCTAGGAGCGACAGTGGCAGAGCGAAGAGGCACAGAAACAAGCACAAAGCACAGATGAAAGAAATAATAATCTCAAACAACAGTGGGATAGTGTCAGAGGCCAATCACACCAGTAATCAAAAGGGAATCTAGTTGCCCAATGACCAAGAGGTCAAGATGGGGAACTATGTAGGATCTGTCTACTGTCCTTTATATACTACTCTTGTCTAATGAGTAAGTGATTGTAAATAACAATGCGATATTGAGGAATCAATATATATGAGTAATAATGAGTCAATAATGAATCATAATGAACTAATTGATGAATAAGGATGCGTTGTATGGAAGCATATGGAAACAAATGGAACTAGTGGGATGATTATGTAATAAAGTACAATAAACATGTGAAAAGAGATTGATGGGAACACACCGCTGATGGCGCATCAAAGGGCGCATCATGAGACTTCATGACAGTATTCACCATACATGCAACACTGCAGGGATGAGCCGATTTCCTCGAGGCGAAAATGTGGGTTTTATCTCGAGGTTATGTACAAAAATATGGCAGCAGATATTTTGAAGGAATTGAGCTGAGGTTATGGTAAAATTATGAAAAGATAATTTAAAATAAGCACGGCCCCCCGCCAAATTCACGATAGCTTCACAATAATCGCCACACGAAAAGTTTTAAAATTTGTGCCCAGGATTTTTGATGAATTTTGGTAAAAATCCTTGCATTTTCTCTACATTTTCACCGCGAAGACATTGGCTCATCCCCACAGTGCAAGTAATTTAAAACAATAAGAGGTGAAAATGATCAAGGAAACAAAGGGATTGAAATGATATGTCAAATGTAAACCTGCATGGCAATGTTGTGGCTCAACAACCAGTCTGTCTACTCACTCTACATAGATATCTAGCTATTTACCAAAAGCAGCTGAGACACTCACCAGTAGCCAAAATATTTGCTCTGGGTCCTTTGATAGCTGGAAAGTGCTTTCAGCTGCTCTCAAATGATTAGCTGAAAATTCAAGTTTTGCTATGCATAGTGGTGCACTGCAATCAATTGAAAAAATTAGGAGGAAATCAACCTCCAGCCAGTCTACAACAACTGTCTAGACCTTATGATACATATACTAGTAGCATAGAAGGAGAAGTGTGATTCCTATTGAATGTTCTTCACCAGTAAGATACTGCCCTTGTAGTCAAGGTATCATTACATAGAAACATTATTTTTCAAGGTCTAAGTTATGGGGGATCCCAGCATAGAATAGATTTATGGGCAGCAGTCTAGAGGCTGACAGTAGAGCACCTGTAAGTGCCTCAATAACAAAATTGCAAGAAAACAGTATAAACTTGCTGTTACACCTCTGTACAATGCAGACTGGATGTTTGCAATGACTTCCAAGTCCCACATCTCCTCACATGATTCTCATGTAGTGCTCAATGAAGTAACTCTCTGATTTCACTGTTGGGTAAGAGAGAGAGGCAGGAGCTGCTACTGTGCCGAGAATTCCTGCCGGGCCGATATCTCGGAGATATTATGATACGTGGCATCAAACCAGTCACTCGGTCACAAAATAACATAACCATTCAATAATTTTTGATGGTTTCATAGGGTTTCATTCAAATCCAGCCTGAGCCCAGTCGGGCACCGTAAATATACAAACTTTTCGACATCCCAAAATCGGTCAATTTTTGGTAAAAATCTACGGATAATGGATGGATTTTGGAGGTGCCAAAACGTGTTCTTCCCCACAGTGTATAAGGGCGCACTTGAGTACGGCCACTTATGACGAAGTGGACGAGAATGATCGTGGTGAACGTGCAGACAATGGAAATTCGTTTTTGTTTCCCTTTCGAAAATAAACAGAAAATATTCTTCAGCTTATCGTTGTGAAAGATTTCGAGTGGATGGATTAAAAATGTAACTCTATGTAAATACATAGCTCCAGTTCGGGTCCGAGCCTCGGTTGATGCGTGGGTACAAGTTCTGGTCGACATCGTCTCCGTGAATCCACTTCGTCAGGCTTCATCGATGGTTTTGCGACAAAGTTTCTGCTTGGCAGTCGAGTTGCCCCCTGTTCTGCCTTTTCTGGAGGTAGATTCGGAGCGATTCGGAGAGTAGGACTGCGGAAGGCTCTCGAGGCCAGAGAGCCTTTGCGAGTTGTCGGGGGTCGTAGTAATTGAACAATGGTGAGTTGAATGAGACTGAATGCGCAGTTACATGAGGTCGGTTGCAAAGGTGAACCTTTAGTTGTCCCAAAAGGAGAAATGATCCTTTGATCACCACTTTACGTTGGAAAGTATAAAAGCGTTATCGGAATCGGAGAATTTCTCAAATCTTTCTCTTTTGATTCCTTTCACTCTGATCATAGGCAGCTGGGCTTCTTCAACAGTTTCTCTTCCGGATCGTCCTGTGACAAATAGTTTTTTAATTCCTTCTGAAGTTATTTCGTCCTCCTTTGCCAACTCTTGGTCGATCCTTCTCTTTCTTTTCACTTCAAGATCTAGCAGAGCTAGAGGTAAACATGTCTACAATTGCCGCATCTTTTGTTGCACGCGCTGCCGCTGCTGGAGCAGCCACTATACTTTCTGCAAACGGTACTAGCTCTGGAGCTACTAGTACCAACGGTACTACAACTGCTGCTGCTGCCGCGGGGGGTGCCGCCACAGGTGGAGGAGGTGCTGCTGCTGCAGGGCCTAGCGATTTTCAGATAGTCTGGAGTATCGACATCATCCTCCTCAGTATTATCGCTCTTCTTTTTCTCTTACGGCTACCTCGTTTCCTCGCCCGCATGTACAGATTTTCCGAGTGGACCAGCGGTCTTATCCTTCGAAATCGGCCTTACCATATGCGAACCAACGGTCGACGTGTGCAATTTTCCATGTCTAATAATGTCAGCATGGACGATCTTGCGACTGACGACTCGCATGCGACGTACCAGGAAAAAGCTTTCGCCCAGCGTATTAGTACCACTGGAGCGCAGGCACAAGGTTCCTACCCTCCTCATGTTTCCAACTGCATCACGTTCTTCCGACCGTTGCTCAAAGTGATGCACGCTCGCATAAACACTGGGGTTTCCTTTTCTCATGTGGCAATGATGTTGTTTTGGACAGGAGTCATCGTATTCCCTGCATTCTACATGACGGAAGCGTTCACCGATCCCGTCCGTTTTGGTTATATAACAGCTTCCCAACTTCCGTTCGTTTATGCATTCGGTACAAAGAACAATGTCCTTGCCACGTTCTTGGGAATCGGGTATGAAAAGGTTCGTCAAAGCGCAATCCGATCAATATTGTAACTTGTGCTGAGGATATTCTAGATCAACTTCATGCATCGCCATGCGGGTCGCATCGTCTTGGTCTCTGTCAATGTTCATGGCCTTGGTTACAGTGAGTTTACAAGTCCGTTTGAGGTTATGAATTTGACCAGCGAATTTTGGAAGTTTATAAATGGTGCCTTGCCTCCAGTTTCATGGAAGAAATCGCAAATCCAAAATGCTACTGGGGTCTGATTGGCATGATTTGCATCGACGGTCTATTCCTGTTCTCCACAGAATTTGTGCGAAAAAAGGCATACAATATTTTCCTTGCGACCCACATATCTGCACTATCGGTACTTGTCATCGCGGTAAAGCTTCGATTAATCGCACACTCCCAAACTTTATTAAAATGAGATCCTCAGATGTTCAACCATTACGATGGTGCTATCCCCTGGGCCTACGCTTGCGCCGCCTTCTATCTGTTCGACCTCTTGCTACGAATAACTAAAACTCGTGTCTCCACTGCTACCCTCCGTGCGATCCCGGAGCTCGGCGTCACTCGTGTCGAGATCCCCAATATTAACAGCGGGTGGCGCGCAGGTCAGCACGTCCGTCTCCGTGTCCTTTCCAGTGGCATGGGCCTCATCGGCTGGTCAGAGATTCATCCCTTCACTATTGCTTCAGTTGCCGATGGCCCGGAGGGTATGGTGTTGTTCTGTAAAAAGGTTGGAAGCTGGACGAACCGACTCTATGACATGGCGAACACCACTGGTTCTGAAGACAATGGCCGCAAGGTTTCGGTCATAGTTCAAGGTCCTTATGGTATACCTATTACACAGTTCGGCGTTGATTTTGGACTGAACGCGTTCCGTTAGGTGGACTTGGTAATTGCATGGTTTCTAGTTTCTCCGCTGCAACCTTCGTTTGCGGTGGGAGTGGTATCACCCTCGCTACTTCTACCATGCAGGAGCTAATCCAGAAAGACCTGGATGGCGAAAGTCGCGTCAAGTCCATCGAACTCATTTGGACTGTGCAAGATGCTTGTGAGTAATTTTTTGTTTGGCGTTGTACTATGAAGCTCACAACACCTGCAATATCAAAGCCGCCTTGATCCCGATGCTTCCTTTGTTCACTTCCATGATCCAACAAAGCGTTTTCACTCCGATCCGAATTTCCGTATTCTACACTCGTGCACCGATAGGAAAATTCCCTTTCGCAGACGATTTTTTCCGGTCAACCTCGCTCACCTTGTCTCCTGGTCGGCCTAAATTTTACAAACAACTCGAGGAGACTATCACACGCACGACTGCGTTGAATTCGAGTGTCAAAGGCGGAAACACTTGCGGTCTTTTTGTCGGTGTGTGTGGACCGGTTGCCCTAGCTGATGGTGTTTTCGCGGCGGCTAGTAAGATTGACCCATATCGAAGAGATCAAATCGGAGGGGTCGAGGTCCATGCAGAGTGAGTGTTTTTTTTGGAAATAGTAACATTCCCTTAATCACTGACCGCTTCCGCAATTACTTAGGACTTTCGGGTGGTAGTAGTTCCTGTTTCGACATGTTTTTTGTTTACCTGTTTGCTGTTCCATGCCCGTTACGTTTTAGAAGAGTATTTTCTTGTTTGAATTCTGTAGCTGCTTGAGGTACTCCACTGCGTGGAGCTTTTACTCGTGTTTCCTTGTACTATAAAGTTCGTGGTATATTCTATAACATAAGTATTCCAAACACGAGCATGGCAAGAAAAACTAAAATTGCTACAAACTGAACGAGGAGTAGATACAGGAGAGTTCAGTGGTACTATTCAAACACTCGTTCAAGGAATTCGCTACCTATCTCATCAAGATTTTACATCTGGTTTCATGATGTATATATGATTTATACACTTCGAACTATTGAGAACCCTTTGTACCTTGAGCAACAAGCAGTCAACAAAATTCAAATCTGAAAACAGTATGTAGAAAAAGAAAAGTAAGCAAATCAAGTCAAGAAGAAGGCGGGGGAGTTTATCAATTTCTGACTATTTTTCTGAGTGATTGCCGAACGTGCAGTCCCGTATCTTTTACTGCTTTCCAAATCTTCTTCTTCATCCTGAGAAGATTATGATTAGCCATGGGGGGGTTAATGCGGGTCTCTTTGTCTAAGAAATTCCTAAGGGCTGGAGGAAGAGTTTGTGCAAGCTCCAATGCATCACTTTGCCTTCCTAAATCCCAAAATGTTTGGGCAAGATTCTGAATTTCAATCAAAGTATCTCGATGCTCCTCTCCCATGACTTTTTTGGAGATTTCAAGCAACGATTGCTGAAGATCCAATGCCTCATTATACCTGCCCAGCTGCCTAAATGTCTTCACCATATTGTGCATCCTGTTCAGAGTATCTGCATGCTCCTCTCCTAGCACTCTTTTGGAGGTTTCAACCAAAGGTTGCTGAAGATTCAAAGCCTCATTGCACCGGTTGAGATGCCAAAAGGTGCTTGACAGATTCTGCATGCTCCTCAAAGTATCTGGATGTTCCTCCCCTAAGACTCTTTTTTTAGTTACAAGCAAATATTGCCCAAACTCCAATGCTTCATTGTTTCTACCAAGTTGTGCAAATGTGCTTGCTGTATTCTGCATCCTTTCCAGAGTGATTGGATGTTCCTCTCCCAAAACTTTTTTGGAGATTTCAAGCAATGATTGCTCAAGATCTAATGCATCACTTTTTCTGTTCAAATCCCAAAATGTTTGAGCAAGATTTTCCATTCGAATTAAAGTATCTGAATGCTCCTCTCCCAAGACTCTTTTGGAGGTTTCAAGTAATGATTGTTCAAGATCTAGTGCTTCAACATTCCTGCCTACATCTTCCAGTGTCACTGCAAGACTCTGTATCTGGGTCAGTGTATCTGGATGATCCTGTCCTAAAATCTTCTTGGAAGTTTCAAGCAAAGATTGCTGAAGATCTAATGCCTCATTATACCTGCTCAGTTTTGTAAATGTATATGCAAGAGTCTGTATCCTATCCAAAGTATCTGGATGCTCCTCTCCTAGTACTCTTTTAGAGGATTCAACTAAGAATTGTTGAAGATTCAATGCCTCATTGTACTGATCCAGTTTTCCAAATGTTTTGGCTAGACTCTGTATCTTGTTCAGAGTATCTGGATGTCCATCTCCTAGTACTCTTTTGGAGGTTTCAAGCAATGATTGCTTAATATCTAATGCTTCATCATGCATGCCCATCTGCCCAAATATGTCTGCTAAGCTATTCATCCTGAACAACTTGTGGATATTTCAAGCAGAGGTTGTACAAGAGCTAATGCTTCAACATTCCTGCCTAAGTATAACAATGCAAGTGCCAAATTGTGCATTCTGGTCAAAGAATCTGGATGCCCTTCTCCTAAAACTTTTTTGGAGCTTTCGAGTAATGGTTCCTGGAGGTCCAATACCTCATTAAACCTTTCAAGTTGAATCAATGTGTATGTTAGACCTTCTATTTTGGTCAAAGTATCTGGATGCTCCTGTCCAAAAACCCTTTTAGCAGTTTCAAGTAAAGCTTGCTGAAGATCCAATGCTTCATTGTACCTGCCTACATGACCCAGTGTGACTGCAAGATACTGGATCCTGTTCAAAGTTTCTGGATGTTCCTCTCCTAAGGTTCTCTTTGAAATTTCAAGCAATGGTTGCTCAAGATCCAATGCCTCATCATACCTGCCAAGTTGTTTCAATGTAAGTGCCACATGCTGCATCCTGTTTAGAGTATCTGGATGTTCCTCTCCTAAAACCTTTTTGAGAGTTTCTAACAGAGGTTGCCCAAGATATAATGACTCATTGTATCTACCCATTTTCTCCAATATTATTGCAACACCTGCCTTCCAAACCAAAGTATTTGGGTGCTCTTGTCCAAAACCTCTTTTGCAAGTTTCATATAAATATTCCTGCATTTCTAATGCCTCATTGTATCTTCCACTTTTCAGATATACTGATGCCACCAAATCCATGTGATTCAAACTGTCAATGGACAGAGGTCCCAAATGATCTTTGAAAACTTCAACCAAGGGGACCCACAACTCAAGAGCCTGATGATATTGTCCAAGAGCATTCCATAACTCCCCAAATGCCAAGCTTACAACATAATCACTGTTCCCTTGAGATTGTAGCACCATGCAATGAGATGACATATATTGTAAAAATTGATGGTTTTCCCAAGATATATTTTGCAATGCAATTGCTACAATTCCTTGAACCCCTTGTTTGTGCCTGTTGTTTGAATTGTCAATGCACCATTTTTGTACCAATGGATGCATTTCATACAGTCCTTCATGGTAGATTTGCAACAATGAGTAGGAGGTTGTCTCACCCACAATTTCATCAAATTGATAATCACTCCATTTCAATTCAGATGTGAATAACTTTCTTAGCATAGTTAACCCTGCATCACCAGCTCGGCTTGATTCAAAAGGCATCGCAACCTCAGTAATATTGTTGATTGCCCTTTCAAACAGAAGGCGGGGAATTTTTTCATAATGAAGATGGGAACATATATTCAGCAGCACTTTGCTACTGCTACTAAGCTGGCCCCAGCTCAGGTTCCAGGTTGCATAAACAGATAGCTGGTACCTATCAGCAAATTGTGTCAACTTTTTTTCCAATAACTGTTTGTGTTCATTTCTCAGAAATTTGAGATATGTCAAGAGACATTTCTGCTGCTTGATGTATGCTCCAGCTTGTACTAAGGCCAATGGAAAGTAGTACAGTTCTTTGGCAATTTGAACAACTTGTTCTTGTTCATTGGAACTCAATGGTTTATCCACTGCATGCTTCAACAGCAACTCAATCCCATCATCTGGAATCATATCTTGAAGCTCCAATGATTGGCCTACTACATTTTGTAGTTCAGCATTCCTTGAAGTGATCATAATATTTCCATGATCACAGGAAGGGAAGTATCTTTCCAAAGAAATTTTTGGATCATCAGCGTTATCCATGATAATGAGCCAGGATTCTTCATGGGTAAGTAGCCAATGGAGTCCACTTTTCCATCCTTGGGCATCCACAACCCCATTGTCCATAGCAATGTCATAAAAGCTTGCTTGTATGGAATATTCAGTATTGGCAGTGATGAAATAAATTTTGGTGAACCTATTTCAATGATTATGAGTATCAATATTGCAACCAAACATCATAAAAATAATACCTTTCCTTGAATCTCCTTTGAAACTCAAGAGCAACCTGAGTTTTGCCTGCTCCTCCTAATCCATATAAAAGAAAACACTTTTGTGTCCCTCTGGAATTATTGGGCAATGAAGAATTGAAAAAAAGGTCAAGAGTTGCCAAAATATCCTCTCTGCCTGTGAATTTCGAGGTTGAGGTGGGACAATGAGTCATTCCTTGATAATAACCTTGTCAATAATTAGTCTTTAAACTCTAGTTAACATTCGAATACTATCTTAAATACCTGCTTGTTGTACCACAGTCTAAGACTCTGAATGCATCAATGAAAGTCAGTTACCCATATGAGCACTTACATCACTAGTGGATACACACCTGCTACATAGTAATGATTCTGATCTCCTTGAATGTTGATAAATTGTCCATGAGGTATTGTGAAATTGTGGGCCTGGGAAAACATTTGCTCAAATTTTCGTAGATGATGATGGTCTGAATGAGAGATGTGTTTAGCCTTATCACAATGCTCAGAGATCTTGAGGGCAGGTCATCTGTGAATCGACATTTAAAATCGGAGGGAAGATTCCGGAACTTGAATCCGAGTGCTTCGGAGCTTCTCTTACTATGATTAATCTTGGAGGTTCAGCCCCGTTCAACCTAAGTACTTACCCCCCAGGTACTCCTGAAATATCATCTTCTGATGAAGCCCAAGCACTGCGAGCCCAAATGTTCCTTGATACTCGGGATCACGGTGTAAAGAAAGGGGAAGGGATTCGGTGATAATTCACCTCAGTCTGGTTGTTCGGAGCAGTGATTTCGCTCCTCCTTGGTTCTCTTCTCTTCGAGTTGGATTTATGGTGTCACGTACCTTGCGATAGTAGTAGAACAGGGTGTGTATTTGATTATCAAAATGTGAATATTGATTGATCGATCAACGAGGTTCGGGTGTGTTTTGTTAGATGGATAAAAACATACGATGTCGCGTTCTTTGCGCAGATCGAGTAGTAGAAAAAGGAAAACGAGAAAACGAGAATGACAAGACAAGTACCCCAGACAGACCCAGGACGGACCCTCTTTGATCAAATCGAAAGTTTTTAGGCTGGTGGTAGGGAGGAAAAAAGATTCCCGAACTTTCCCTCGTCGCTCGTCTTCGGTTGAGGCTCCGCCTTCTGCTCCATCTTTGGTCACTTCGTCGCCTGGGAAGTTATTTCCCTCCGGCACTGACTCCCTCGCAGTCGAAATTGTTCCTAGTTCCACTGGTCTACCATGCACACACTCATCTATGTCGTCAATGACCCCGAAAAGTACAATGCAGCGAATCGGCTAAGACAGGACTCCGCCTTGCTCCAACATCGAGCCTGTCGTTCAGCAGAAGATGGAGGCGATTACCATAGGTATATCCCGGAATCGAAGGATCTCAACACCAATGACCATTTGATATCACGCTCGACGCTGCACCTCACATTATCTTAAAGTCCAGATCATCAAGATTATCGTGCCCTTGCCCGAGTTCAAACTCTTCGAGAAGAAAAAATTTAGCTCGCTGCTGTGCCGCGCCGCTTACAGGTTCAACGAGAGTGTAATCAGCGTTTAGAAAATAATTTTGTGAAGGGGCTGATTCACATTGAATATAGAACGTTGAAGTGGACCGTGAGCTTGGGGAGGGAGGATGTTACTTGGAACAGGTGGAATCTGGATTAGCGAAATCGTTTATATTGTTGGCATGATTATTGGTATTACTACCTGCTCCGTGCAGTTACTGTGGTTTACATTGCTTGGTTTTCACTTGTAGATCGTGTACAGATTTGCTGATCTATAGAGCTATGGTGCGTAATAATATATCACTCTCAATTTGTCTGCGTTCGTTCGGCCATATAGAATGATTAACAGAGAGATTCAGATAGAGAAAGATCATCCTCACCACACACTTGTAGTACTCGTTGTCCAGGACGCCCAGTGGCGGCACTCCCAAATCTCCTGTTTTTGAGAAGTCTCTCAAATTTTGTGTGTACTTCGAGGTATTTGCAATTGGTCCTTCGCCGTTGGTGAATGAACCAGAGGCGCCCGACCATTTGAGCGCCTTTCCGTTTTTGGTTTGGGGCGCTTGCTTTGAATATCTGTCTGTTTTCTTTTCTTTTTGTTTCCCACTCTGTATTCGATTGGGTTCGACTTCCCGCTCGCTTTCGACCCTTGACTTTTTGGTGTGTATTCAAATGTGAGAACGAAATGAGAATGGTGAATTTACGGTGTTTTGTATCAGACGGTTAACACCGGCGCTGGCGTTTCTTTTCGCGTCGACTTCGTTCAGCTAGTACACCTGCGAGTAGTTGAAGGACAAAGGGAAAGAACAACAACAACAAGGAAACGGCGACTCAAACTTGAGCAGAAGAAACGGAGCAAGTAAAATGAGAGACGTGGGTGTATACAGTATCGCGCGGGCCATGCCTCGTATGGTACGTTGTGTGTGTCATTCTTCATCTTTGTGCTGACGTTTACAATTCTTCTTCTCTTTCCGCTCATTCCTTCCGCCTCGCAACCGCTCCTCCTCCCCTGTCCACAGTCTTGGCACCCGCGCAACCTATACAATCTCTGGCAACGTAGCGTCAATCCACGAGTCAAAAACACCTCTGTCTTCACCACGTCCGAAAAGACGCTCTTCCAACAGCGGTGGAAGAGTAAGGCGCTGGTGAGAGCGTACCATGGGGATTATATCCCTGAAAAGATCTTTAAAAAGTGGTATGTCCCGGATGGGCTCCCGAATGTTCGGCCGAGAAAAGGTGTACGAGGAGGCGACGAAGGGTTATTAGAGAGCTACGCTGGCCGGAAAGTCAGAGAAGATGAAGAATACGAAGAAGATGAGATTAAATACGAGATGGCTCCCGTAGGGAGTTTGATGTTCTCAGAAGTAGAGCGAAGAATCGACACGGTCGTGTTTCGGGGTTGTTTCGCGCATAGTATATACGAAGCAAGGAGGTTGGTTGTTCATGGCAATGTTTTACTTAACGGTAAACGGGTATGTCTTTGTTTCTAGTCCTGCTTTGTTCGTTTAATTTATACTTCCTTGGATTCCAGCACCAAAACGCTAATACCCGGTTAAAACCCGGAGACATGATCACTGTCTCCCCAAAAGCAATCCGCTTCCTTCAACCACCGGAAAAACTCGACCCGACATACACCGACGACCCAAATTCTTCCCTCCCCACCCCTACTACCGCTGCAGAACGTCTCACGCCCTTCCACCTCCCACCCTACGCCTCCCCCTTCCTCTTTATTCCCGCCTATCTCGAACCGAACTTCGCCACCTGTTCCCTTATTTACGTCCGCCACCCTACCGCTCGGCCCGGGTATTCGGAGATTCCGTCCCCATACGACGCTGACGGTGAAATCGTTCGGTTTGCGTGGGAGTGGTACTCGAGGAGAAGGCCAAGGGTAAGGAGTGTGACGAGGTTGAGGCGGATGCCGGAGGATAGGACGTATGATCCTGAAAGCAGAGATGAGAGAGAGAAGGAGAGGAGGGAACAGGAGGTTGTTAGGAGGAAGGAAGAGGCAAGGAGGGGTGGGATGATTTTGACTGAGCCTCCGAGAAAGTAGAATACGTACTCGTATAGTAGATGTTGTCTCCGACTAATGCAAGTGTCACATTCATCTTTCGGCCTTCCTACCACTCCATACTACACGTTAAACCTCAAGTCCAACCTTCACAAAAATTGAGATTCAAAGATTTGACCAGGTGGCTAAACTTCTTTGTTTTTTATTCATTTTGACAAGATATTCCTACAAAATAAATACAGAATTTGGATCCAGTTACAGCCCTTTGTTACCCAATGATCGATAAACCTCAAATCCTAAAACATTACAAAAAGTGAGTGCAGGTCGATTGTGCCAGATGGAAAAGTATTAAGTACCTTATTTGATCTTTCGTAAATATACAATAACCTAGTAGGTTCAAAGGCTTTTCAGATGGTCTTCCTTCTTTTTTTGTGCAAATCAGGATCTACTGGGGGTATACCACTGCGGGTCTTGGGGCCCTGGAAATTCCGGAGGGATTCAGGAAGAGTTTGCTCAATATCAAATGCATCCTTGAACTGGCCAAGTTTCCTAAATGTGGCTGCTAGTTTTTGTATCCTGTACAGAGTATCTGGATGCTCCTCTCCCAAAACTTTCTTGGAGGTTTTAACCAAAGGTTGCTCAAGATCCAAAGCCTCCTTGTACTTGCTGAGTTGCCCAAGTGTGTGTGCTAGATTCTGTATCCTGCTCAGAGTTGTTGGATTTTCCTCTCCCAAAACCCTTTTGGAGGTTTCAAGTAAAGATTGCTGAAGATTCAATGCATCATTGTACCGGCTAAGCTCTGAGAATGTCAATGCTAGATCATGTATCCTGCTCAGAGTATCAAGATGCTTTTCTCCCAAAACTCTTTTAGAGGCTTCAACCAAAGGTTGCTCAAGATCCAATGCCTCCTTGCGCCTGCCAAGTTCCCTAAATGTGTAGGCTAAAGTATGTATCCTGCTCAGAGTTGTAGGATGCTCCTCTCCCAAAACTCTTTTAGAGGTTTCAACCAAGGGTTGCACGAGATTCAATGCCTCCTTGTACCTGCTAAGGTTACCAAGTGTGAATACTAGAGTATGTACCCTGTTCAGAGTATCAAGATGCTCTTCTCCTAAAATTCTTTCAGAGGTTTCAACCAAAGGTTGCACAAAATCCAATGCTTCCTTATACCTGCTGAGTACTATCAATATTTGTGCTAAATTATATATCCTTCTCAGAGTATCAAGATGCTTTTCTCCTAAAACTCTTTTAGATGTTTCAACCAAAGGTTGTACAAGATCCAATGCCTCTTTGTACCTGCCAAGTTCCCTAAATGTGTATGCTAGGCCCTGTATCCTACTCAGAGTGTCTGGATGCTCCTCTCCCAAAACTCTTTTTGAGCCTTCAACCAAAGGTTGCTGAAGATCCAATACCTCATTGTACCTGCCAAGTTCTCCAAATGTGGCTGCTAGATTTTGTATCAGACTCAGAGTCTTAGGATGCTCCTTTCCCAAAACCCTTTTGAAAGTTTCCAGCAAAGGTTGCTCAAGATCTAATGAATGACTAAATCTGTGGAGTTTCCTAAATGTATCTGCTAGGCTCTGTATCCTGCTCAGTGTATCAGGATGCTCTTCTCCCAACATTCTTTTAGAAGTTTCAACCAAAGGCTTCTCAAGATCCAATCCCTCATTGTACCTGCCAAGTTCTATAAATGTAGATGCTAAATTACATATACTCTGCAGAGTATATGGATGCTCTTCATCGAAGACTCTTTTGTAGATTTCAAGTACAAGTTGTCTGAAATGTAAAGCTTCATTACCTCTACCCATTTTCTCCAATATGGTTGCAATATTATTTTTTGAGATTAAAGTTTGTTGATGCTCCTCTCCAAAAACTCTTTGGTTGTTTTCATGCAGAGATATTTCAATTTCTAGAGCTTGATCATATCTCCCACTTTTAAAATATACATGTGCAACTAGGTCCATATGTTGTATGCTATCAATGTGTTGAGGTCCTAAATTATCATTGAATAATTGAATCAGAGGCAGCCAATATTCAATAGCCTGTCGATATTGCCCAAGCATATTCCATAATTCCCCATATGCTAAGCTTACAACATAGTCACTGTTCCGATGAGATTGCAATGCCCTGCAATGGGATGACATATAATGAAAAAACTCATGATTTTTCCAAGTTATATTGTGTAAGGCAACTGCTACAATTCCTTGAACCCCTTGTATTTGCTGTTTATCTGAATTGTCCTTGCACCAGTGCTGTACTAATGGGTGCATTTCATAGAGGCCATCATTGTAGATTTGCAGCAATGAGTAAGAAATTACTTCTGTCACAATTTCATTAAACTCATAATTGCTCCACTTCATGTCAGATGTGAATAAATTTGATAGCATATCTGTTGCTTCATTAACAGCCTGGCTTGGTCCCAGAGGCATGTATACCTCACTGATATTTTCAATTGCCCTTTCAAACAAAAGGCGAGGAATTTTTTCATAATGCAAATAGGAACATATTTCCAACAGTGTTTTACTTCTGCCACTTAGTTGTTTCCAACTAATATTCCAGGTAGCATAGATAGATAGCTTATATTTATCAGGAGGTTGAGGCAATTTTTTTCCCAATATCTGTTTGCGTTCATTATTCAGATATGTAAGGTATGTCATGAGACACTTCTGCTGCTTGATATATGCTCCTGCTTGTACTAAAGCCAGTGGGAAGTGATACAGCTCTTTTGCAATTTTAACAGCTTGTTCTTGTTCATTAAAACTCAATGGTCTATCTGCTGCATGTTTCAACAGCAACTTAATCCCATCATCTGGGATCATATCTTGAAGCTGCAATGACTGGCTTACTACATTTTGTAGCTCAGCATTTCTTGAAGTAACGATAATATTCCCATGATCACAGGTAGGAAAGTAATCATTCAGGGAAATTTTGGGATTATCAGCATTGTCCATGATAATCATCCAAGATTCCTCATGGGTATGTAACCACCGAAGTCCAGATTGCCAGTTTTGGGCACCCACAACCCCATTGACCATAGCAATGTCAAACAAACTGGCTTTGATGGAAATTTCAGAGTCAGCAGCAATATAATAAATCTTGGTAAACCTGTTTCAAGTTAATGAACTATTTAATCTTGCAATAGTAGGACACAAATACATTACCTCTGCTTGAACCTCCTTGTAAACTCGAGTGCAACCTGAGTTTTCCCTGCCCCCCCTAATCCATACAAAAGAAAGATCTTTTGAGTTTTCCTGGGATTATTAGGTGGTGGGGGATGAAAAAAATTGTCAATGGTTACTAAAATATCCTCTCTTCCTGTGAAGTTTGGAGTTGATGTAGGACAATCAGTCATCACTTGAAAGTAATCTTGTAAGAGAAGTTATTCCTCGAACTCTAAGTAATTTTCAAACATTGAGTACCTGCAGGTCTGTCCATTCTCTGAGAATCTGTTTGTATTATATTAGAATCAATCACCCATATAAGCACTTACAGTACACACCTCCATAGTTGTTAATCTGATCTCCTTGAATGTTGAGAAATTGCCCATAGGGTATTGTGAAATTGTGAGCTTGAGGAAACATTCACTTGAATTTACTCAAGATACAATGGTGGTTTGAATCAGAAAGGTGTTTGTCACACTGTCACAATTATCAGAGCTCTTGAGGGCAGGTCACTTCCAAAGCTATCATTTCAAATTCAAATTGAACAAAACAAGCATTTCAAGAAATCCCGCAGTCCAAAGTTGGACAACATTTCAATTGCAATTTCTACCTCAGATTCCCCTTTTATCTAGTCTATATGAATTACAGAGAAATAAATTCCTGAATTAGGGCACATTGACACCTCCGCTCCATAAGGACAAAACCTCCTTGACATAGACTCATTGCCACAACCTAGAACTGTTTTCTTCAAACTCCCTGGGATCAGTATCTGCACTTGCCGCTGTCATGCCTGGTCCCGAGGCTTTCAAATCCCATCACCAAACAGATAGTACACTACTCTTCCCTTGACATCTAACATATGTTGGGGGAGGAATCGGATGATCCCAGTAACTAGCAGTATACTGGTAATCAGGAATATCATCACTGGTAGAGTAGATCATTAGTTATCGTAGGTATCATTGAATGAAACTGAGGGAGAAGGAGTTGAGTCGATGCAAGGAAAGGAGTAGAAGATAGTGATAAGGTGGAAAAGGAAGGAAGGATCGATATTGATGCATAGAGACGGTAGAGTGACTCTGAGGATAGATACCAATGAGTGAACGACGAGGAAAGACACAATAAACAATTCCTCTCAAAATCAGGTTGTCACTTTACAAACATAAAACATAAACAGAATCGGAGTCATCACTCACGAAGTAAAGCCTTCTCCCAAGGCTCAAGCACTGCAAGCCCAAACGTTCCTTCTACCCACATCTGGATCCGCCACAACAAATAAAAGAATTTTGACTGGGATTTGTCCGGCGCGCGGAAGGCTTTAAGGTTTGGGCGTGCTGGGGGGTAGTGAGGGGGGATGTCACGAATCATTGAGATGCCAGTGGTAGTCTCGTCCCGTCTCGTTTCAATTCCTTTTCTTGACGTGGTGTGATCGTTGGAGAAGGTGGGAACAGTCGCCGTTTGATTCACGAAAACGATCACTGAAGGAAACAGGTTTTGGTCCAGTGTTGAGGGGGGAGGATAACGGACGTAATGGGATGAGACGAAAGGAAGGGAAAAAAGGAGAAGAGGAAGAGGAAGTGAGTAAGGCGTTTATATATGTTCTGACGAGGTTGGATTACCAGCGATCGGGACTCGAAGTGCTATGTAAGTAACACGCATTTCCGAAGCTCTCGGTTAGATCTTACGATAAGCGACCAATTGGATTATGTGGATCCGTACGCAAAATTGTTGTTCCTCTTGTCAATGTCAGCCTTGAAGGAATCGGGAGGACTCGGGCTGAACGACAATGAATTACGGATTAACATTCAGGCATAAAGAAAAATACGACTGTTGATACATACCGGCGTTTGAGTATTTTAGTAAGAAATGATTACTCCGCGCCCGAAGCGATCCTGATCGCAAAAGAAAATTCCTTTATGCATGCAGTTTCCAAATTCCTTCCCGTGAAATATTGGAATTGATAGAATCATCCTCAGCTACATTGGGTAGCAATGATTGGTATTGAATATTGAATAGATAGACGCGAATGAGAAACAGGCTACGCTGAATCTTGGGAACTTCAAAATTCTAGGACTTACCTGCAGGCATTCAGGCAGACATTCATGTCGAATATAGGTAGCTTGTAGAAAAAAAGCACTCTGGTTTCCCAATTTGTTTGGAGGTGAACCATGGATCGATACGTATTCAGTTGCAGAAATGGTTCAAGACGCGCCCTCCCGAAACATGTGGGCTTTCATAACTGGCCAAACTGGGGAAATAAAAACCACTAACTGTGACTCAACTCTGTTCCAGCCGATACTAGCAATGAATCGAAGAATAAGACCGACTGAACTATTACAAAGGCGACAAATAAGCAACCACTGTGGTGCAATCGTGTAAAGGGGACATACCGGGAATATTGGTAGCTATTGGTAGAACTAGGGAGCTGTGACCACGATTTGAAACGCGCGGTCAGTCTATATGGCATAACGCCAGAGAATAAAAGAAGCTGGACACTGACCTACACAAAAGAGGTCCTGATTCTTCTGAACAGAAAAGTGGATCAACTTCCCACAACCTACGTCAAGATAAGATATCGATATCTACGAAAATGAATTATCTCCCGCGTCGTTGCTGGCACGAGACTGGTTTTGCAGACATCGATCATATTAGCGAAGCCAGCTCGAAGCTCTTTAACAAAGGAAAAGTAACTACAAGGTATATTTATTGAACCACGACAAGCCATATGAGTAACTACAGACAGCGGAAGGCATTAGATATTGTAGAAGCGTGTTATTAATGCATTAAACTCACAACTTTCCTTGGATACCACTACAGCTCTCCCATTGGTATTCCGGGATTACCACCATTGGAACCAGCAGTCTTCCCAAGCCATTGAAATACCGGACTCTCCCCACTTTCGCTTCCCCACAGGTAGTACACAGCCCGGCCTTTCATGACTGAAATATGGTGCGGGAGGTATCGAACAATGCCAGTAGCCAAAAGTGTGAAAGTTGTGAGGAAGATGATCACTACAATTTAAGGAGAAGTTGGTGAATATCTATAATATTCAAGATATTCTCTGGGTAGAAACGCACAAAGCAGAAGTTTCTCCCAAGGCTCGAGCATAGCCAGCGAAAATGTCCCTTCTATCCACATGTGCACCCGCCATACCCAATAAGCTATTTTCGATTGGGATTTGGGAGGTCGGAAAGCCTTGAGGTCGGGGCGCGCTGGAGGATAATTGGGTGGGATGTCAGGAATCATTTTGTGTCAATAAACTAGCAAATTGTAACGGTGGAAGAGAAGCGGGAAGAGACTCCTATTTCTCACGTTCAGCGTTCATATATTAAAATGACGAGTCACTATGAATGATGTTCTCCTAATGTCTCTTGAATTCGAAGGAAGCCGTGAGACTCAGAACAGTCTACATATTTGTGAGTTAAAGTTGAGTTAAAGTATATCTCAACAAAGAAATACACCAGAAACTGTCACCTATGAGGTCGAACCTCAGCAAAGTTCATCTCCTACTACGTAGTTGGTATCCAAGCTATTTGGGATTTGGAACTTGGGGGGGTAATAATCATTTTTAAGTCTTGAATGTATGTTTCCATTAACGACATGATATGTAAGTACTAACAAATGGAAAGATCTAATGAGGGACTCAAGCACGGGTATCAATAAAGGGGGAAAATCCGAAGAAGGGAACCGCGAAGGGAGGAATCAAAACATTAGAGGAGATACAACGTTTGGGAGAACACGAAATGGTCATTTTGAACGTAGGACTACAAGCCTACTCCGACTTTGCAGGTTTCCGACTGATAGCAAGATACATTGGTGTAAACAGCTATAAGAACAATAATCAAAACCGAGGCTATCTCATACAGGAAAACAGAAACTAACCTTCGTCTGACCCCCCTTGATCAAACTCGTCTGCGCAACCTTCAACGCAGCACCCACCTCAATCGTCCCCTTGGGCAACACCCCAAGCAACTCCAAAAACCAAAAGATATTATGCATCACAAACATCCCGAACCACGTCGTCCGCCAAACAGTGAACAGATCATACACCGTCTGGGCTTTACTGTAGTCACCCTCCAAAGGGTAATACCACTCCACGTGGTCTTTACGTTCAGCCAAGTCCTCTTCGTACTCGACCTCGAAGCCCACGGTGGTCAAGGCAGACCGGGCGAGTTTGAGGGAACGCATTTCGGGAATACCGTTGCCTAGTTCGATTTCGTGCGCCAGGGCTTTGTGTTCAGGGATTGAGGGGTCCCAGGCATCGGTCATGCACCATTCATATACGCCGAACTAGTGGAAGGACGATTCAGTATACGGAGGAGGGGAATATAAGAAAGAGGATGCAAAAACTCACCACTCCTCCTGGTTTGAGGACCTTGAAGATTTCCCCATAAACACCCTCCCACGTAGGTGCGTGTACTGTCGCTTCAATAGCGTAAACTAATCCAGCCAAAAAGCATGAGCAAAGATCATCTTGAAATACAAGAGTCAAAAAAGGCACCCACCAGCGTCGAACGAGCCCTCCCCAAACTGTTCCGCAAGCTTCATGAAATCACCTTTCACGAAACTAACCTGCCCCTCTAATCCCATATTTTTCGTATACTTTCTCGCTCTACCGACCTGGAACTCGTTGTTATTTAGCCCTACGATCTGCGCGTCGGTAAACATGGCTATTTGACGTGCGGGGCCACCGACACCACATCCGACGTCGAGGACACGCATGCCGGGTTTAATATTCATCTTGGCGGCGAGGAAGTGTTCGTGCCGTGCAAGGGAGGCAGCGAATGATTCACCCTTGAAAAAGCGGGAAAAGTGGAAGGATTGGGCCCAACCCCATTCATACAAGTCGGTGGCGCCGTCGTAGTAGCCTGAGACGACACCGCATAATGAACATTGACTATGAGTAAAAAGATAACCTGAGAGAAAGAGTACGTTACATACCATTGACGACTTCGGTGTAACTATCCAGTCGGTTAGCATTATCCACCTCGGCTTCTTTCGAGGTATCCTTTTGCCAAAACTTGGTATAGTTCTGAATACGGCTATCCGAACGTCCGTCTGCGTGGGTGTTTCCGTTGGTTTCGATAGCCATTTTTTGGAGCAGGTAGAAGGTTACTTGGACTCGTTCTGAAGTAGACTAAGGGAAAGATACACGGGGTGAGTCTTGTCGGTGGTGCTGGGGAAAGGGAGAAGGAAAAATGGGAAAAATGGGTTGAGGTGGGAGAAGGAAAACCTATAAATTGACTTCCAATTTACGCTCGAACCATTTCTTGAAAAAAAGTTATTAGCACGTGTGGCGTGTATAGATAAGATTAGATAACTAAGTCAGCGCTTAAATGATCGATCGTACCATACCGCGTTTTCCGGACTCACACTCGGTTTTTCTTATTGCTCTTTTACTCTTGTTGTTTGGAAGCGAACCCCGGTCTTGATTTTGCCCTCTGACTTATAAACCTCCAACAAAAGCTCTTGTATTCCTCAACCTCTTCCTCCGATACCAAAATCACAACTTGAACCCCGCGAACTTGTTTCCCAAATACAATGGCCGTCTACCAAGCAACTACTTCTGCGCCGGTGAACATTGCGTGTATCAAGTAAGATTTCTTCTTCTTTATTCTCTCGTACAACAATCTCTTCCATCGTTCACTTATTCATCTCGTTTGTTTCGCTTCTTCGTTCATATTCATAGACTCATCGACAAACTTGATTCCATATAGATACTGGGGAAAACGCGATACGACACTGATTCTGCCCACGAACTCTTCTCTATCCGTTACCCTATCCCAAGATCACCTGCGATCTACAACGACCTCTCGCGCGGATCCTGCCTTTACCGAAACGAAACTCTGGTTGAACGGTAAAGAGGAGGACATAAAATCTGGAGGACGGTTGGAGAGATGCTTGAAGGAGCTGAAGAAGATGAGGAAAGAAAGGATCGAGGACAAGGAACCTAATGCGCCAAAGGTAAAAACAATAATCAAATTGAATCTGCTAAGCTTTACTAAATTGTGGACGCACGCGATAATTAGTTATCTGAATGGAACATTCACGTTGCTTCATACAATAATTTCCCTACTGCAGCGGGTCTAGCTTCTTCTGCCTCTGGATTCGCAGCCCTTACTTCGTCTATCGCCGCATTGTACGGCCTCAACACTTTCCCCTCCTCCTCCTCTGCTAAACCCTCTATCGCCTCCCCATCTGAACTTTCCCTCGTCGCCCGTCTCGGCTCAGGCTCTGCCTGCCGCTCTCTCTTCGGCGGCTTCGTCGCCTGGGAAGCTGGTTCCCTCCCCTCTGGCACCGACTCTCTCGCAGTCGAAGTCGCTCCCCAGTCCCACTGGCCTACCATGCACGCGCTCATTTGTGTCGTCAACGACGCCAAAAAGGGTACATCATCCACCAGCGGAATGCAGCGAACCGTAGAGACTTCTGCCTTACTCCAACATCGGATCAAGCATGTCGTTCCGCAGAGGATGGAGGCGATTATCAAAGCAATCAAAGAAAAGGATTTCGATTCGTTCGCAAAGATCACGATGGCTGACTCTAACCAATTCCATGCCGTCGCGCTCGACACCGCACCTCCCATTTTCTACATGAACGACGTCTCACGTTCCATCATTTCCATCATCGAGGAACTGAATCGCGTGTCGCTCGAAAAGACTGGTCACCTCCTCGCAGCGTACACATTCGACGCTGGACCCAACGCTGTCATTTATACCGAAGAAAAGAACGTCAAACAGATTATCGAGATTATCGTTCGATACTTCCCTCAAGCAGAATCGAACCCCTTCCCCGATCCGTTCAAACTGTTCGGTGGAAAACAACCCGCTGCTGTGCCTCTGCCGGAAGGGTTCAACGAGAATGTAACCAAGGTCTGGGAGGTGGGGAGTGTGAAGGGGTTGATCCATACGAGTATTGGGGATGGTCCAAGGGTGCTTGCTGAGGGAGAGACGTTACTTGGAGTGGATGGCTTACCCAAAACGTTGGCGTGAACAGGGATTGCTATGTACATTTTCTGTCCCGTGTGTGTTGTTTAAAGATACGACGCTCATCATTCCGTAGGGCTCTCGATCTAGTTATAATATACGCAAATTTTCAAGTACTTACTTAGAGGACTCAATCTGAAGCTGCATTGTGATTAATAATGAAACGGCTGCTCAAGCATCTCACTTTTGCTTCTGTTCAGTCGCTTAAACACTTTGTGGTATATGAAATTTCATTGCAAAATCTCTACAACATATTATCACATTTTGAATACAAAACCAAAGGGATTCATGATTCGAAAGCTTCTGTATCTATAGCTCCGTGCTCAAGAAGCAGGTGGATGATAGACTCCCTTTGGCTGTCTGAGCTCAATTCAGATGAATTTCTGGCCGCCAGTAGAGCATGCTCATGTTCACCCCCCTGTACATTAACATCAGCTCCTGCATCGAGGAGAGACCTAACAATATTTTCCCTTCCCATGAATGCTGCAGCTTGGAGAGCATTACCAAAGTTTCCACCTTGGGTATTGACATCTGCTCCATTTTCAAGGAGGTATTTGACTATGTTTTCATTACCCTTGAATGCAGCAGCTTGGAGAGTATTTCCAAAGGGGCCACTTTGATTATTGACATCAGCTCCCTCTGCAATGAGGTATCTTACAACATTTTCATGCCCTCCCCAAGCTGCAGCCTGAAGAGCATCAGCCTGATCTGGTGTTTGTGTATTGATATCAGCTCCTGCATTGAAAAGACATTTGACAATATCCTCATTCCCTGAAAATGCTGCAGCCTGAATAGCATTTCCAAATTGATCACCCTGCACATTAACATCAGCTCCATTATCGATGAGATATCTCACAATATTTTCATTGCCCTCAATTACTGCAGCTTGTAAAGCAGATCCAAAATGACCACCATGAGCATTGATAGAAGCTCCATGTTGTAAGAGACAATTGAGAATGCTCTCATTCCCCCAATATGCAGCAGCTTGGAGGGCATTTCCATATTTACCGCTCTGAGCATTGATTTCAGCTCCATTGTCTAGGAGATATCTAACAAGATTTTCATTGCTTTTATATGCAGCAGCTTGTAGAGCATTTCCAAAATAACCCCCCTGGGCATTGACATTTGCCCCATTTTTGGTAAGGTAATCAACACAAGCCACATTTCCTCCAATGGCTGCAGCTTGGAGAGCATTGCCATATTCACCACTCTGAGCATTGATATCAGCTCCATGATCAAGCAAATATTTAATGATATCCTCGAATCCACCATATGCAGCAGCTTGGAGAGCATTACCATATTTTCCACCCTGGACATTGATATCAGCTCCTTGTTCAATCAGATATTCAACAATGATTCCATTGCCCCTGTATGCAGCAGCCTGGAGAGCATTACCATATTGACCACCCTGAACCATTACATTGGCCCCCTGATCAATAAGATATTCAAGGATATCCCTACTGCCATCATATGCAGCAGCCTGCAATGCACTTCCATATTCACCACCTTGAGCATTAACATCAGCTCCATTTTTGATTATATATCTTATTATGTTTTCATTGCCATTGAGAGCAGCAGCTTGGAGAGCAGTTCCTTGTTCATTGCTCTGAGCATTGACATTAGCTCCATGATCAATGAGATATATGATAATATCTTCATTATTCTCCGTAGTGGCAGCTTGTAAAGCATTTCCATATTTACCACCTTGAGCATTAATATCAGCTCCATGGTCAAGGAGATATATGACAATATCTTTTTTGCCAGCATATGCAGCTGCTTGTAGAGCAGTCCCATATTCCCCAGCTTGTACATTGATATGAGCTCCATTTTCCAGAAGACATTTAACAATATTCATATCATTTAGGGAATCAGCTACTCTGGGGGCATTTTCCCACCCAGCCCTTCTTTCAAACACTGATATTTCATGGAGAATGGGGAAATACAATTTATGGCCTCTATAGGCTGCAACATGGAGAGCATTGCCATACTGACCACCATCAGCATTGATGTATGCTCCATGATCAATGAGATATTTGACAATACTGTAATTGCCCTTATATACAGCAACTTGTAGAGCAGTTCCATGTCCTCCACTGGAGGCATTGACATTAGCTCCATTGTCAAGAAGATATTCAACAACATTTTCATGGTTTCTGATAACTGCAGCTATGAGAGCATTTCCATATTTACCTCCTTGGGCATTGACATTTGCTCCATTTTTGACAAGATATTCTACCATATTGATATTTCTCTCATATGCAGCAGCTTGTAGGGCATTCCCAAATCTACCTCCTTGTACATTGACACTGAGGATAGCAGCTTGAAGAGCATGTCCATATTCACTGTTTTGAGCATTAACATCAGCCCCATTTTCAATGAGATTTTCAACAACATTCTCATGATTCTGGAGTACTGCAGCCAGAAGAGCATTTCCATATTCACCTCCCTGAGTATTGACATTAGCCCCACAACTAAGGAGATATGCTACAATGTTTGTATTTCCCTCATATGCAGCAACCTGAAGAGCACTTCCATACTGACCACCTCCAGCATTGATATCTGCTCCATTTTCAATCAAGTATTTGACAATGTCTTCATGTTCACCATGTACAGCTGCTAGAAGAGGATTTGCATATTTTCCACCTTGAGCATTAATATCAACTCCATTTGCAACCAGATATTTGACAATATTCATATTGCCTCTGTGTGCACCAGCCTGGAGAGCATTTCCATATTTCCCACCTTTAGCATTGACATTGGATCCCTGGTCAATAAGGTATTTGACAATATCTTTGTTGCCATTATATGCAGCAGCTTGGAGAGCATTCACATGTCCTGTCCCTCCACCATTAATATTAATATCTGCACCCTTTTTGATCAGAAGTTGGATAATATTCATATTGCCTTCAGAAGCAGCAACTTGGAGAGCACTTCCATATTCATGTCCATCAATAATGTTAACATTTGCACCATTGTCAATGAGGATTTCAACAATGTCTTCCTGATTTTTGAAAGTGGCAGCTAGCAAAGCATTTCCATATTCACCTCCTTGAGCATTTACAATAGCACCATGATCAAGGAGATATTTGACAATATATTTATGGCCCCCATAAGCAGCAGCTTGGAGAGCACTTCCATATCCGCCACCATAAGCATTAATATTAGCTCCCCTTTCAATAAGATATTTGACAATATTTATATTGCCTACAAAGGAAGCAGCTTGGAGAGCATGTCCATACTCATATTCATTCTGGATATTAACATTTGCTCCATTTTCAATGAGCAGTTTGACAATATCTTCATGGCTTTCAATGATTGCAGCTAGAAGAGCAGTTCCAAATTCACCTCCTTGACTGTTTACAATAGCACCATGGTTAAGGAGGTATTTCACAATGCTTTTATTTCCCATATAGGTAGCAGCTTGGAGAGCACTTCCATATTCCCCTTCCTGGGCATTAATATCAGCATCTTTCTCAAGGAGATATCTTACAACATCCTCCTTGCCTCTCAAGGCAGCCACTTGGAGAGCATTGCCATATTTCCCACCCTGTGCATTGACATCAGCTCCATAGTCTACTAAAAGTTCTACAATGCATTTCTTCCCAGAATATGCTGCTGCAGACAAGGGGGTTCCAAGCTCACCCACTATTTTATTGATGCTGTTTGCACTTTGCTGTACAATTAAATCTGATACACTAGATTCCAAACCAAAATATGCAGCACAATAGAGAGGATTGGAGCCATGTAATGGGGTTTCCCAGAAGTGAATACTATGTCGGTATCTCTGTGTCCAATGCCAAAATTGCAAATTCTCATTTTGAAAAAATTCTTTGACAAGATGGTCTAGTGAACTTCCTAATGAATGGGATTCCGATGCTTCCTGAGTTAAAGAAGTATGATCTGCCCAATACTGAATGGTATATTCTCCCAGTGTCATAACATTCCTCATTATTTCAGCATTCTCCATATCTTTCCACTGTAACAAATAAATAAGGCACATTTGTGCAATTGTTCTGTGTGCTAAGAGTTCATTGATTTCAAATAAATCTTTTGTCTGAACAAAGATCTGCCTGTTGAGGAGAAGCTCCTTCACAGATGCATGGGCAAGCTGGATAACATCATCTGAATTAATGGTCACCAGGGTTGAATCAATGATTTTCTCTAGCCTAAGATTCATTCCATCACTTGGGTGAACTACCTGCTCTTGTAAATCAATTGAAAGCATAGCAGTAAGCTGATTTTTGTTCAAAGGCTCAAAGGCATACAATAGCCATAAGAGAATATGGTGAGCATTTACTGATTCATGGCTTTGTTTGCACTTTTGTATAGCCTGAATATATGTTTGTTCCAGGTCTGGAGGCAGTGTTTGCACTGCTCTCTTGACTGACTGAGATGTTGCACATTCCTTGAGTACATTAAACTGGCAATCAATCCAGCGGAAACTGAGTACCATTGTAAATAATGCTTCAATCTAATTCAATGACAACATGATACTGACCTTCCATCAGCTTTAGTCTGTAAAGTACCCTTCACTTCATCCTTGAATCCTTCCGAAAAATAGAGGTTTGACATCTCAGCTTCCATATAGATATTGATATCTTGATTAAGATTGCCACTGTTCATGACAATCTCCAATGGCTTGTATTTGAGTGAATATTCTGCATTGTAGCGGCTTGTGAATGCTATCCAAGTATTATCTGCAATGCCAGCAACAAATACAGCCACAGATGCACTTTCTCTACATTCATCCAGTGCATCTATAATGATGAAAATTTGGTGCTTTTTCTCAACAAGATCATGGATAATTGCATGCAAAGTATTTTGCAACTCCATATTACTAGGTTGTGCTGCATAAATCCCCCTTTTTGACCTTTCATGAAGGCCTTTAAGCTCTGAATGAATACTGTGCTTGTAAGAGCCCAGTTGCTGTAAGAGTGATAACAAAAATCCTCTGTAGCTTGATCTGGCTCCAGTATTGTCACGTACATCAAAATAATGATAGTACACCAAAACTAAACTATTGCTGAGATCTTCAATTATTGATGTTCTGTAAGAGAGGGAAAAAGGAAAAAAAGCAGACTCTGGTCATACTTTCTCAATTGAATTGTCAATGTGCTTACAGTAAAATTGTTTTGCCTGATCCAGCTAAATAGTAAAAATATTGTTTAGCACATATACAAACAATTTTGAATACTCAGATTCACCTTTTCCTTGAATCCAGAGAGTGCAGGCTTGTCCCTTCATTCTCCACTCAATATAAATTGGATGATTCAAAATCCAGCTGCCTGTTCCAGGAGTTTTTTTGTTCAAAGCGGTGATGTAGTTAATGGATGTATCTGGTGCTCCAAGCCATTTATGTAGTTTCCTCTCTTCATCAGTTGTAAGAGTGTCTGGATGAAAAATTGAGTTCCTTGCCACATCATTGTAGTACAAAACCTGCTGACAATGATTATTGATGTCTCTTTGAGCTGCATTGAATGTACTATTGTTGATTGTAAACTGAGATGCATTTTCAAACATCCTTCAAAAATTGTGTGAGAGTATGGTCAACAACACCCCAATCAATCAGCATACTTTGCAGTATCAACAACAACATCAAAACTAACAAATCAATCATTTATTTCAAGATGAGTTGTATTCATCAACGAGGCTTACCTCATATCTGGCCTTAACAGAGATTCAAAATGATGGCGGAAAGGAAGGGAGCTTGAAATAAAATATGGGCGTTTATATAGTCCCAGATACAATTGATCACTTGACCATTGCGGTCACGAATCGATTATTACATCGGTCTACCATCGGTAATGAGAAGTAATTGTTCAGGCATCTGCAAAAGATGAATATTCAGCTAAGAGCTGAGAGCAGATCCCAGCAGATCCCAGTACCGAAAGCACTGAGAACAGGCTGCTCTGAGTGCTTTCATTGCTAGGAAATGCTCTCGACTGCTTTCGGACCCTTAGCCGAAAATACGGGTTTTGCAAATGTTGTGTGAGACTCTTGACTAACAGCTTTATCAGAGAATATATATCAAAATGCGGCAGGACTGCAGGAGAGACTCTGCGAGCGAGGATGAACCTGGGATGAACCTGGATGAACTTAAACTGGAAAGTGACTGACGTTGAACGGCGTTCATTGGGCGCTCAAAATGACATGTTCCGATTCGCTCCTCGAGACTTGAAGCTTGAAGCTTGAAGCGTGAAATTCGAAATCTGAAAATCCAATACTTGTCTATTTCTTGATACGAACATTGGTGACGGTGAGTTATGATTTAAATTTTTTTGTCTGAATATCTACGTAATTTGGGCCAGGCAGAAATTAAATCAAGATACATCCTACTCGCAAAGCTTCGCAAAGACGAATCCTTCGAGTTCTTTTCCTTCGTTTACCACTATCTGTGATATACTACTGCCTCTCTCTCACAGCACCCTTCTTCACTGAAGAAAATTTCAATGAATGTTGGGGAGGAAGATACTGAAGACGACCGAGAAATTTTCTGAAGGATGTGAAAGATGAAGGAGACAGTTGCATTGAGAGCGTGTCGCAAAAATACTGTTTGAATGACCAAGAATCGAAACGTCACGCATGTCACGCATTCTATCCCGACGTCAACAGGGTTAGTCATTAGGGAACATTTGTTTCCACTCAAATGGATTGAGCTTCTCTTGTCTCCGCCATTTTCTGGCTTCACCCCGTCTTTCACTCCCTGTCCCCCTTCTTCACCTTCCTTCGAAACCGGCCCTTGTCTTTGTCGCCAGGCCAGTTTCCCCTGAATCAGTATTTACTGACACCGAAGGACCGAAAAGACCGCAAAAGATGAGGGATTTCGATGTGTTTGCGAATATCATGAGTGCCGATTCCCGCCATTTATTCATACCGTCGCGTGTCGCTCAAACGAGCACATGAACGACCTCTTTATATAATCATTTCATATCTTCCACATTTTGCTCGAACAGACCGGTCACCTCCTGTCACCTCCCGCCAGATTCAAACCTGCCACCAACACAAGAGGAAAAGAACACTACATGAACAGATTGTTGAGATTATCGTGCGCTATCCCCCAAGCGGAGTCGGACCAATTCAAACTGTTTGGGGAAACACAACTCGTTATATTCTATCGCTTCCGGAAAAGTGTAGCCAGAGCGTAGCCTTGGTTCATATGAGCATTGGAAATGGGCAGGGGATATTTGCAGAGAGTGGGACGTTACTTGGAGATGAATCACCGACCGCGCGTTGTCTGTTGTAAGTATCATGCAGTGCATTTTTACTTGTACATTCGAACAATTTACATCGAGCCTCCGTAGGCCTCCGTCAGCCTATACATCATGACCCCAGACATCCTTAAACAGCCTCAAACCTGCTGCTCGCCGCTCGAGTGTTATGCCCTGTCATGCCTCACCATGTATCCTTTTATATCAGCCTATACGACCTCCGGGAGCCATCATTGTAACCCTTTATATCTTCATCGATTTGTGACAATGTATAGTGTGAAACGCCAAAGCGCAAACTTCGCTCAGGACAGGCTGGACAACTCAGTATCCGATGATACTCATTGATGGGAGGGACCTGAACTGATCTGGATTCATCAGGGATAATCGCTCACAGCACACATATAAAAGGACGATAAAATTGGAGCAAATCATAACGCTGGCTCGGTACGTCGACTATCTTTCTTTCCTCTAGCTACTGTGTCGTTCTTCAACTATTTGCACTACATTCTCTCTCCTCGCTTCAAACACAACGTCTACACCTACTGAACACTTGTCAATATACATATCCTTGCACTTTGTTTTTGCTGTCCTGACTTCTCATTGATGCTGACCACACTTTGCTTCCTAGTGAACATATTTTATTGTCTTCGGGTGAAATCTGCTGGTCAAATTTTTCCTTTGAGTTGTTCCACACGCTGGTGAGCAATCGAGCTCACATCTTTGCCGTCCGTTGATCTGATGGTGAAAATTTGAATTAGAAGTGACTTTCCTTATACCAAACCTTTCGGAACCCAATTCTAGCCAGTCGAATGCGCGTTAATCCCGTCTACCTTGTCCTGGGCCTGCTTTCTATGGTTTATGCCGCACCTGTTGATGCAAGTTATCAGTACTTATATACCCAGCCCATCAACTTACTTTTCTCAAATGTAGCTGGGCAGTGACTTGGGTTCGCACTCGAACTTCGAGAAAACTCTTCGAGCGCGGACGGCACAGGACAACCACGTCGTCTTCACCCGATTTACTGGAGTGCACGCTCGAAATGGCAATCTACGACCTCCTCGTCCCCCGCCGATTGTCGAAATGCTCGTGCATCAAGGACTTGCAACGCACTTCAAGGAAGAGATGGATGACCCGGAATGGAGGATTAAATTTGACAATGAATTTATTCCGGACCAATGGACTCCTAACACCCATGGGCTGAGTCTCCTATTGTATATATTCGGCATTGGGGATTGTGCACATAAATGGTGTCAGCTTACTGTTGAGTATTCGGGCCCATTTTCGCTGTCCTCTGTGGAGGCAAGCCCACTTTCTTTCAGTGTTTAGATTGTCCAGAACTGTCCTTGACTCTTGATGCAACTACCCTATTGCAATTTCTGACTTCTATGGGTAACGCTAAGTTGAAACTTTCGATGTGTTTTTCGAAAATAGCCCCTGCTGGAAATACGGTCACGCCACGGAAATGAAATAGTGGAATCGTCGAAGTCGAGTTGAAGGTATGTAAAATCAAACTGCGAGTATCTTGTTGCATGTTATGACTGGTACCAGACAACCTGACGAGAAGATGAGTTGCTCGCGACGACATGCAAGACAATGACGGGAATATGTGAGAGACGCCGGTCAGCAGCGGTCGTTCAAATCCAAGTATAAATTGATAAATTATGCTTCTGTCCGTACTTTGTCCATCTTGAATGTCCTTCTGGAATCTGCGAAATGTTTAGCGGCAGGGTTGAACGCGAGGTAATGAGAATACTATCGACGCTGTAATCGATAGGGACAAGGCAAGTAAGCGCAGAGGGGTCTACATGAGTCTACATGCCTGTTGAACCCTACGAAATAGATGCATGAGCGTTGCCCCATCGTAGGATCCCACAGGTTGCGAACTGTAGCAAGTCGCGAGTAGGAAGCCGGTCTGACGTCTTGAGAGGAGCCATCCTGAGCCATCCCTGTCTTCACGGAAAACGTCTTCGTCGGGGAGACCTTTGAACATACCTGCACCAACATCTACCTAAGAGCGAACGCGTTCTCCTCCGTTGGATTGAATATATCACCAAAAATGGGCTTCGAAACCACCGCGAGATTTAGCACGTCGTTGATTCCTGCTTTATTTGCCACGTCGACAATGTCGCTCATAGTGGGAGTGATCGCACGACTGACAGAAAATGTTAGATATAGCCGCCTCGATGGCATCTTTTCCATGAGTCACTTATGTGTGCTATGTTAGTCAGGATCACTTCGCAGGATTGGGTGGCTTGCTATCTTTATATGATGGACATGGAGGGTACTGGACATTGTGGAATATATGCGATACAGTGTATGCTATGTGCGTCATCAGCGCGTTATCCCTGAATATACCTAACGCTGAGCAAACAAGTGGACAAAAACCATCGAGGGAACATACCTATTGATCTTTGCCTTGATTTGCATCCTGAAGCTCGTTCTTCAAATTTGACCCATTCAGTGACTGATCTATGAGCCCATTGGATGGTTCAACGTTTCCCCGTTGAGCTTTATCTGACCACACTTCTTGAGTCGTGCTGAAGCCGCCGGAAGAAGTTGCTGTGTAGTAAAGTTCGAATACATGAGTGCTATTGAGTACCATAGGGTAACGCGCATACTGTCATTCTCCGGGGGATAGTTCTTGAATCGCTCATCGACGGTAGTTCCTTCTGGGTTGATAGCTGGATTTAAAGGATGTTTAATGTGTATAAGAAAGTTGCCACAATTTGAAGGGCTTACAGTCATCGACTAAAGAATCTTTGAAGCCTGTTCGACCGTATTCATCGCTCATGGTGAATTCTGCTTGGGTGTTGTACTAAGGCATAACATGGGATTCCAGTTCCATTCTATACTTTTTTAGGTGGAGCATTAGATATTGGATGATTATGCAATGACGTTCATTACGTTCATGGACGAAAGAGGAAAAGGCGCACGTGAGATTACATCAGTCGAACAATTGCAATGCGTTGTGTCAGATGGCGAGATGACAAACTCGACATCAACGTCTAGCAAAGTCGAACTTTGTTCTGCTTCGCTCCTGCGTTCATCAATGTCGGCGGAGTCCCCGTGCACATCAGCCCAACCTTCAACTCACCTTACCTCACGGAGAGTGCGGCAGAAAAAGCTGGAGTATCTGTTCTTGTTTAAAGTTATCTAACCGTACATATCTCTGATTATTTGTGCAGTCAAATCCAAATTCAGTGAAAAAGTACCACCGTAGGCGGGGTCTGTCCCTGCCCATGTGATATAAGGTGTTTCCTCTCCTCTTTCTCTCAATCACCGGTGTAACTGAAGCTGGTTTCTAGCCCTACGTATACTATCTATGATTATTTGATTATTTGTGCAATCAAATTTAAATTTAGTGAAAAAGTACCGCCGTAGGCAGGGTCTATCCCTGCCCATGTGAGATAAGGAAAGGAAGGTCTGGGATTATTTCCTCTTCTCTTTCTCTCAATCACCGGTGTAGCTAGAGCTGGTTTCTAACTTCTCTTCCACGCAACCCAACTTCGAATTTTGCTCATGCGCATCTTGTTTACAGTATTTGCTTTCGCCACGTTGTTACTTCTGGAACGGACCTTTGCTTCGCCGTTGATAGCAAAGCGCATGCCAGAGGCCCATTCGAACAACTTAGTATTCATTGGGTATAGGTATGTCTTATGTGCATGAGAATTGATCATGTCATTAAACTGGGAGTTCTGAAGAGCCATTGAGCAGGCAAGTTCCAGTTTTCATCTCAATCAGGTTCATGTTCTTGAATCTTCAAAAGCGCACCGCAACTATATACAACAAGAAAAATACATTGGTGTATACAACTAGAGAGTATACGCAGCTGGGGAAAGGAGCATACCTTACGAGACGACTGGGAGACTGGGAGGAGGACTATGTGGTTAGTGAATTCTTATTTATGGTGACCTCAATGAATCAGACAGATTGCTCCATCCTCAGTGTGCAGTTTACGCTGATGCAGCAAAGCTTGCACCGGCCAAAAAGGTAGAGTTCCCTTTGTCATTTTTGACAGGCAGCGGTCAAGACTCAGTGTTTTCCCCACTTATAGTTGTGGTTAGACAATTATGTATGTACTTGCTTTCTCATAATGATACATACGACACTGAGATATTGCTTGATTCTAGGAGCGCGAGAGCCCGGTGAGAGAGGAGGTGATCAAGACCAAGTTAAAGATGAAGGAAAAAAGCATCCACAAAGTCATCCTTGTTTCCGGAATCTGGGGGTCGGATGACCGATATAGCGAGGTGCAAATGCTCATCCCTCCTTATTTACTCGCAGACAAGCATAGCATTGGAAAGCTTGGAATTTATGTGACTTGTGTACCTTGGGGTATGTTCACTCTCGCTTCAATATGAGTTGAGGTTCACTGAAAATCACTGAAACGTTCGGCACTGCTAGACAACCGTGCAGAACTCCCCACCAACGAGGACGCTGATTGGGGTAGCCTATCCATTGTTGGATACTAGGACTATATGCTTGTGATCTGGCTGTTCGGCCCATTCAGACAGTGTAGACAAACAATCGGACATATTGTACCCTAAGGTTCTTATCCTAGGCATCTATATATTGTTCCTTGTTCATCGTCGTCGTCGTCGTCCTTCCTTGGGGGTGCCATGTTAATTGCACTCTTCACGTTCTGTGTCGGAGAGCATCGGATTCCGTATCCTATCGGCTTAACCTATTCTTGCTTGATGGTTCCTCAAGTTCCCCGCCAACCAGGCACTCGTCGGAGAACAAATTGAAAGGTGAAAGGCTGAAGCTTTAACAGGAAGGTGAGTGAGCTTTTTGCATTGACTAATTTGCCACTTGCCATAGGCAAATTAACCTTCAACGAAAAAATCTCCAAGGAAAAGGTATACCTTTGACTTGGAGCAAGGAAATGGCAGGGCGACGGACTCCTTCAGTTGTTATTTTATCAACTGAGGTGAGTTCGAGTATTCTACGTTGAGAATATATTCTGCATACGATGAAGCAGCATCGACGAACTGCTACTGAAAAACTATACAGTAGTACTTCGTGAGCGGAAGTAAATGTGAGTGCGATCCTACACTGCCCTACACCCACCTGGATAGCAGAGCAGGGCGGAGTACTCTCCAACACTGTACCTCAATTTCGAGCCCTTCCGGAAAGCTATATGAAGAGAGTCAAGCTTCAATACGCGAGTTTGATCGCGGATCTAAAACTTCTAGACGTCTGGAATCTGAAACCTGTCTGAAACCCATATATCCTCGAAGAAGAATCTTGATGCTCTCATAGTTTTCAAAACCTTGAGTCCGCAGAAGGCTATATCCAGTCCACCATTTCATCTCAAGCACGTCTCACGCAATTGGAGATCCTCGAATTCCCAAAGCTTAACTCCAGCCCCGCCAAATCCTTGCTTGCTACACAGGCGCTCAAACGCTTACATTTGGTTGGTGTGTTTCCGGGATGAATTGGAGCGCGCCGGAAGAGCAATGACAGACGGTGAGGGTAACGGATCATTGGACAGGATAGGATAGGAGGGGGCAGGGACGGGATCATTGATATGTAAACGGAAGTTTTGCTTTGGAGCTGACCTGAGCTGACACGCTCATTTTTACTTTATAGTTCATCCGGTTCATTCCAAGTCCCGAGCCCCCCTTGACTTCAAAGATTTACATGTTTTACGCCTACATGTAGCTACGATAGATTTACGATTCTTTGTTGTACTATGGTATGTATATTATCTTAGTCCTACTTCCTGATTCCCGGTTGATTCCCTAATATATATAGAGTTATCTTAATCAGTATGCCTCAAGTATACATAACAGTCGGTAGCAATTGAATGGCATGCATAACACAGTGTGCGTCCTGTATTTTCGATGTCAATTTTTGTATGAACGCGGAAAAGGCTCACACATGTTCTCCTCGCCTATCTGATAAATTCACAGCTGTATCTCTTGCGATGGGTATCATCTGTCATAATATAAATTAAGATTAGAAAGTACAAAGATTTCCTTGTTTTTCGTTCTGTGACTTGCCCGACGACCACAACACAAGAATTACGACAAACGACAATCATGGATACCAATGTGGATGGTTCCTCGGAGTCGTCACAACAGAAAAGTCACTATATACTCCCATCCGATAGCAGAGAAACTGGCAGGTACATATGAAATGCGTTTCTCTGCTCTCCCCTTGATTCTTCTCTGCTCTCAACTGAGTTGCGTTGATCTGTACAGATACTGACTTGCTCACCATTCCTATCCAGATTGAACCTACAGCATCGCCTGATCGTCAAAGCGTTCGACGGTAAACTCGTTTTTGCACCGTTGACTTTAAAGTCAGGCGATCGTGTACTGGAAAGTGGAGCAGGCTCAGGTAAGTACAATGATAGTAGAACCCTATTCGTGTCAGTCATACTAAAAATCCAATCACCCTTGCAGGTATCTGGACTCTGGAGTTCTGGAAAGAATATTCCCAGAAAAATATCCATCTTGACATTGAATGTATCGACATTTCCCGAGATCAATTCCCGACTCAGGTCCCTTCCAGCGTTCACTTCTCGCTTCGTTCCATCTTGGATGTTCCTCTCGAGTGGTCCGACCAATTCACATTCGTCCACCAACGTCTCTTAGTCGCCGCCTTACCTCGCCCCCTCTGGCATAAAGCCCTTCACCAAATTTACCGTGTCTTGAAGCCGGGAGGATGGCTTGAACTCGTCGAATCCCACGCTAAAATCCGGAAATTTGTTGTCGGTCCCAATTCAAAAAACCTTGCTCTTATTAGCGACCGCATGTTCGAGTCGAAGGATTTCGTAGGTGATACCGAAGTCTACCTGCCCCCTGTGATGCGCGAAATGGGATTTGTAGACGTGCGTTGTGAAGGGAGAGATGTTCCCATTAGCAACAGTCGTTCTGTTGTCGATGATGATGGACTTGACAGAGTACAAATATGGTATGATCTGTGGAAGGGTTTCAAAGGTTCTATTTTAGCAGGAGGGGGTTATGGGATTGTTAGCTCTGAGGAGGAGTATGAGTCGCTCTTGTTGGCATGCAAGGACGAATGGAATAATTCGACAGAGGCGTACACTACCTATTGGACAATATTTGCTAAAAAGCCGGAGTAGTATCGTCTTTGGAAATCATAGATTGTGCGCTTGCCCCGTATCGTCATGTCGACTGTGCGTAATCCGAAGAAAAATCAATCGTGTCCAGGTTAGCCTCATCATTACGGAGACTACATCGAATACACGGTTCCATAATTTATTATCGAGATGTCCTGCAAGTTATTTAGTAGTCGAAGTCCTAAAAGCTGACAAGAGATTGGAGCGAGTCGGACACAGGCAAACGTCCAGATTCTCAATCCCACGTACCTATGATCTATGCACCGACGTCAACCAAAACCGGCGATTCCGTTTGTGGTGTGACAACGGTAGACTCCACACCAGAGTCTTTCTCCTTCTCTTGAATCTCCTTCTCCTTCTCGAGGACACTGTCCCATCCCTCCTCGAACAAGTCCGGATTGACATCCGGGTTCGCTATCGTTTCTGCAATTTTGGGTCGACTTTTAGCATTCAGTTCGGCTTGCCAGGCGAGTACAGTTTTGGATACGAGGCTGCATTACACCGAATGGAGATCGAGGGTAGGAATTTTTTTTTTTCATTAAGGGTGTAGGAAAAGAAAACCAACCACCAAGCTTACCTAGGAGCATAAGTCCTCGCAAACATCGCTGCCTCACTTACCCTATCCGTCTTCATCAACAGCTCAACACACCTGTCCCGTGCGCCAGTGCTCCACCAGATAACCCACGCCAGGTTGTTCTGTCCCTCGTTCTCCGCCCGTTCGGCAAGTTTTAGGAGTTCATCTAAGGAATGGTAGATGGCGATGTGCGATGGGCAGAAGGGGGAGGGAGGAAAATCCGTTCATCAACCAACTATAAACGAACAAAAAAAAGAGAACCGAGAGCACGACATACCTTCACCCTCTCCACCCATACTCATCAACAACAACATTAACGCCCCAAGATCACCCGCATTCTCAAAACACTCCTTAGCCAAGTCAAATCTCCACGCAGCCAACGCACGATCTCCCAACGCCTTCCATTTCGTTATTGATTCGGGGTTGATTTCCGTAGGTTTCGTCGGTGCAGGCGTGGGTTTCGACACTTCCTTTGCCTCTGCTTCGATATCGACTTCGGAAGGAGGCGTAGCAGTAGGAGCGATCTCTGATTCTGCCTTCACAATTTCCAGTGCCGTATCCAGATCATCTAACCCCAAGGCCAATTCGAATTTATGATCTGGATCAGTAGCGATCTCCAACGCTAATTCTTTGAGATCCCGACTTTCCAAGAACCTGGCCAATCTTCCTCGGCCTTCTCTTCCGATGAGACCTTTCTCGACTGCATCCCTAAAAATTGGATGAATTTCATCAGGTACAATGAAATGAAAAATAGAGAAAGACACGTACTTGAAGATCCCTGCCGCCTCCTCCATCTCTCCCTTGATTACTGCGATCTGATACTCGACCACTGCGAGTGAAAGATGATACGTGTAGACATTAAGATCCTTGTCGGATAGGTATACGCGGTTGTGGGCAGGAAGGTAGGAGAGAAGGTATAATGGGCTGTCCTAAAAGCCTGAGAATAAGCAAGAAGAGGAAGTAATATATAACTCACGTATCCAAAGGACTGATGCTATAACTTTCATTGCCCACGAAATACATTAGCCTGTTGCTCGATGTGGTGTAAATAAAACAGTCGCCGATCCATTTTGCCGTTTTCACACTGGAGGGAATTGGGTCAGATCATTCACGGAAAACGACGAGAAAAGAAAAAAGGACGACAAGAAGATGGACTCAGGATTCAATTTCAGCAAGAATGTTTTAGATCTACGGCACTACCCACCTTTCTTGGACATCTGCAACCACCTCAAACGCTTCCTCCGCGCCTTCATCGGAATTCTCTAAAGCCCCTTCCGCCAGCTTCGCCTCGTAAGCGTCACGGTCGAACCGAAGGATGTAGAACGAGTCATCTGAGGCGATAGCAACAAGGGTATTGTTTGTTGACCAGTAGATCTGTAAGACACTCGGGGATGAGCAACGATAAAAATTCTTCGTAATATGGATGCCGACTCACATTCTTCGCGTCGACATCCACCCTCCTGACAATTTCTCCCGTTTCCCAGTCCCAGAATATCACAAATCCATTCCCGCGTGCACCAAGAAGAGGGCCACCATATAGTGCGTCCATACCCCAACTTCCTGTGCCTTTGATTACCTTGGAAGTGCAAAGGCAAAAAGTTAGCAATGGGGAGGGCGAAAACAATAGGAAAAACAAACAAATCCTACTCACACCCGGTTTCTCTTTGAAATTCTTGAACAGCTTCAAATTAACCTTGCTCTCCAGTACCGCATATGTATTTGAATCCGGCCCCCATGCGAACGAAAATCCGTTCCCGAAGGATTTATTCCTCCAAGCCAGAGCAGTGTAGGTAATCCACTCTCCATCACCAACGACCGTTACCCATCTCCCATTAGGTGAATGTAAGATTGCTGTCGGGAACACCTCCGACGACCCGATTTCCTTTGACGACGACAGTTGAACGCGCTGACCATCGCTGAGAGACGAAGCACCCTCAACGAGAGTAAGGTTGGCGGAAAGCACCGCAGATGATTTGGTATATATCATCTTGCCGGAAGAGTCTACAGAGAACGTCGGCTCGTCTTTCCCTAGCTTGATCACGACGACCCCCTCATCATACCCCACGGCAACCTCATTTGCCGTTCTATGCAGCGTAACACACCATGCACGTTCCAGGGCATAGCTCAGCGTATTCTCGATCCTATACGTATTCGAATTCCAGATCTTCACTGTCCCGTCCTCCGAACCACTGATAATGACTGGCAAACTCGGATGAAAAACGGCAAACGATACGTTGTTCGTGTGTCCCTCCATAGTTTGGACACAGCTTTTGGACAAATAGTCCCAGACTTTGACTGTTTTGTCGTCTCCACAGGTAACGAGGTAGGGTTTGTCATTTCCAGGGTAGAAGTCCACATAGTTGACACCTTTCTCGTGCGCTTCGAGTGTGAAATTTGCTTGTGGGGAAGAGGTGGAGGAAGAGAGTGCAGAGATGGACCAGATTTTGACTGTTCGGTCAAGGCAGGCAGAGGCAAACGTGTTGGTATCTTTTGGGTTGAACGAGATATTCATGATGTAGTGAGTATGTCCTTGATACATCTATGAAAACCCAGATGAAAACATAAACGCTAACGAAAAAGACACTCAAATCATACCTGTACATTCTTCCACCCCTTCTCCCAATCCCAGACTTTGATCGTCATATCATCACTCCCAGTCAGCACCAAGCTCCTCTCTGGATGCACCGCCAAACACCGTATATAATCCGGATGAGCCTCAAAGCTCGCGACTTTCTCATGTGTGTTGTAGTTAAACACCCTCAACTGAAAATCATCACTCCCAGCCACAAACCAGTTCTTTCGAGCAATGAATTTGATACAACGCACAGGGACGTCGGCAACTTCGAACGTTTTGAGGAGGGCTCCTGTTTCCGTGTGGTGGATGTGAACTTGACCGTTGTAGAGGCCGGTGAGCACCCAAGGTTCGGTGGGGTGAAAGTCGACGCCTTTGACGCGGTCAGAACGGGAAAAGAGTTTGCGCTAAGGCGGGAGTTAGGAGTATATCAGTATACAATGTGTCTGTACGCACATTTACTTCGAATAACATGATGGGCGTATGGTAAAAAGGGACGTGTCAAGGGAGCCAAATTTGGCAACGCATTAGCGCCGTCAGACAACTCCTATGAATACCTTCATCCAAATTTTTTGTCACGTATATCCTCTACATCAAATTACTACACTGCAGGTTGGATAGACTCTAGATTGAGGCGAGAACGCCACGGACCCAACGTATATGATTCCTTCACTAACCAAGAACGCACGTTATTGAAGAAAAACTTTGATATCAGACAGTGCGATCGCGAAGACTATCGTATAATTCAGATCGATGAGCCTGTGGCGTAGACTACTCGAGATTTCAAGGACACAGCGGTAGCGGATTGAGTGGGGGGTTGATAGAAGAGATGATACACTGGACGTTGTACGTCTGAAAACCTAGATAAAACAAAATAACATGAACGACTGAAAGTACTATGCACCCGCAGTAGACGCGGCAGCTTTCTCTTCTTTCTCCTTCTGCGCCGCCAACATACGTCTGCCGAAGGAACAATATTAACGTTTAACATTGTAACGACATAGACAAAAGTAAAACTCACTGCCTCGCAGCCAAAATCATCTTCTCCTTCCTCTCTTTTAAACTGGCTTCCCTCTTTTCCGGTGTGTCTTCCCATTTGGCTTTTCCACCACCAGCACCGACCTCACCTGCATCGTTCAACGCAGCTATCTCTGAAACATCATTCAACTTGGATTGGAGATTATACCGCGAAATCAGGGTCTCCTTCGGTTTTATCCGTGATGACGAAACGGCAACGTCGTCCGCATTGACCGTTGATGATGCACCTGGGGTAGCGCGGGCATATAGGGTATAGTATGATGGAGGAGGCTGAACGTGGTATAATCATGAGAAGAACATGTTAGAGGTAAGTAGGTTAGAACGAATAGCACATACAGTATCAAGAAATCCTCTTTCGAGTATCTTATTCGTTGTTCTCTCTACACTGCCCGTGCGGAGGAGATCGTACCGTACATTATCTCTATAGTCACAGATGAGGAAACTGTAAATAACTACATCACTGAGAAGGCGCACCTCGGGATACCAGGAAACATATTCTCAACGGTGTCCATCATATCCTGAGTTACATTCTTTGGTCGGAAGCCGAGCGCGTCAGCGGGTGAAGGAGCTCCGCCCTCGGGACCGCTCGACGTAGCCCAGCGAAAGATGAAGACAATCACAGCAAATGCCACGATAACATTTACTACTTCACCCATGTTAGATACCAAGTAAAGAAGCCAAGATATGGATTTGGGGAAAGGAACGGCGATGGTACAAGAAAGCCACGACGGCGCTAAACAGTATATTTAAGCGCTGAAGTTCTCAAGGCCTAAACGCAACTTTCTTCCTTCAACGATATTTTCAATGTTCATGCCTGTTGAAAAACATCCACAGCGGCATTCCGAGTATCCTTTGAGTGATTTTCACGTCAAACTCCAGACCTCCAACTATGACATGTGGAGCTTCCCATTCAAGGCCATCCACCTTCAAGTTGTACACTCACTCCTTTTACTCTGACGACCGCCTTTCTGCTTGAAATATGGGTTATTAAAATTTGGCCCCACGACCCTTTGGATATCTTAACCTATCTTAACACAGTGGACTTTGCGCCTTGCTAAGGACTGACTAAATCTTTCCGCTCTTTGTTGTGGCTCCACCAAACACAAACCTGTGTTTGCCTTGTCGGAATTGGTTATATATACATATTTACAACTCTACAATGACACCCAGTGATACTGATTCGGATGGGGTCTAGCAGGAGCTTCCGGGGTCCTTTTGATGCTGGTAGGCATATATAGAGATAGGTTCCTGATGAAGTTTTTTCGACCTCATTCTGACTTTTCGGGTAAGTCCCCAAACAGTCTACGCCCTTCCTTTTCTCATTTCCAATTGACCCTGCGGTTACTCGACCTCAAAAGTCAAAAACGCTTGCGCGATAAATTTGCAGGTCAAATTTCGTTGCTTCAACGTCTCAATCCTCTTACGTAGTACGTGCTTCTCTGATCCTTGTATACATCATCATCATACTCAACCAGCGACGTAGCTTCCATACACGTTCAATAACTTCCGAAAATTTGTTGAATGTATGCCTTCATTGTTTAGTTTTCAACTGAAAGGTCTACTTATCTTCACTTGAAGACCTCGGACGTGCCATCATGCTCCTTCGACAATCTCCGTTTTTTCCTGGATTGTTCCCTGTATACCTCCTTTTGTCCATTGCGCTTCTCAGTGTGGCTCGGCCGGGCCGACGTAAGTAGATATTGCTGCTTCCTTCTGTGATACATTGATGCTGAAAATCATCTACACGCTCAGGTGACATGGTGATTAGGTTGGGATACGAAAACATTGGGGACGAGCAATATGGAACAGCCTTTCAATCGCATAATCATTTTGATCAATCCACAGAATTCACCATTTTCTTTGGAAACACCGTTGGCTTGACGGCTTGCATTCTGAAGAATCAGCTGGTAACTCAGACAAGAGACATTCCGCGTGTTGAAGCTCAGACGGCTTGGAGCGTGGGTCGAGTTAGAGAACGTCTTTTGATCAAGCTGGGTATAGACCAGAAATCCCAACTTGTAACCAATCTGGATGAGCACCAGGCGACACGGGAGTTCCTAGTTCGGGAACTCAGTGATCCCAAGAAACTCTTGAAGCAGACCAAAGACCTGTTCTACAAGAAGTATGATGTCCCTGCAGTCGATTTCTGGCAGGATGTGGCAAATAACGGCGAATTTATCAGTATCGTCCTGATCTATTTGACCTTGCTTGAAGGTAAGGATCATAAGACTGTATTGCCAAAGGGCACTTTGGAGGAATGGATCAAAATGTACAGAGCTGTGAAGACTTTGGAGTTGGGGGCTGACTATGTTACGAAGAATCCTCATTTTTTGGCTATTTTGTACTTGCTTGAAGGGAAATACGAGGCACCCAAGACACCTTTCAACTGGCCGGCTTCGTAAGAGTAGATTTTTCCCTTGCTTTGGAATGCTTGTTAATAAGTCATTTGATGTTGTACGACGATGCAAAGGTCTTTCATGTATCTAATCTTACATGAGACCTCGTGAGATTTTGTGGTTGATTTTGCAGAGCAAGAGGATTCAGAAAGCAGATGTGTTTATGCAAAATGGTGTGGGACAATAAAGGAAGTGCACGGTATGGCGAGGAGGGCAGGAGAAGTGCAATTGAGACCAGCGGAAAAGATCATAAACGATGCACGATTTGGATGACGATGACGATGCGATGATGACGTGACAAGACAGATTTGGCTATGTACATACGTGCGCTAGTCAATGTATATTACTATCTCACTGAACAATACCGACAAGAGGATTGAAGTTGTAGTAAGGACAAGAGCTTGTACTTATAGCTTTTGCTCCAGCTCCACTCTTCACAGTTATACCATCCCTCACGATTGAAATTACAGGTGTTTGTGCATCCTGCGTAGAAAACGGAACTGATCCAATTGCCACTCCAGCGGAGGCATCAAAAGATGCAGTGCTATCTCCAACCGTAAGAGTAATTGTGGCAGGGGATGTCAGCATCGAAAATGCGAACACTGCGTCAGCAGGGTAAGCCGAGTTCCTGGGAAGATCACCTTCGCTGCAGGTGATAGCTTTGGGATAGGCACGATACCAGTAAACGACTTGATCCTCCTGAATTGAAGCATCTAAAACGAGACTCTCAAAGTGAAAGTTACGGAACACTCACATTTATAGCAGGGGCAACTCCATTTTTGTACCATGAAATATAATACTGTGCCATAGTTCTCCATGCTCCATGGTCGAAGCCGTTAACATACAACGGGGCCAAATCTCCGAGGTTAACGATAGGATTGATATCGCTGATGTAGTGACTTTCACCTAAAGAGCGGAGAGATCAATAATGAATAGGAAAGTAAGACGGAAACAGGTGCACCGTAATCATTCCAGGTAATTATCTCAACTATATCAGGTTTGACATCCGAGATTGCCTGTTCCCATCGATATTTCCACAGCTCGTCGCTTTGCTCAACCCAATCGTTCGTGCCCCCGAGCTCCTTGAACTGCCAGGGAGAAACGGCTGAAGAGAGTTCAAATTATCAGCAAAGGGATTTTATGACATATGGCGTTGAAACAGCCTACCCATAATGTAAGGGCCACTTCTACCAGCTGTTGAGATACCAGCCTGGTAAGCAAGATCGGTCGCAGTGGTAAGGTCGGCGGCGACATCAGCTGGCCTACGTGAACGTGATCTTAAGATAAACCCTCGAAAAAGAATCACAGATAACTGTAGAGCTGACCATGACCACCAGTTAAAAAATCCATCAATCGAAGGGTAAGTGGAGAACACTGTCGTCGCTTCGGACGGATCCCTATAGTCGATGAAGGCTGGTGCAAGAGAAATTGTTATGCCCGCGTTGCCAAGATCAGTCTTGAAACCTGCCCAGAAATCGTTGTCTTGAGCGTCACCATCGAAGGTGCTCACTAACGGGTTGCCGTTCCACTTGTAGTAACTTGAGCTGCTGGCGTAGGTTTGCACCAGTGACACCATATCAGCTTCTGCCCAGTCATAAGTCATATCAAATGATATGAACATTTGAAAGTTAGCGGCTTCGGCTGCAGCGAAGGCGTCGGGATACTTGGTAGTTTCATAGGTGTCAACAGCCGTGTTGAGGGCTTCAGATGCAATGTAAGAGTTAAGAACAAGCGTTTGATATCAGGATAAAATTTCACCGAATCCATCAATGCCAATGGCCTGTGCCGCCGCAATATCTGCAGCCCAATCCGATGGACCGTAAGAGTACGAGTTCTGCACCTGCAATTTTACTCCACTATGAGGAAAAAGGTCGCGACATGGAAACCCGTACTTGCCATGAAATGAGCGAACACCGCAGTTGCATGAACGCATGCGCCCAGTGACAGAATTTGCAGTCCCAGAACGACGGCAAGAGACATTGTGATTCAAGAATGTGAAGATTTGAAATATCCTGCAGCTCCAGAGTCAGTTTTATACTTGATCCATAAAGCGCAATCCCATGATATGTACTTCGGTGTTCGCATCTTCTCGAAGTTTACTGTTAAGCCCTACATTTGCCAAGGCGTGCCATGCTGGACTTGAAACGGCCAATTTTCGATGAATCTTCATGTGTATTTGGCAGATCCAGATGACCAATGATTTTGAATTCATGCACAAGGTCTTACCTTCGAATTCATACTGGGTTAGAAATTAGCTGCATGTGCAACTGCGAATATAGCGGTGGCCCGTCAAATACTTTGCTGGGTCTCGATCTAACTTCATACGAGATAAACTGCAAATGTAGCACAGGAATTGCACTACAAACAGATTGGATTTCGGTGAGGATTTCAGCTACTAGTACCTTGCTGACCTGGATTCGGACCAAAATCAAGTGGAGTCGCTGAAAGCAACCAAAATCAAAACGTGGAAACCGAGTGACGACAGACTGCATTGGATGTTGCTAAACGCTTAAACAAAAAGATTGATCATGTGGGCATCAAGTCAGTGATATGAGTAGCTGGCAAAGTCGGCGTAACATGTCATAGTTCTCGACTATTCAGATGATACGATGCCCTACATAACCCTGATAAATGTTTGGATGAGGTCAGAGTCAAGGGATTCTGCCTGCTTCTGATTGCGAAGACTGAGCACATTGCTAATTTGATACAAACTTGTTATGTTTCTTCGAGTACGGGGATCGAAAACTTTTAGTTTGTTTCTTCGTTACATGACCGAGAGTACATGAATCTATACTCGACAATCTGAGTCGATCAACAGTTAGCCTATTCGCATAACGAATTGAGATTCCTCTCACAGTTCCAAGAATCAAAACATCCACAGTTTCAACGAATTATCCCGTACGCTAGGCTGTTTCTTCATTCGCCGCATGGAGACAGATGTAGCCGTTCCCTTCAGAGAATCATCGGAGTCGGACACAGAGTCCTCAGAATCAGACGAGCCCTCGTCAAAATTACGCGAGCCCGAGGACGAAAGTAATCGAGCAGAGATTGGATGAAAGGCAACACTACCAACGGAGTCTGAGGAGAGCACATGAGAGATGGAAAGCAAATCTACAGAAAGGCGCCCTACCATCATGGGCCTCAAATACCAGAGTAGGGGAAATTATGGTAGGTTCAATTTCATCTCCTTGAGGTTCAGAAACTTCGAGGGACAGCGGGTCATCGAGATCATACATCAATATGTTCCCATCCTGTAGAAACAAGAACGTCATTAGTAAATGTGATTCGAAGACACGGATCTAAAGTCGGAAAACGAACCTGTCGCCCGACAGATAGATATTTTCCACTGATGTCTATATCAAATCGATGCTTCTGGTTCGTGGATTCCTTGAACGAAGGATAGTCAATCTGGGTGTTGACACCCGAGAATGGTACATCTGAAGTTGGTGCGTAAATTTTGAGGGGTTGATCCGAATTGTATCGAATATCCCAACAGAAGATACGCGTATCACGCCGAAAGGAAGCATAGAGCAAATGCGGTTGGACGGGGTTAAATTGAAGCTGAAGGAGTTTCCGTCAGAGAGTCAACTACTTCGGAATGTCCGAAAAAACGAACCTGCATCACGCCTGCTTGAACTCCTCCATCTAAAAACATCAGTGGTGCTTCTCCCTGAGACTCGCTGAACAGTGCGATATTGGCACGGTTGGCGCTCAGAGATCCAGCGGCAAACATATCCGATTCGTAAGACGGACAGAAAGCAAGAGCGGATATTATACCTATGGGATTGACAGGTAAGTTGTCAGCGTTTTAGGCGACGCGATGATCATTACGCACCTTTGAGGCCATCCTTGCTACTCTTGTTAGGAGTGGTCGCTAGTCGAGTACCTTCGCCGGGGGTTGCAACATCGAAAACTTCGATTGCATCTTCAAAACCACAGTATAGCCTGATTCAAACAATCAGAAACAATATATCGAAGGAACATCTGATTTGTGAGTGTACTTTTGTGCAGTAAGATTGAAAGCAAGGCTGTGAGGCGCTATGAATCGTTCACGATGATCGATGATGGGGTAAGACGCTCTAAGCTGTCGGTAAAAGGTCAACGACGATTGCATGCAATTGTAGGGAATGGGACTAACTCGGCCGTCTGATACGTCAAGAAGCTTCACAGGGCATTCGCGAACAGAGGCCAGGAAACAAAATGTGGCTGGATCACTTGAAGTCGCTGCTGGGTACCATGCAAAGTCCACAATCGGGGCCGATTGACAAAATTCGAGCGTCACTGGTGAGCCTATCTTCATAATGAGTCGCGAGTAGCAAGTATAGGAAATGAAGATCTGTACTAGGAGAAGTTGAGCCGCTGGAATCTAAAGAACTACTAGAAAATAGGTCAATCGTCCGTCTGAAAAACAAGGATAAATCACGTACAATGCTCCCAATTGAAACGACCTGTTCTCGCATTGTGAGAGGTAGACTGAGCCATCGGGAGACCTATGGACCTAAGATTAGCTATGGCTGACTATTTAGTATATGGAAACATCTATAGAAGAAGTCAAGAACAGCTTACCATTTGGTTATTCGAGCGAAATTTTGAGGAAAGTTTGGATCACTTGTCAGAGCCACGACTTTGTCTAAGCCCGGAGGACGTGAGACATCGTAGTGCGGGGGTGACCAAGTACCGGAGAGGCCATCCATTGTGATGGTAAGAAAACAACTTTGCCGCTAAATCTGCCCGTGGGCCCCGGTGGGGCAAAAATATCTTTCCTTCTCATCTCCATACAAATATTTAATATTCTACATCTGGGTACATACAACCTTTACCTCAAACGCCTTATTTTACACCCCCAAAATCTTCCACAATACTCTCCCCACCAATTCACCATCGCCCGAAACCCTGTGACCAAGCGCGTCGTTCCGTCTATCAACGTCCTCTTTCAGCGCATCAGTAATCAGCCCTTGGTTTGCACGCTTAGCAGTCATTGTAGAGACAATCTGACGAGTGAACTCCGGATGCCCTTGGACGGTTATGATGTGGACGTCAGATATTGGAATAGAGCTAGGAGAGTCGGATACCGATGAAGGAAGGGGATAAGAGGAAGTTCTAGACTCGACAGTAGGAGTATAAATGTAGTCGGTTCCATAGGTAGAAATCATTCCTTGGTTAATCGAGACCTCTGTGGACGCAAGGAGATGAAATCCTTTCGGAACGAAAGGGACGTGATCTTGATGCATTTCTTGGATCGTCTACATATAGAATCAAGCAGTCGGTACTGACCAGACAGAACTGGCAGCTTCACGTACGAGTTCATTGTCTATCCCAAATACACTCTCTCCTATATTAGTAAGGCGCAACTTTGTCGGTCCAATCTCCCACTTGCCATCGTTCTTCACACAGGTACCACCAAGAGCGAGAGACACAATCTGGTGTCCAAAGCATATGCCAAATATCCTAACTTTTGGATGATCTTTTGCTAAATGGGCCGTGAACTCGATTAATCTATGAATCCATTCGAGATCGGCGTAGGCGGACGCAGCTGAGAAAAGCAATTAGAATGCATTTTACACAGAAGTTGGAACATACCACTTCCAGTATACATAAAGGCATCATACTTGTCAATCTTTTCTTCAGACGGATATTCCATTTTGCGTACAACATCATATGCATCCATCGTGAATTCCCAACCGAGCTCATCTGGAAGGGATTTGCGCATTAGTTCGTAAAATATTGTGGGGTATTCGCCATGCTCTGCTACCACTTCTGGCATGGGAGTATCGCATACGAGCAAGGCGATTGACTTCAACTTGGAGTTAGAAGCCATCAGAAGAAAACAGCTACGAGCGCTTATCCTTCCTCTGCTCTTCATACGGCCTCGCTGTTTCTCGCCATTCGAACCTCACTTTTACTTTTCCTTTGCATCTAATCATCATTGGCCCGAGGCTTATTCCACTTACGAACGAGACAACCTAGACCAGGGGGTGGTGGAGGTTGGCGGAAGTATAGCTTGTCCACCGGTTCTGTAGGCATATTATGTATATGATCCTCATCTCTCCCCCGATTGACATTCAAGCGCTTAGGGCGAAGCACCTTCTGCAACGTCCGCCGGAAATTACGTTGATTCAACTGTGCACCAGTTCTAAATTTGTGACCTATATACAGGCTCTCCAACTCTTCGCAATACGCCACATCTAGTAGTCCAGAGCTCCGAGTAGACTGAAATCAAATTTAACAGGTTCGTACACCTGATCGCCAATGTACTATTCAACACCATGCCCTCCGTATGCTTCCTTATGTTGAAGTGACGTCCATTTACTGCTTGGTACTGGCCCACTTCGATGGGTGTTGACGTTGAACGTCTACTACTGCTACCATCACATAAATGGCGTTTTATGCCTATATGTCATCTGTTCCTCGAGCCCATCCACTGCTATCAATCGCCTACTAGATAACTATTTACCAGGAGCTCAAGAACACTATGCTCATGATATCTTCGGAATTCAAGACCTTCTGTTATGGTAACTAATGTCCTTCGGAACTATATCCATGTATATGTACCATTGAAATTCTTTACAGGGATATTCTTCATGCTTGCAGTGCTTGCCGTCTCTCTCCTTATGTGAGCAGGTTCACTTGAAGTGTTGCCTTCTGGCTGATGCTGTCTTTCTTGACTTGGCAGCTGTTTCTGTTGGAACTATCGCCGTGTGGGCGAGCGGTGCAATACGAGACATGTTTGACAGCTGGTATCCAGAGATGGTCATACCAGATCTCAACCTTGTGGTAAAAGATAATGAGATTGCTGGGATTCTATTCGATGACTTCTTGAAGGAAGTAGGGAGGAGGTGTGAAGAGGCAGACATCCCGAAGGTACAATGGCTCGACGTGGCTATCGAGACTGTTGCTAAAGCATTTCAGGAAATTGTGCAGACCGGCGCTGTATAACTCAACCATTTCTTACTCCCTTGGCTTGTTGCAACTCTGTCGTTTGGATTGTACTGCTTGATGTATAGATATTTTGTCGCTCGTTTTCACCCCTAATATATATTAGAACCCCTTTTCCCGAAGAATTTTGATCTTTATACTACCTGTTACAATTCTTTCTACTGGGAGAGCCAGCTTTGAAGACTTGGCTGGGTAAAATCAACTCGTAGTACATTGTCGTTCATGTTTTCTAGCTGCCAAATATCTTCAAGAGACATTCATCTGAATGATTGGAACGAAAGCCTCGACTGTTTCGTCAAACTCCATCCCCAAAGACCATGTGCCATGTGCTGTCCATGGAAGTTTGAGATTTGAGTCATAGAACAGAATTCGAACTTCATCTCCCTCTAGGTAAAAACCTGACATACGAGGCTCGGGACCAAGGTATTCATCTACACAAAGTAAATGTTAGCCAGAGATTCCAGAGGGATTCAAATTCCTAAACGTAGACTACGTACGACGCCGAGGTGATATCCCGTCATTGGAGACATAATTCTTCGCGGTGCGGTCATCTTCACTAGCGAGCTTGGAATAGTGGTAGTAGGCTGTGATGAATAGGTCTTGACCTTTCTCAAATGGAAGCTAAGAGCATGCCACGATTCAACATTGAGGATCTTTAGTAGCATAGCACATTGGTGACCTTAGTAATTGGTATACGACTATGGCCGGAGGACCGAATTGTTCCGGGACATATCATGACTCCCTTGCAAGGAGCAATCGCTTGCTGCATCGGAAATTTTTCCAGTGGTGTGGTCTGTACATATCGTACGAGTTAAACGAGTAAGTAAGTACAATGTGTGTGTGTGTACCTGCAAAGTCATTCTATTCCAAAGCTCGTTTTTCAGCGCGTCTTTATCCGCTGCAGAGGCAGGTTTTCTTTCGTTCGACGACAGAGAAGAGAAAGGTTGCTGTCCATTCTTGGCGCGTCTATCGTCTCGTCTCGCATTAAATGTTTGGATAGAAGCAGGATCCCAGGTTCTTTGGGCAGCAAACATTGACGCGAAGATGTGAAGTCATGTTGAATGAGTGCCGCAAGTTCGGTGGTCACGTCGAGGGCGCCCACAACAAGGTTAACCTTTGGGCGCTTGTTCTCACATCAATATACTGCCGCGGCCTTTTACTGAGCTACTATTACTTAGCCTCGCGAAGGATATCCATTCAAAAACTAGCGGAAAGGAAAGGAAAAACCGACAAAGAAGTCGACGGCACTCGGAGTAACATGCAGACTACATGCCATCATGACTCAGTTTTGATTCAAATCAACCATTCCTTCCTGCCCATACTGTACTATGTCCGATGGTTTGCAGAAAATCCAGCTAGGCTTCGTCGGCCTGTCAGAGGAGGGATGGCCTGCGGATGCCCTAGCACCGCCTCTGTTCGCCCCTCCTTTATCTTCGAAGTACACTCTTGTCGCCGTGTCGACTACCAATTCTCAGTCTGCCCAGGCGAGCGCGGCCAAGTACTCACAAATCAGAAATTTGTCCGAGCATACAAAGAATATCGTTGTAAAACCCTATCACGGTTCTGCGGAACACATTGCTCTTGACAAGGATGTAGGCATGGTTGCAGTCGCAATCAAGCCGATCTACCAAAAGGACGCGGCGATGGAGGTGATCAAGGCTGGGAAAGATCTCTTCATCGAATGGCCTGTTGGGAAGAATCTAGATGAAACGAAGCAAATTTTCGATGCTGCTAGGGATAGAGGGATTAAGACGATCGTAGGATGTCAAATGAGATTCGCTGGATTCGCACTCAAAGTTTGTCTGCACTTACCGACGAGATTATTGGTCAACATGAACATTCATATTCTCGCAGGTGAAATCAATGATGTCCACAGGTGAGATTGGGAAAATACACTCTTCAAACTTTGTGAGTTTTCTCTGGTTCAGCGTCGTTTCTGTACTCGAGCTAAATGTGCTAACCAATCGTATCTCATATTTGACAGACCATATCCTTCAATCGTGGATGGGGCGCAACTGTTCTCGATCTATACAAACACCGGACTAGTGCCAAAAACAGTGCCACCTTACTCGACTCAGCAGGCGGGCATGTATTCGACCTCCTCTTACACATCCTTGGACCTATCACGTCCTTATCTGCTGTGGTCATGAACCACATCCCAACAGTGACAGTTATAGATTCGACAACAGGAACGCCTACAGGGGAGACAGTCGTACAGGAAGGACCCACACAAATCTGCGTTACCGGGATCCTTCAGACAAGCACCACGAACGTGAATCATGGTGGAGTTCAAACTATACAGACCCCGTTTATTGTGCATCTCCAATCCGGGGTAAAAGAAGCGGATTTCACTTGGGTAATCAGTGGCGAAAATGGAACCGTTCGCGTCCAGGCTGACGCCAAACTGGGTTTCTTTGATCCTTGCCCTCCGATGTATTGGAATGGAAATAAGGTAGAAGGTCTACCGAAGGTTGAGCAGAGAATTACTTCAGCATGGGAGGCTTTTGCTGACGGAAAGATCGATACATATGCCAATGTAGAAGATGCATTGAGGACAAAGACTGTGTTGGACGCAGTGATGCGGAGTGCTGAGGAAGGAAAAAGGATCGATTTGCTGTGATCCTAGATTCTTCGTGACATCGAGAAAAGCTCCGGCACCCGTTGGATAATCGTCGGTTAAAATGGTTGCACATCTAGAGAAAGGTACTGCCTAGTGCCTCGTAAGTAGATAGCCTACAGTATCATATCACTTCTTCGGGACAAAACTTAGAATAGTTTCGTTCCCGCCGGTCCAGAGTCTTCAAATTCAAGGAACGGAGCGCTATAAAAAGCCCACCTATTTTGACTCATGATTTCCCCTCATGAATAATCATGTTTGTTGGTAGCTTGTTATCTACGTACATGAGGATATATGCTCATGTCGAACGCTGGCCTGGTTTAATCTCCAGCTGGTTCATCGGTTCCGCTTCGGAAGAAGTATTTTCCCTGGTCTTCCCCATATGCCCCCATATGCCGACGAAGACGTTTTGCACGAAATAGATATGCAAAAACTGACAATGTGGCCTTCGGTGGTCTGAACCCACATGATTCGCACTAGTAGCATCCTCATTACTTGAGATTTTACAAAAGCAGCACAAGAATTTTGCCAATGAATTACACTGGTGCTGAAGGAAGATGTGTGGGTACACGAATCCAGGATAAAGATGTACTGAATACCTCGTAACAATCCGGGGATATAAAGAGTTCGATGCAGATGACGAGGTCAGACGGTAAGTAATATTTTAGCGCACGGATTGAGAGCACTGGGTGAAATTATTTTTAAATGCAATTATGTCCACTGGTTCAGGATGAAGTCGCCACCAAGAAAGTGAAAGGTATACACACTGATATCTGTTTCACGGCAATTTATTGGACCAGGATTAGTCCGACCAGAGATTGGTTGACTCGACCAAAGGCACCAAAAAGTTTCTATCGAGATCCGATATAAGGTGTCTGTGACTCTATGTTAATTAGAAATGTGGGGATTATTTTCGGGAAAGTCCTGGAAGGGGTGGGTAGGGCCCGCTGTACGGCCTCGCATAAAATGCTCTTGGTTGTGACAGAGTGGGAGAATTTTTTGCTGGTAGGATGTTCCGCCCACGGTGTATCTCGGGGGAGCCCAGGTGAACGGTGTCCTCCCATCTACATCAGAGTAAGGCAGACAGTTCAACACACTTTCTTTAAATTTAGTTTGGAGGGTTGTTCTAGGTGGCATGAGGAAGACGGCCATATGCGATTCCGAAGCCTCGTGCTACGAATAATATTTTTCCACGGTTTTCGACTTCTGTGCCTTGATCAATTACTTCACTCTCCTCCTACCATACATGTTCCTTCAAGTCATTTTGTCACTCGCTTTGTTCTTTCAATAGAACAACTCATTTACACGAGCCATTCTTTACATATCCATCTGCTCCTTACCTTCTTACCATCACCATCACCGTTTACGGAGCCGCCTCTCTTTTCATCGCCACGATGAACAACGAACAGGACCACTTGCATTCGACAACGCCTTTATCTCTAAGTCTACAGCCCAGCATTCTTGTAGCCGCTGCCACCCTCGTCCTTGCTGGATCAGCCGTCTTCTTGAAGTCCAATCTGCGTATTGGGAACCTCAGGTTGCTGCCTAAAGGGCTTGAAAGTGACGCGCAAAGTGGTATGTAGCTCTTTATCTTGTCTTTACTTGCCATTTCAAACCACTTCCTCACCGCAGCTTCAGAAGATCAACACGAGCCATACGGTGGGATTTCTGCGGACATATATGTCGAACGAGTCATGTCTAATTTTCGAACATTCATTCGTGATATTTTCACAGATATCCATGAAGACAGTAATTTCAACGACGCCTCAAAACTCCAGACTTCGAGGTCAAAGGAACGTCGGAAACGGAGAAAGGACCCAATGAAAGAATTGACAAAAGGGGGCAAGAAAGCGAAAGATCTGGCCAAGCTGTTGAAGCATGTCGACTTGCCCGGCCCCAGTGACCCGTCCTCGTCATCAGTTCCAAATTCAGGATTACATTCTGACTTTGTGCCAGCACAAGCACCACAGGAACCGTCATCGAACTCCATTACTTCCAACCGCAATCGTAGTGGTTCCCATTCTGAATCTGGCACTCGTGACTTTTCGGCATCGCTTTCTTCCAGGTCTGTTTCTATCTGTTCCGCTGCGGGAGCCTCTGCACGAAGCGGTCAATCCGGAGATGACCACGAAGAACAGGATCAGGAGGAGGAGATACCGCTGACGGCAATGCCTCCTTCACCTGCGCTTCCCCCGGAAATGAATCATGGGCACTCTCCATCCACGTCGTATGGCAGCACACCATCTCATGCCATCTCCATGTTTTCTATGAGCTATGCTGATACAACAGATACATCGGTTCAATCCGCGAAGTGCCTTGACTTGAATCCCGCTCTGGACGAGGAAAGATTTGAGTCCATTCCTTCCTCTAACACCCCATTGCCCAAATCAACTTCCAAGAATATCCGACGCAAGAATGGTAACAACGACAAAAATAGTAGCCTTGATAATTTCGCCACCAATAAACTCAATATTACTCATGGGACTGATGTATCACCTGCTATACTCACCTCATCGCAGTCAATGCCTTCCAGCTCTTCATATACCCGATCTGACCAATCGAAGGATACTATTGATATCTCATCCTCCACGCTTAACGTGATCTCTGCTCCCTCCCGGGCCGGTAAGCCCCCTCGTTTTCGTTCGCAAACACGTCAAGAACACAGCATAGGGCAGGTAACATCCTCATCTGGAGTAGGATTTTCAACCTTGATGCCGATCCATGATACATCCCGCGCTTCCAGTTCCACGTCGAAACCAGATTCTGATTACATGGATGGAGGGCACGTCGAGAATGGGGATCATTCCACTTCGTTGACTCCATTTAGCTTTCCCACTTTAAATGGAACTTCAGGCTCGGGCTCCACACACGACTCCGCCCCCGGTTCGAGCAAAGCTAGTTCTAGCGCTGGATTCGGTACACCTCCACCCGGTAGCCCTAATTCCACTAGCCTGTCCACGCAAACACAAATCGCATCATTACGGGGAGCGTTGGAGGCCTCTAGAAAGCGAGAAGAAGAAGCGAGAGGGAGAGATGAAAGCACACGAAGCGAATTAGAGAGATTAGGGAACGAGCTCAAGGTGTTGCGCTGGGAGGGAAATGTTTGGAGGCGAAGAGAAGGAGAGGTAAAATTCTTTCGCTTAGTGTCCTCAAGGTTTTACTGACTGTTCCCGATATATTCAGCTTCAGGCGCAAATTCATCATCTCGTGCATCAGATCCAATCTTATGCAGTCTATTTTGCACCACCTCAACAATTCTCCCCCCAATTGCAGAATCTCGCTATTCCACAGCCACAGCGAACTGTCGGGAAATATTCAAAAGGAAAACGCCCCCAGAAGCACAGCCAAACTTCACCGACGTCTTCACGATCCACCTCCAAGTCGTCACGACCGTCTCATAGCTCTCATGCCTCACCCATCCCACCTTTAGCCCAACTTCCCGAAAGACAGGCCACGACTCAGGGGTCTTCATCTTCACCCGTGGGATCTCCTATCATTCCTCCAAGTAGAATGTTCTCCCCTCCTTCGACGTTTTCACCAGGACCTTCTACACCATTCCTTCCAAATCCGCAAAGCATAGGGCCCTTCTCTCCATCATCGTCCTTCGGCATGTTTTCACCCACAGGTGCTTTACCTGGAGGTATGCCTTTCGCGAGCCCGCATTTAGGTTCCACGGGCATGATGTCTCCGCTTAGTCCACACTCACCGTATCTTCCATACCCAACCTATGCTACTTTTGGCGGATTCTCCCAAGGCCAGAACCAAGCTAACGGGAGTGGAAACCCTTCTAACGGAGGAACGATGCACCCGATGCAGTTCTTGAACATGCTGAATAACACCGGAAAAGGGAATGGTGCTAGCGCCGGTTCGGGTACGGAACCAGGCGGTGCCATGAGCACGTTGTCTACAATGTCGTCGTTGGACTCTGTGACTACGGATTCGACCGACTCGATGTCGCCGGCAATGACGTCGTCTCCGAGTCCGGCCCCTGGAACGTCGAGAGAACGAGGAAGAAAAAGAGGACGGGGTGTAGCTGGTACCGGAAATAGCGACCGTATCCTGGGTGGGTATGGTCCTGAATACCAGTACGGCTACTCATACGGTTACCCATACCCGTATTCCCTACCAACATCGTATCAGGTGTATCCCGGAACCGCGTCGCCCAAGGGAGAAATCGGAAAAGAGGGTGAGGGACCTGGTGAGAACAAGAACAACTATGATTCTGATCCTGAGCATGACATCGATGGGGAAGTCAACGAGCTACTGGCCGGGTCTATCTTAAAGCGACCTGAGAGTATGGTGGGACTGAGAAGGTCAGGCTCAGGAGGATCTTCGAAATCCAAGGCTAAGGAAAAGCTGCAAATGTCTCCGATGAAAGACGTGGGATTTGGCAATGAAGTGAGAGATGGACAACAGTTTTCTGATGATGGCCTGAGTGTTGCATCGCCGAGTTCTGACTCGGGAGTAAGGTCAGCTCTGGGACTGGAATGGCTTCGTGACCCGGGGCTTTTCCGCCGGGAGTCTTCTGAAGCAATCTCAACTCAACGACCTACGCCTGCATTGGAAGCGATACCCATGTCCATGCCGAGCTCTCCTCCTCCATCAAGGCTGCCTTTCACCTCGACAACCACTCCAAATGAAATCGATCTTGATGCTGATATATACTCGTCTTCATCATCCTCATCGAACAAGTCGCTCTCCGAGTCAGCATCCACGGAATCGTCAGACTCTGCAGCAGAGACTCCACCGATCGAGTTCACGTTTCCTTCGATATCAACTTGGGGCTATTCATATCGTACTCATTCTGCTGGGGATCCAAACGGCCGTGAACAAGCTTTGCGTACGAGCACGGACGTCGAAGCAACTGAAGATCCAGTATTGGAGAAACAAGCGACGACTATGACGTTGATTCATGACACGGATATAGAGGAAGAGATCACGCCGCCAGCGGACAAATTGAATCCAATGAGTATCGAGTCCGAACCCGCCTTATCCGATACTACGTTTACCGTTACTCCGAATAATGTCAAGAACGTCCACGATGGGACTACACCCGCGGAATGAAATCTTCACTTGACCTCACGGCTCTATGAAGAAAGAGCAAAAAGACACCACAACGAAATGATCTGGCACCACCCAAATTATCTAATTTTCTTGGTTCATTGCATGGCTCAAGCTCATAATGTATTAACTCAAATTGATTGTTCAGTCTCTCGAATCCTGAAATTCTCTTGACAAAAGATTTACCACTGACTTATTGCATTCTTTTTATATAGTGACTTTGCACTGGTTACCTACTAAATGTTCGAGCGATTCCTCTTTCAAGTTTTTCGTCGTATCTTGTCACAACTTTACCTTATCGACGCAACAATTTCCTATTCTGTTTTTTTTTGTTGAACTTGCCCCGAACTCCTTTCAATTTCTCCATGACATTCTCCTTTTTATTCCTTTCCAAGTTTCATTATGTTATTTCGCTGGATCCGGTTTCCCCCTCTTATACATAAACGACCTACATACAAAACAGTATATCCCTTCCACATAAGAGTATTTGAGATACAACAACGGTACCACAGGGTACCACTAGAGAACATTTTAAGTGTTCATCGAGATCGTCTCGTTTCCTTAGTCGTATTTGTGAGTGAGAGTGAAGAGCTTTGGTGTAACCTGAGCCCGGGCCGAGCTATTAGAAAAAAACGCGGTTGTCCAATGCACAGTGACGAACCGCCACCACAGTCTACTGCGCAACTTTGTGGCTTTGTGGCTTCACATAGAGTTACACTTTGACTATTTATAACGACAAGAAACTTCTCAACTCTGCTGGTCATGCCATCTCAATCTACCCTTTCTGCTGACGACAAAGCCAAAGTGAAGTCTGCTATTCCAGTGTCACCAGCAACGAACAAGATATTCTGGGCAACATTTGCAAGGATTTATTATGCGTATCCGGATCCGAATAAATGGGCTTATGCTGGACTGCAGGGTGGGTGTTGTACAGAAAGTCAGTTACGAATGATCTGACCATCTTTCACCGTAGGTGCATTGACTCTAACCAGGTCAAATGTTACATTGGAGTTTTCCTTCAACCTCGTTGACCTGACTGGAACTCGCGGCATTATATGGTCGCATGAATTTTACCAGGGACTTGAGGCAGAATATAATACAGATAGGCCATGGTTTCATTCATTCCCGGGTGATGAATGCATGATTGGCTTTGTATTTGTCGACGAGAGTGAGGCAAAGAGCTTCGAGAAAAAGGTCAGAGAGAAGACCGGTAAGAAATCAAAGGGTGGTAAGTAATTCCTACTGTGTATCCTCACTCATTGAATCGTTCTCCAGCCAAATCCAAGAAATCCAAATCACCTACCGTGAAATCCTCTGGCAAAATTGATAAATCCCTCATTTCTGCACCTACACAATTTAAACATGTTGCTCACATGGGCTACGATGCGGATAAAGGGTTCACTTCGCGAAATGTCGATCCATCCTGGACGACAATCGTTGGGAATCTGGAGGAGGAAGGAATCGACAAGAAGATCATCGAGAGAGAAGTCGAATTTATTCGTGATTTTCGCAAAGTTTATCCTGAAGCTCAAGCAGAGGCAGAGAAGAAAGAACAGAAGAAGAAACCAGCGACGACGAAACCGCCGCCTCCGCCGTCGAGAGGTGGTGCACCTCCTCCACCCCCTCCACCAAGAGGAGGAGGATCTAGAAATTCTGCACCTCCTCCTCCGCCGCCGCCACCACCTTCTGCTGCTGCTGCCACGCCACCTTCAACTGCGCATGCACCCTCATCTGCACCTCCTGCACCACCTGCCCGTCCCTCGACTGGTCATCATGTACCACCTCCTCCTCCTGCGCGCCCAGCGTCATCGCATACACCGGCGCCACCAAGTAGACCGCCACCTCCTTCATCTGGTCCCCCACCACCGCCGCCGCCGCCACCCCCAGCCGGTGGTTCTGCTCCACCCCCTCCTCCACCTCCACCACCACCCCCTCCCTCAGGCGCACGTACTGGCGCTCCACCGCCCCCTCCACCTCCACCACCTCCACCGGGAGCCTCAGGTGTCCCACCCCCTCCACCCTCCTTAGGCTTACCCGCTCCCCAACCCGGACGCGGTGACCTCCTCGCATCAATCCAGGGCAAAGGTATCCATTCATTGAAAAAGACTGAAGGTCCCCCGGCTAGTGGCTCGTTGTCCTCTGCGTCCCCGAGAGGTGGTACGCCTGCCATCGAGGAATCTGCCAGCAGTAGTAGTGGGGGCGGTGGTGGAGCGTCGGATCTGACTAGTGCTTTAGCTAGTGCCTTGATGGCGAGGAATGCAAAGATGGGTGAGGATAGTGATGATGAGGAGGAAGATGATGAGTGGGATTAAGGTCCTTGATCATACATATTTTCGAAGTGGTGAATGCTAGGTATCCTTTCAATGTTCCATACTTTACTTAGGCTCCTGATATGTCTTTCCTTAGACTATGATTATAATACACTTCAGATTGTACTTATTTCTACTTTTATTGGACATTTGGATGCTTGTTGCTCATGATTAGTGACCTCCCCTCCTGAGCTTGTTCATGAGGTGAGGTGGGTGCACCTTTTTCATGATCCAGATTAATTCAAGAAATAAACACTCAATTCATATCTTCATTGATCCTTGTATCATACAATATATCTCACTCAAACACATTCATGAGCATGATAACAAGTTTGATGTATTTTTTCATTTACCCTAAAACAGGATTTTACATACATAAATAGAAAGATGGCCTCTTGAGCCTTGAATAACAAGTCTTCTTATCCCATGGTATTATTCTTATCGCGAGATCTTCTACATATTCGAAGTGAACAATTAATGTCTTAAATTCCATAATCCAAGAGTAGTTGGACAATAGATCTTCTTTGAAAGCCAACATTTGTTTTTTGGAGAGTTTGAGCTGTCTGCAAAGCATCCTGGGCATCAGCTCCATTATCCAAAAGAACCTTAACAATTTCTTCATGGCCAAGATATGCAGCAGTCCTCAGAACAGTGTATGATGCATGATTACGGATATTGACATCAGCTCCGTTGTCCAAGAGAAGTTGGACAATACCTTGTTTGCGGAGGAATGCAGCAGTGCGGAGACAATCGCCACATTGAGCATTGACATTGGCTCCGTAGTCCAATAGGAGTTGGAGAATGTTTTCTTTGCCAAGAAATATTGCAGTTCGAAGCACACTTCCCAGCCCACCACACTGAGCGTTGATATTAGCCCCATTTCTGAGGAGCATTCGAAGTATACTCTCATTTCCGTTAAACACAGCACCTTGAAGGGCACTTCCATACCTACCACCCTGAATGTTGACATCAGCTCCATGATCTAAGAGAAGCTGAACAATATTTTCACTGCCCCCATATGCTGCAGCTTGGAGAGCATTTCCATATTCTCCTCCTTGAGCATCAATATGTGCTCCATGGTCTAGAAGTAACTGAACAATATTTTTCTTTCCATAATAGGCTGCAGCTTGGAGAGCATTCCCATATTTTCCATCATGAGAGTTGACATTAGCTCTGTAGTTGATAAGCATTTGTATAAATTTTTCTTCAAGATTCCAGGATAACACAGCAGTTTGGAGAGTATTTCCATATTCCCCACCTTGAGCATTGATATCAGCTCCATACTTCATTAGAAGATGTACAATATTTTCCTTTCCATGGTATACAGCCGCTTTGAGAGCATTTCCATATTTTCCACCTTGAGCATCTACATTAGCTCCATGTTTCAGGAGAAGCTCAATAATCTTTGCATTTCCACAACATGCAGCAGCTTGAAGGGCAGTATCAAGTTGACCATAGTGGGCATGAACATCAGCCCCATAGTCCAATAAAAGTTCTACAATGTCTTCTTTTCCCATAATTCCAGCAGCTTGAAGAGCACTACCATATGGACCACCTGTGGCATTGATATTTGCTCCATATTCTATGAGAAGCTTGATCATACTCTTATGATGACCCCAAACACTAGCCTGGAGAGCATTACCAAATTGACCAACTTGAACATTTACATTAGCTCCATTATCCAACAACCATTTGGAAATACTAATGTTGCCTGTATGATAGGCAACAGATTGGAGTGCACTTCCATATTGGAAATCAATTTTGGCTCCTTTACTCATAAGAAACTCCATCATTTTTTTGTTACCTGCTACTGCTGCTGCAGATAAAGGGGTTCCCAGGCTACAACCACATACATTAACCATGTCTGTACTTCCCCCTTCAATTAAATCAGCAGCACTTTGCATTAGACCTAAATATGCAGCACAGCAAAGTGGATTGCAATTTGGCAGGAATGTGCTTCTTTTGAAATACATGTGTGTCCAATGTAAATACTGAGGGCTTTGATCTACCAAGATCTGCTTAGTTAAATCCCTGAGTGTGGTTGTTGGACCAGAATGATTCTCTTGAATGAATTGAATATGCTTCACCCAATATTTGTTTGAATAATCCTCAAGTAAGAAAACACTCCCATGCATGATGTTCTTTTTCCACTGCAATAAATAAACAATGCACATTTGAGCTATAATATCATGTGCCAACACCTCATTGACCTCAAATAAATCCATTGTTTGAACAACATTGTGGCTTTGGACTAGAAATTCCTTTACGGATGCATGAGAAAATTGCAGGTGACAATCCGAGTCAATTGAAACAAGAGTGGTGTCTATGATTTTATCTAATTGAGGGTTCAATTGACCATCTTGTTCAACCACTTGCTCTTCCAAATCAATCAAAACAATGGCAGAGGCCTGACTGTTTGTTAAAGGCTCGAAAGCATGCAAAAGCCACAGAAGGATATGATGTGCCTGTGCTGAATTCGGGCTTCTTTTACATCTTTGAACAGCTTGTATGTATGTCTGTTCCAGATCTGGAGGCAAAGTTTGTAATGCCTTCCGGACTAATTTTGGTGTAGCACATTGTTCCAATACATTCAATTGACAATCTACCCAACGGAAACTGATATTGTCATTCAAGTTAGATTTCAATGTTAGAATATAATCACGTTATATTCAGCAGCAATGGCAGTAAGAGATAGAGTGCACACAGCACTGTAGTTGATCACACAGATCAGATGATGAAGGAGTAGAGAGAACTGCTTATTCGACAAGACGAATACTACAGGTTTATATACAAGTCCAAGGTAGACGATGTCATGTTACAGCTAAACATAGCGAGAGAGAAAGGAAGTACAATACGATGTATCCTACTGGTAGTCCTATAGTAATAGTACACGATGGTGGGATTGACGGTGAGACTGATAACACGATAGTGAGATAGTGGTTTGTAACAAGAGAACGATGTTCCATAGATGGTATGTGAGTCATCAAATGTTAACACTCCCCCTCAAACCTTTGTTAGTCCCATGGACGCAGCGAAGTGTTTGGCCTTAAGAGATGGAAGCGCCTTTGTAAAGATGTCTGCAGTCATGTCCTCCGTAGGGCAGTAAACAAGGCGGATCTTTCCTTCTTCAATGACATATCGGATGAAGTGGTATCTAATATCAATGTGTTTGGTTCGGGCATGGAAGCGATCATCTTTAGCAAGAGCGATGGCGGATTGGTTGTCGGCATTGAGAATGATTGGTTTTGCAATAGGGCCAAATAGTTCCGATAAGAGATTCCTAAACCAAATTGCTTCCTTGGCAGCGTGAGTCAAAGCAATATACTCAGCTTCCGTGGTTGATAATGAGATAGTATCTTGTCGCTTGGATGACCATGACACTGCTCCTCCATTGAGCATGAAAACGTATCCTGAGATAGCATGTCTATCCTCCTGGGACATTCCATCAGCGTCCGTGTATCCTTCGATTTCTGCTTGTGTTCCTCCAAATGTGAGCCATAGGTCTCGGGTGTATTTGAGATATGCATAAACACGCTTTACAGCGTTCCAGTGAGTAATTCCGGGGTTCTGCAAAAACTTTGCCAGTATGCCGACTGCGTAAGTAATGTCGGGTCGAGTTGCTACTGATAAGTATTGTAGGGCGCCGACAGCTTCTCTGTAGGGCTTGTCGCGCATATATGTGATATCCTCGACGGTAGTTGGCATCTGGTCCTTGGTAAGATGTATGTGTGGATCGAATGGAATGGAAAGGGGTTTGACATCTGCAAATCCATATCGAGATAGGATCGCGTCAATATATGCCCTTTGGGATAAATGAATGGATCGTGTATGTAGAGATCGGCGGATCTCAATCCCTAGTAACCAGTGAATCTCTCCAGAATCGACAACTTCGATCTGGTCCCTGATCTTCTTCTTTAGAGTGTCCATTACAGCCATGGTCTTGGTAAGCATAGTCATATCATCGACGTGGATGAATATGATACAAAAAGGGTCAGTTCGATAGAATACGGCATGATCGAAATTTGACCTGGTGAGACCGACTGATGTCATGATCTCCCTGAATCTCATGTACCAACGGCGACCGGCTTGTTTAAGTCCGTAGAGGGCGAGCTTGAGTTTAAGCACTTGTCCTGCTTTAACTTCAATGTCAACACCTGGTGGTGCCTTCATGTAGATTTGTTCATTGTCGTCCAGTTTACCATATAGATATGCTGATTTGACATCCATCTGGTGAATGAACATGTTCTGTTTGGCTCCTATGCTGAGGATGGCTCGAGCTGCTGCTAGCTTTGTGACTGATGCGAACGTTTCATCTGGGAAATAGTCAACGTCTGGTATCTGGTTAAAACCTCGTACCACTAGTCTGGCTCTGTGGCTTGTGACTTTTCCTTGTTCATCTCGCTTGGTCCTAAATACCCATTTCGATGTGAGGATGTTGGCATTATCAGGTGGAATGACAATATCATATGTTCCGCGCTGTTGTAATCTCCGGATTTCCTCATTCATGGCTTCCCGCCATTGAGACCAATCGGGACGTCGCATTGCTTCTGCAACTGATGTGGGGTCAGCGATGATTTCACCTGTTACTTGACCAAGTGATGCTGTAAGATGCCTGAGCTCTCGGTTCGGCTCTCCAAGTCCATTGATGATGTCCTGGATTTTCTTGGTCGGCTTCCTGACGCGTTTTCCTGTGATTATATCTGGGTTGATGGGTTCGGCAATTTCCTCCGGTACTGGTATGATAGGCTGTTCCGACTCGGTGATCGATGTTTCCAGATTTCCCAAATCCTGATCCTCCCCCTCAACGGGTTGGATCTGCCTATCAGAGAATTGCACATTACGTTCAGTTGAGACTGTGTGGCGATCTGGCCAATAGATGAAGTAACCATTGGACTCTGGCTCAATGCCTACCCATCGTCCTTCCTGTGCTTGAGGGTCAAGCTTCCCAGGCTCCTTTTCACGTTTAACATAGACCGTGCTTCCAAAGATGTGGAAGTTGGAGATGTCGGGGATTGTGCCAAATCGTTTCTCCCATGGAGAAATCATACCATTTGCCTTCTTTGGTGTCCTGTTCCATACATACACTATGTAGCCCATCATGAATCCCCAAAGCCATTTCGGTAATCCAGATGATATCATGAGGCTGCGTACTCCATTGAGTAGTGTCCTGTGGCTGCGTTCCGCTATGCCGTTGTGTTCCGGAGTGTCATGTACCGTAAGGCTACGTTTAGTGCCTAATCGTTCCAGGTATGCTGTGAATTCACCACTGAGAAATTCTCCCCCTCGATCAGAGTGGAGTTTCTTGACCGTTACGCCATATTGAGTTTGGAGACCGGTTTGGAGTATTACGTATTGAGCGAAAGCCTCATCTTTGCCCTTCATTAACGGTTCCTCCAACCAACTGGTGGCTTCGTCGATGACTGTCAATGCGTAGACGTAATGATTTAGCGTCTGGACAGAAGCTGGTCCCCATACATCCATGTGAAATACATCACCAAATTTCTCTGCTCTCGGGGATGTTCGAATTTTGGAGATCGGAGATCTGGCAGTTTTAGCAAGCATGCAAGTTCGGCATTCGGGTTCTTCCATCTGCTTAGGATCTAACTTGATCCCGTGAACCTGGTTTGATTTGAACATATGTTTGACATAAGCATAGTTCTGGTGGCCAGCGATGCAGTGTGCTTCATAAAGTGAAACCATCCTGGCTGCCTTTCCGGCATAGGCATATTCTGCGCTCGGAATCTGGTAGAGACCATTTGTCTTGGGAACGATTCCAATCGTCTCCCCCTGTCTATTGATGATCTTAAGAGTTCCATCTTTAATTACCATCACATATCCTGCATCGTCGAGTTTACCCAATGATACAAGTGTGTTAGGCGTGTTGGGGCATAGGAGAGTGTTTTGGAGTGTAAGCGATTTCGAAATTCCATCCTCGTTGATTGGAAGATCGATCTGGAGATTTCCGGCAGTGTTGGATGTGAAGGTCTCGGCGTTAGCTGCCTGGATAATTCGGGTAGGGACACTCCGCGTGTTGCGAAGTTTGTCCTGAAGTGGAGTCATGTGGGATGAACATCCTGAGTCAAACAGAATTGCTCCGCTGCTGTGAGATGCTACGAAAGCTGTCTCGTAATTACTAGCGATTTCGGAGAAATTAAATATTTCCTGTGACGTAGTTGTGGTAACTTCCACGGCTGCCCACGATGACTCGGGTACTTCCTCAATGGTGGCTGAGGATCCCACTTCTTTATTCTTTGATCTCCAACTAGTACTGCCGCTTCCAGACGGTTGGTTTTTCTCCTTCTTCTGAGAACTCTCTTGGGCCTCGTTGGCCTGTTGTCGCTTCGGCGAACTGCATTTATTAGCGAAATGCCCTTTTCCACCGCAATTGTAGCATGTGGAATTGTTCGAGTTTGGTCGACTTTGACCTCCTCCTCTATTACCATTTCCTCTGCCCCTGGACTGGCCTCTGAAGTTTCCACGATTTCGGTTAAATCCACCCCTGCCGCGGTTGGAATTTCCACCGGCATAGTTTGCAGATTCCTTCTTTCCAGACTGTCCTCGGGTATGACCAGATGCTTCAGCACGTATCGTCGAAACTAGCTCCCTTGTGGTCAGCGGGACTGAAGTCCTTGCTGCAACCACTACCAATGCGTTAATCGTTGGTTTGAATATGTTTGGGATGGAAGCAATGATCGTGTTATTGAACATTTCCTCGGGAATGGTGATTTTCCGCGCCTCCAAACTGTCCCTGATTTCCAACAATTTATCCAAATGCTCATTAACCTTTGATGGTTCATGGCAGTGCATGGAATGAAGCTGTTGTTGTAAGTGCGCTTCAGTGAGAGCACTTTTCGAATCAAAATCACTCAGCAGATTTTTCCATAGATCAAACACGTTTTCGTAATTCTTGTATCGCCTATAGATCTGGTCTGATAGGCGGCCCACAATGGCATTTAATAAATTTCCATCGTCATCTTTCTTGGCTTCCCATGCTTCAGTGTTATCTTTTGGATTAGATGTGAGGTGATCTGAAAATCCAATTGATCGGGTGGCTAGCTCCACTCGATTCTTCCACGTGTCCCAGTTAGATCCATCACTTTTAAGCGTAGATACCTTGTCAAAGGCTTTGAATACTTTAGACATATTGTCGTCGTCGTCGTCACTTTCTGGATCTGATACTTCTGCTCCTGGATCTGGGTCTTCCGGATCTGGTGGAGGTGGTGAAGATCTTGGTAGTGAAGATATTGGTGATGAGGGTCGATCTAGTACTGGGCTAGGTGGTGGTGGGAATACAGGATATTCTGGTTCTGGAGCTGGTGCTGCTTCTGGCGTACCCTCTGGTTTCTGGGATGATGATGATGCAACCTGCTCTGGGGGTGCTCCTTGTCCAAGTATAAGGTCTTCTTGCTTTCTGTCGATAAGTCTAGCAAAGCCGGGGATATAACCAGTTGTTATTTTGTCGTATCTATTCGGACAAGGTTGATCTTTGCAAACTCTGTATTTGTTGCCGTCGGGATCGTGGTACCGATCCTTGACGTCGTCTTTATCGAAGATATGCTCCCTATGAGCACAAGCTGCAGTTGGCTTGGTTGGACGGTTATCGGCTTTGCGAGGAGGGTTAGTCCTTAATGACATAAATCAATGTATGCACCGTATTTCTTGTTTATTTAGGTTAGGGCGGGGCCCATAACCTGTTAGAATATAATCACGTTATATTCAGCAGCAATGGCAGTAAGAGATAGAGTGCACACAGCACTGTAGTTGATCACACAGATCAGATGATGAAGGAGTAGAGAGAACTGCTTATTCGACAAGACGAATACTACAGGTTTATATACAAGTCCAAGGTAGACGATGTCATGTTACAGCTAAACATAGCGAGAGAGAAAGGAAGTACAATACGATGTATCCTACTGGTAGTCCTATAGTAATAGTACACGATGGTGGGATTGACGGTGAGACTGATAACACGATAGTGAGATAGTGGTTTGTAACAAGAGAACGATGTTCCATAGATGGTATGTGAGTCATCAAATGTTAACATTCAAACCCAATGTTAATAATGCACATGGATGACTTACACTCCATTCACTTTTTCTTCCAGTGCATCTTTAATTTCAGCTTGTAAATTCTGCCTGAATGAAAGTGTTCCTAGTCTTGCTTCCAAGTAAAGGTCAATATCCTGATTCAACTTGAAGTTATTATCCAATGATATCACTCTGCTGCCAGTGGTCTCTACATATTGAGGTTGATTTCGGCTTGTGATAACAACCCAAATATGACCAGAAATACCCTGTATGAGCTCAGATACAAGGGATTGATCTGTGCATTCATCCAGCGCATCAATGACAACACATATTTGGTGGTTTCTTTGTACAAAATCATTGACCATCTTTTTCAAAGTATCTTCCAAATCCAGATTACTTGGTTGTGCTTTTGGCCATGCCTTTTTGGACTGCTCATGTAAATCATTGAGTGAAGAGTGCACTCTACCATCTTGGAACCCCATTGAATACACCAGTGACAACAAAAATCCCTGATAACTGGATTTAGATCCAGTATTATTACGTACATCAAAGTAGTGATAAAAAACTTGACTTGGGGAATTTTTGCTGAGATTTTCAATTATGGTGGAACTATTTAAATTAGCAAGTAGTTAGTTGATTTTCAGTAACATTTTCCATAAGAACTGCTGACAACTTACAGTAGAACTGTCTTTCCTGATCCAGCTTGATACAAGGAAACATATCAAAATCATTATAAATAATCAAAAAGTCATCCCATATCATTGCTACCCACCTTTGCCTTGAATCCATAGAATTCCATGTTCCTCTCTCCATGCATTGTAAATTAGATGATCAAAGATCCATACCCCTGTTCCAGGTGTTCTCTTATTCAAAGCTGTAGTGTAATTGATGGAGGAGTTTGGGGCACTAAGCCATTCTTGAAGTTTTTTCTCTTCATCATTTGGAAGTATGTCTGAAGGGGAAAGAAATATTTTGAGCACTACATGCACCCTCTTATGCATTTGTTTGACTAACAGTTGATATCCCCTTCATATGCATTGAAGGTGCTGTTGCACACTGTGAAATTGTGTGCATTTGGGAATATAGCACTTGATTATGGTAAGAGATAAGATGCATTCTCAGTCAGTTGATGGGTTTTTGATAACAATGAGACAAACTCAAATTGGAGACGAACTTTGCACTTTGCCGGTTACTATAATATAATATAATGAAAAAACATCGGAAGCAACAGTCATGAAATGCATTGGGTTTACCTGAAATATGACATGGGCGCACTCATGTCAGGAGTCTTGTATTGAGTACAAAATGGAAAATGCTGGTGGTCAATTGAAAAAGATCTGGCTTATATATGTGGTCACAAGTTCCCAACTACTTGATTGATCCTACAGAATCCATGAAGGTGTGATGTCATGTAGACTCCACACATTTTTTCTGATATGACGTTCTACGTACACAAATATAGCTGCTGATCAAATACATTGTTGACATATCCTAGGATCGCAGAGTTTGGAAGGACTTGCAAATATTTCACATCATGATCATCTCAAAGACATACCTTCCACAACAGATATTTAGTATACATACATGGTAAATATTATAACCTAAACTAGTAATGCAAGTATGTTGAAACTTGATTTTGTTGGCTCCTCCTTACGCCTCCCCTGGCCAGATATCATCCGCAATCTCCCTCACCAACTTCAACTTATTCTCCATCCCTTGCATGTCAATCAAATTCCCCCCCTCATGACTTGCGAACCCACACTGCGGACTCACCCCCATCCTCCTCAACGCTTCCTCCCTAGTTTCTCCGTTCCCCTTGGCGATAATTTCCGCAGCCTCATACACCCGGCGCTTCATCTCCTCTTTGTCTTCGAGTTCCGGGAACTTGGACGTCACGACGCCGAGGATGACGGATTTGTTTTTGGGGAGGAAGGCGAGGGGCTCAAATCCGCCGGCACGGGGAGTGTCGTATTCGAGGTAGTAGGTGTGGATGTTGAGGGATTGGAAGAGCTTGGTGGCGATTCGGTCGTAGGAGCCTTCGCTGAAGTGGCGGGAGCCGACGAAGTTTCCTAGTGGGAAAAAAGTTATTGTGGTTAGGAGAAGGAGGAAATACTAGGAGGGTAAAAGCGTACCTCGACAGAGATGAACACCGAAATGCATGTCGGAAGGAGCTTTGGAGATACAGTCGTTGTATAGCTGGATATAAGCATCGAACATGTCATCGGCAGATGTGATATTCGTCTTGTCTTCTTCCCATCCCTTCAGCATCTTCTCCGAGCAGAAATCTAACAATGGAAAATAATGAATAACACGAAAAAAAGAAAGGAATCTCGGGAGAGGAATCCTAACTTACAAGCCAAATTCGGATCATCAAACTGCACATTCCTCAACCCAGCTTTATACAAAATATCCAACTCCACCTGATACGCTTTCGCAATATCCCCAAAATACTCTTTATCATCCACATACACATCCTTCGGGTACGCTTTCCCTTCCATATACCTCAAATGATACCAATTCGGCGCCGCCACCGTCAACTTGATGTCTCCCCACCTCTCCTCCGGCAAAATCGACTGCAGATACCTGACCTGCTCGACATACGTCGATTCGCCCGTATGCGAGATCTTCCCCGTGCACACCACGCTCTCGCCGGGAATCTGCACGTTCTCGATGAACGCAGCGATGTCCGGAGCGTATGCGCGGAAAATCTCGATCGGGGGGTCGTAGATCTCTTTCATACCGTTGAGGTTTGGGAAAAAGGAGCCCCAGAACATGTGTCGGGGGTATTCGCCGTCGGTGATGCACCGGAAGCCGAGTGTGAGTTGGGTTTGGACGATGGATTGGATGGCGGCTTTTTCGACTGGGGCGAGGGAGGATGGAGGGAGTTCGTTTTGGGTTATGGCGGCGCGGGTAGCGAGGAGGGTAGGAGGACGGAGGAGGGAACCGAGGTGTTCTGCGCGGAAAGGGGGTGACATGGTTTCCGTGAAGGGGGTGGTTACTATCGAAAGATGCTAGAGATTGGATGGTGGGTAGGTGGTTAGACTAGATGGGATATCAGAGATGAGATTGGGGGATAATTGGTGATGGAAGAGAAAAAAATTATCAGTTGATTTATTTATGTCGAAAGCGATTAATCGATCGAGAGAGACGACAGATTATCCGACCATCGGATTTTATGGGCTTGTACAGACCTTACCTTATGGACACTAATCCCTGTAGCCAATCCAGCTTCTACGTTGTATGATTGTATCCATTTTATTCATTTTTTCTCATCCATTCAGACTCAGTTTGACAGTAACAGCCTATCGCGCGCGTAAGGAGAGACGAAGCTGTGACCTATCAAATGCTTGAGGTTCTGGGTGGAGCCTACGGGTTTCGTTTCGTTCCAATTAACCGTTGAACCACGTTGGGCAAACAGCCGTCGCGCCTGTAAATCTCACCATTCATATCACCCACATGAGACCACACTTGACTGGACGACGGGACCTAATCAGGTCATCTGCGGTTGGTACGCCGACGGGACTTTGAAGTCTAGGGGCAGGCGCTGATTCGGAAATCCATCGACGGAATAACTGCTAATAATTGCAGCGTCTGCAATGCTATAGAGATAGTGAGACGTTTCGATTATGGTCCAGGTCCTTGGGGGTGCGACAATGTACGTGGTTTTGGTAAAGAGAAAGTATTTTAGTTTTGACATCAACGTGGGCCGCTCTACCGGGAACCCGGACCTGCGCGTACCGCATGAAAATCATTCGATTACAAGCAATCCCTCAACTTATATGTCCTGCCCTGTCCTGCTACGTCCTGCCCTGTCTGAAGCGTATTGGAAGACACTACTAGTGCCAAATTCAACCCCTACAACTCACAATCACGAAATCTGATTTGTTGACCCTGGGTGAAGCACTAAAGCGAAAGGTTTAAACCGCATACTTAAGGGGAATCGAAGGAAAGTCGATTCCCCACTCCTCCTTCAAGAACTGCTGGCCAGTCCTTGACACGTACACTCCAACGTCCAAACGCTCCAACGTACATTCCGAGTCACAAAAGCTTTACTGCTTCACCGCCAGTTTACCTTTATCACATTACACCGTTGATATCAGGCTCTGTAATGCATTTCTCCCCATTGCACCTCCTCCTAGGGCTTCTCGCCATCGTACATGCTGCGCCGCTCCCTGTGAGTGTCTGCAACAATGAAGAGCAAATATACTCATTACCTCTCTATATAGGCCACCAGCGACGGCAAACACCTGACCTTGATCACCCGAACCGACAGCTCCAAACCCCCCTTCCGCATCGTCGTCAAACCCCTCGGATCCACCAAACCCGCAAAACCTGACTCCACGATACCTTCCATCGTCAAGGGACGCATCGCTGCCCATCTCAATCACGGTAGAAAGGGAGCCCCACCCGAAAGTCAATTCCTCACCAAACCTCTTACGGTCGACGAGATAAAGTTTTTGCCTGATTCCGTATGGGACGCGACTATTCTGGTGAGGGTTGGGTCATTTGATTTCACGTGGTGGGATGCGCAGGCGCAGGGGTTTAAGTGGACGGAAGAGGCTGCTGGACGGGAGTTGGGGGTCGCTCATGATGACTCGGTTGAGAAAGGGGAATGGGAAGCCGGGGTACCTGTACTTTCAGGTCCAGGGGGGAAAAGCAAGGGGATATTACTACTGAAATAGCAGGGAAATCAAGGGTAGTTAGTGTAGGGTATGCTGTTTAGTTGAGGTATTTTGGAGGGAGGGTGGACACAGCTCCTGGTCAGAATCGATGATTTTGGGGTATAACTTGTTACGACACACAGTCTCAGAATATACATCCAGAATTAGTACTGGCAAAGGTGGCTGGAGTCTATCCTATTGCTCAATTAGTAGATACTATAATGGCCTGATGGTCTAGTAGCATGATTCTTCCTTTGGGTCTGAATGCTTCTGCATCATTGGAAGAGGTCCTGGGTTCAATTCCCAGTCAGGCCCTGTACATTTTCCACCTTTGAGTATTTTTCGACTACTACATACTTTCATTTGTTTTTTCGGCTCCCTTTGTCTTGTTTTTTTTCAACTAATTTTACTACCTTTGGGTCCCCTTTGTTTTTGCAGGATAACACGTACACGAACCTGTGTAGAATATTCCATAAGTACCCTGGAAAAAACTCCATAGGTAGCAGCGTAGATTAGTGTTTTCACATATCATCATCAACAAGGAACAGAAACACCAGAAAAAAACCATAACGTGTACGATATAATAGCCGGCGCACAATGATATCCTCTGTTTCAATTAACCCAAAACACACTGATTCCACGGATGAGTATCCCACAGGAACGCAGAAACAAAGTAGAGGTGGCCACTGCTCCCCAGTCATCTCATTGATAATCCCAGCCACTACTCGTGCTCTCAAACATCCATCAGCTCAATCTAGCCAACCGTACCACACCCTTCACTGGATGGTGTTAGAATATAATCACGTTATATTCAGCAGCAATGGCAGTAAGAGATAGAGTGCACACAGCACTGTAGTTGATCACACAGATCAGACGATGAAGGAGTAGAGAGAACTACTTATTCGACAAGACGAATACTACAGGTTTATATACAAGTCCAAGGTAGACGATGTCATGTTACAGCTAAACATAGCGAGAGAGAAAGGAAGTACAATATGATGTATCCTACTGGTAGTCCTATAGTAATAGTACACGATGGTGGGATTGATAACATGACGGTGAGACTGATAACACGATAGTGAGATAGTGGTTTGTAATAAGAGAACGATGTTCCATAGATGGTATGTGAGTCATCAAATGTTAACACTCCCCCTCAAACCTTTGTTAGTCCCATGGACGCAGCAAAGTGTTTGGCCTTAAAAGATGGAAGCGCCTTTGTAAAGATGTCTGCAGTCATGTCCTCCGTTGACACGCCTAAATTTTGGCTAGACGTCTATGCTGTGAATTGTGACATTTTCACGTATAGATTTGTATCAAGAGGACTGTAATTGAGACCCAGATTGACAGTCAAAGTCGATACTGAATCAGTCTAATAAGTTGAAGGGACCATATACCCATACTACCACAAGTTGGTTAGTTTACCCATCCCCGATACTACCTACGGATAGCAGTCTACCTGTTTGTCAAGCAGGATTATACCAGACTCGGACTACATCCGAAGGATGACCATTCACGTATGACATACCAAGGGTATTCTTATTGGACCTTACACTGGCAGGAGTTTGGAAGAACTTACTCAAGTGACCATGAACCAAGGATTGACTCGAAATGACTTTCTAGAACTCAGGAATTATCAAATACTCCTTCTAGAACGAGATCATGCATTAATCTAAAAAGACTGCGATTTAGTCTAATAGACCAATCAAGTTGCATGGTTGAGGAAAATGACTAGAAGAACGATCGAAGTACTGCGAGGCTCCGAAGACATATCAAATGAATGTCAAAGAGTCCTGACGTAGAAAACATTGAAGAATGCAATTAAACGAATACAATGTGTAACTCCCTTGATAGAGTATAGGCACAATGGGTGTCTGTTGAAAGAGAGAAGCAATTAGTTTAATCCAGATGAATCAGATTGATAGGATTAGAATCGAGGAGAGCTGATTTGCCTCCGGACGAGATGACAAACGATCGAAGTAAGTGTTGAACCGCAATGACAGTTGAACACCATTCGAGTCATTCTCTAAAAGCAATTAAATTAAATGAATATTGAAGTACCTACCTATGTTTGGAGGTATACTAGAATCTTGGAACCAATATGGACCAAATAAGGACATGTAGATTCGAATTAAATGGTATCTGACTGAGTGTAGAAGTTTCCTTGCGGTTCCGAACGTTTATTGTATTAAATTAATTGTACTATGCGACTCTATATTCTGTATGTATAAATAGCGATCCGATGTATCTGGAATAGGGAGGGATTTTGGGACGACGTTGCAGTGCTAATCCGTAAAAAGGAAAGACACACTCCCGCCAGACTGAAACCTCTTCGCTAGCAGCCATTCGGGCCCGGCACTTGTGAGTATAGGAACGTCGTGTTCTGCTCCTTGTGACTGCGAGAAGTCTATCCAGTTGTTGGGTATTCTTCGAACTTAGGATCAGTCGTTGGTCTTAAGGGCAAATCACGCTGTGTGGTTGTGCCAGCACATAGTTCTAGCCCTCCGTAGGGGTCTGTGTGTTTCGGTTTTAATTTACTTTGATTCAAACCCCCAATTCTTGATATACCCAAATCAATACAAACCAAAGCACAAATCGTGCTGAATCTACCTTGATCAAAGGAATATATCGAATCCTTAGAACGATTCAAATTGGTTAATCAAAGCTTCGTACTTAGCTCTCAAAGCTTTGCGGAACCTTTGCCAACGCTACCCCTTGCTATTAAATAAATTTGATAGCAGTGAACTCGCATATTGTGTATTAGATTGGTTGGTTGGAGTGCCCATTAGATTCCTTCCTTTCTCTTTCACACAAAAACGAGGCAAGCTCGTTATCTGGAGCCCACCGCGAGGGGTGGTTTTGAAGCTACAATTAGCTTGATAAATTAAATTGAACGTTTGTTTGGATTATATTCGATTATTTGGTAGAAGTGTGTTGATCTTTGTGATACCATTTCTGTGAACTGTCAACATTAGTTCATCAGGAAAACCGCGTACTTCGAAGAATTCGGAGAAAGCAGGAGTTTTGACACCGGAAGAATATCGTAAAGCAGGAGTTGTATTTGGGAGATCTACGTTCGGCACATCAGCTCGAACATCCCTATTAAATCCTACGAGCGAATCCAGTCGTCCGTCCTCTTCTCAAATACCGACAGAAGAATCGCGTGAAAGTTCTGTTTCTAGAGGAACAGGATCATCTATATCTCGAGGAAGACTTACATCTTTGCCGAGGAATTTGAAGAAATCTAATCTCGATCCGAAAAGAAAGAGAAAAGAAATTAATCCGATTGATATTGAAGAAGATATAATTGAATTGATTGCTCCAGAGTCAATTTCAACATCTTCTACGTCAATTGAATCAACTAGATTGATAGATACGTTACATCAGACTATCTCTCAAACAAGTAATACGATTGAAACAGTCAAAATGACTACCAATAATTATGGAATGCCTGCGTTGTCAGCTGAAGCTAAGGCTGAGATTGATAAAGCCAGTGCGAAACTTCCAAGAAAGTATAAGACAGCACCATTATTCGATATAACTGATCCAAGTCAAATGATACCATGGTTCGAAGCTACTGAAAGCATATTTGAACATGGAGGAATTACATCTGACGAGGCTAAAGTGAGATTAGCTTTAGAATGGACGTCTTATAAAACGAGACAAGCATTAAGAGTCTTTGATTCGGTGAAGAAACCGAATTGGGATCAATTTAAAAAGGATCTAAAGAATATGTTTCCGCAATCTGTAGGAGACGAAAGAGGATCTAGATTATTGCTTGAACAATTGGTCCATCAATTTAATCCAATTGATGCAGGTGAACAGGAGAAGATGAGAATCTTCAGACTCCTCTTCGATGCTGAAATGAAAAAGCTGATGGATGAACCGAAAATGATCACAAATAGTGATGCAGTAAGATTGTTCTTGGCACCTATGACTCCCGAAGTAAGGAGATGCGTGTTAGAAACAGTTGTGAAAGATGTATCAGTTACTTCGATGTCAGATAGACGAAAGGAAGACCCTTTCAAGATTGACGAAGTAATGAATGCGGCCGAGAAGTATATGATTGGGAGTTCATTTGATAACTACTATCAAACACTTTCCATTGCTTCATCGAGCCCACCAATTAATGACCCTAATTCATTTAGTAGGGGACACATTAATTTACCGTTTGCTGCAGATGTTCCCAAGACAGATAGGAACTATCTTCAAGCATTGAAACCCAAAGTAGAAGACGAATTTAAGGATCTTCTGGGAATTAAATTAGAAAGTCTGATTCCAAGGGAATTGACGGAGGAACAACAGCAGATGGTTGCATTGAATAAAGACCTCATGGAGGCAAACATGAAAGAAATTAGAGCTGTGAAGTCATTACAGTTGCACTTCAAAGAAGGAGCAGACATTATGACACAGTTAACAGCAGTAATGGCACAGATGGCCAAAGAAAATGCTAAAGGAATGATTAATCCGATACCACCGAGTGGTCCCTCGAATCAATCTAATAGATTTGAAAGAAATACGACACCGAGAAGTTCGAATGGAACCCAGTGGGCATGTTTCTTGTGCAAGTCGACAGATCATTTTATGAATGAATGTCCACACTTGCTGGAATTTACGAAAAGAGGTTGGATGATGCCTGAAGGAGGTGACTCGAAGCGTTACAAATTAAGAGACAACGCTAGAATGCCTCGAGACGATCCAAATGTACCTCGTTACAAGAAAATTGAACAAATGGCGAAAGACTTAGGATGGGATCGTGCTGAATCCTATTTTGCAAACATGGAAGATGACGAAGATGATAAAGTCATGGATCAGCAGATGAATCCTAACGTCAATCTAGCTGTTTGGATGACAAGAATAGAGGAACTATCAGATAGACTTGGGAATTTGGAAGCACACCGAGAAGATGATGTCCGTGTGTTCAACCAAGATAGTTCAAATGGAAAAAAATAAGTACTCCAATGAAGGAGCAGGATCGGTCCATGAGAACTTTAAGATCCAATGCTGTAGCTCCGGAGGAAAGTGAGAAAGCAAAACGAAATCAATTTAATGAAAATACGAAAAGATTAGTATTTGATGGGGTGCATATACCCAAGAAACCAGGTTTAATACCAGGGAAATTGGTTGAAACGACCAATGGAAATCAGAAAACAGTGAGATTTGAGGCTCCAAAGTCTATAGATCGGCCTTTGAAGAAGCCTTCAGTCACGATTGAAGATGTTAATGAATCTGATGACGAGGAT